TAAGGGCCGTCTTTCCCTTGTCCTCCCTTCCTTCCACGTCCATTTCCTGTTCTTCCAAGTTCCATATCCTCGTGCACTCCCTATGCCCTCCTCAGGCACTCCGAATGCACCCTTCACTTCATGCACTCCCCATGTGCTAGATATTCCTCATGCACACTTCAATTGTGGATCTCACACTGCTGCTTACAAAGCCGCATCACACCTTGATTGGACGTGACAGGACGGTGGCGGATTTTGAGGACTGGGTGGAGTGGCTGTGGTACAAGGGCGGTGTGGGCGTGAAGGGCGAGCAGAGCTGGGAGTCGTGGTGGGAAGAGGAGACGGTGAGTCGTGGTGATGGGATGAGGAGACTGATAGAAATGGAGCTTGAACTGATTAATTAGAATAGAAGGCGCTAGGCCTTAAGTACAAACAGAGTTGGGTTGGAAAGGCTAAGGGAATGGATGGGTCGGGAATCCAAGCAAATCTTCAATGATGAGTTGGCAGATTTGTTGGATTACGGGGGAATCCCAACCAGATAAGGTTGGGATAACAAATCTACTCCCAACCTACAAATAACCTACACAATATAAAGTAGAGTACACAAAAGTGTTGACAGCGTAATTCTAACAGAGACGGTGAGTAATGGTGGTGGGTGAGCCAGCTCACTCACTCAATGACAACAGAGCACTCTCACAAACTGCATGCTGGCCCATCTGTCCACGCATTTGCTGCTCTGCCACGCCATTTCGTGTATGTTCTGCATGGTTCTGGCTCATGCCTCTGCCAGGTGTCTCTGCCACATGGACCCGTCCACTCCTGCTATGCCGCCATGATGATGGTTCCCTCTAGCCACACCTCCTCGACACTTCATTTTGCTAACTCTCCCATTCGTAACCATCCCGCCCATCCCATTCATCCCACCCGGCCTTACTGCTGCAGGAGCACGTGCGCAGCATCCGCAGCCGCATCAACCAGGTGGTGCTTAACCTTCCCGTTTGTACCCGTCTCGCCCTTCCCACCCATCCCGCCCATTCCCCCCACCCATCCCGCCCATTCCCCCCACCCATCTCGCCCTTACTGTTGGCAGGAGCACGTGCGCAGCATCCGCAGCCGCATCATCCAGGTGGTGCTGAACCTACGCTTCTTCTTCGTGCCCTACGGCATCGTGTACCAGCTCAACGTGGCTCAGGGCAACACCAGCATCCTCGTGAGTGCTCTCGCTCTGAAGAGAAGAAGAGAGTCACAGTGCATATTATCCAGCTGCATACTGTCACACTGAAGAGAGTCACAGTGCATATTATCCAGCTGCATACTGTCACACTGAAGAGAGTCACAGTGCATATTATCCAGCTGCATACTGTCACACTGAAGAGAGTCACAGTGCATATTTTCCCGCTGCATACTGTCACACTGAAGAGAGTCACAGTGGATATTATCCAGCTGCATACTGTCACACTGAAGAGAGTCACAGTGCATATTTTCCCGCTGCATACTGTCACACTGAAGAGAGTCACAGTGCATATTATCCAGCTGCATACTGTCACACTGAAGAGAGTCACAGTGCATATTTTCCCGCTGCATACTGTCACACTGAAGAGAGTCACAGTGCATATTTTCCCGCTGCATACTGTCACACTGAAGAGAGTCACAGTGCATATTTTCCCGCTGCATACTGTCACCCTGCAGTGCATATTGTCACACGAGACGAAAGCTTTGTGAATTTTATGTTGCCCACCTCCTCACTCTTCCTACCATCCCCGTGCCACTCTCTTCTTGTACTCTTTGTCATTCTCCCCTTCCTATCCGCTCCCAGGTTTACGCGTACGCGTGGATCATCTTTGTCGTCGTCGCTCTCGTCTTCTGGGTAAGTCAAGCAAGAAGTTGGGTGCCCGCGCCCTGCCTTGTCGCCCCTGCTCTTGCTTCAGCCATCCATCCATCGCATGCACTCACTACAGCAGCAGCCTCAGCCTCTGACCAAGCCTCAAACTCAGCCCCTGCTTGTGCCTCAGCCTCAGTCCCAGCCACAGCCCCCGGTCCAGCCTCAGACGCAGCCTTGGCTTGAGCCATTGCATGTAGCTCGCTGCTTTGCTGCCTATCCATTTCCCACCATCTCCTGCTTGCCTTCCTGGCAGAATCTCCTCTCACTCATCCCTCACCCCATCAATAGTCATCCCCCTCACTCTTCCCCCCCCACTTCCCTCACCTCCCTCCCTCACCCTCCCTCCCCTTATGCTCCGCTTTCTCCCCCTTCGCTCTCTCGCCCCCACCCCTCCAGGTGTTCAACTTCTCGCGGGCGTGGGAGGCGCAGCTGCCAATCCGCCTGCTGCAGATCACAGTGGCAGTGCTCTTCGTAACGGGCATTGCCGTGTGTGTCACCGTCACCTCACTCACCTTCGGCGACCTCTGCTCCATCATCTTCCTCTTCATCCCCCTCACCGGCTGGGGCCTCCTTCAGGTGTGTCCTCCTCTCTGTCGCACTATAATTCCCTCTTTCTCTCTGTTTTTCACTCCCCCTCTCATTCTTGTGCCAACCCCCTTTCTCTCCCCCCTCCCCCACCTCTGCCCATCCATCCCGCTTCCGCAACCTTACCCCCCCCTTCCTTGTTTCTCCCCGCCTTCCTACTCCAATGTCTCCCACCCCTGCTCACCTGTACCTCCCATCTCACCTCTCTGCATTGTGACTGTCCTGCAGGTGATTATAGCGCTGCGGCCCGTGCACAACAAGCGGCTGTGGTGGTGGAGGCAGGTGCGCACGCTGGCGCGCGTGTACGATGCAATCATGGGGGGCATGATCTTCCTGCCAGTAGCGGTGCTCTCCTGGTTCCCCTTCTTCTCCACCTTCCAGACCCGCCTTGTCTTCAACCAGGCCTTCTCCCGAGGCCTCGAGATCTCGCTTATCCTTGCTGGGAAACCCTCGGATGCTGCTGGCTAAACCAGGATGTGTCATGTACAAAGGTATTGTGGGCGTGTTGTGTTCGGGGTTGGAAAGAGAAGATATGTGTTTCTGCAGATTGGGTAAAAGTCTCATACTTGTCTGTAGGTACTATTCTGCATGCTGTCACTGATGGGATGCAGTGTATGCACTCAGGTTGGTTCTTACACAAAAGTTATACCGATTGAATATGATTGAGCATGCAATGTATGGAAGTTGCTGAACACGTGGTTGGCACCACTGTAATGACTCTAATTGCTCTTGTGTCCAGTCCACCTTCCAGTACCATTTGTTTGAACATGCGTGCATAGTGTTGAAACCATTCCCGAACACCACAGACACACGTGTGTATACCACACATTTTCTGGGAAAGTCGTCTCAACGGCAAAACTTTCTTATTCTACACAAAGCCAGAACATCAAGGTGTGTTGCTTGCTTCCACAGTTCACAAAAATAGCAATATACTTTCAAGCAGTTAGCAGTAATTTGTTTTATATATTTGGAACTGCTCCAGAGTGTTGTGATTATTATTCGGGGTGCTTAATGTCACAGCCGGTTCTCGAGGTCCTTGTTCAAGCACAGTGCGTAGCGTCACAACTGTAAGGGAAGAAGAAGCCGAGGCTAAAAACGATGCCATCGATATTACCGACTTTGGCCACGTTCTTCTCCCCCTTCGAGCCCACACCTCGATTGGCGCCGTCGCGCTTCGGTGTAGACTCTCGCCACAAGCAGGTGAGGGGCGAGGCTCGCTTTCGATTGGCTATTGCGTGGCACGAAACTAGAGTCAACCAGCCATGCTTCGCTCACATATCGAGCACGCGGTGCCGCTGCATTCACCAGTGCGAGCAAGCGCAACTTCTCCATCCGTGCCGCAGTAGGGCGGCCTTGGTTACAAACCTTTCAGCCCTCGTCTTCCCCAGGGCTAAAACCTGATGTCCAATGATTGGTTGGACCGTACGCGAGGCGAAGAGCTTCGAAGAGTCCGTCTGCGAAAGTTCGTTATGCTTCGTCATCTCGTACACAGGAGGTGTCTTTTGGTGGGGGTAACAGCTTGGTGAGCATTTCGTTTGTACAGCACCTGTGCAACCCAACCTCTTCCTGCATCCCCCCTCTACCGTGAGGATTTTGCAGCTTTGTTTGACCAGCTTAGGTAGCTCACAAATAGAAGACAACTTCAATTTCTGAACACCCTTGGTATTGACGTTTCCTAGCATCACAACTAGGCGCCATTTCCACAATCGGACCTTCTGAGACAAGTGCTAGGCGCCGAGTTTATATTTTCCGGAAAATGTTGTGACGTTGTTTTGGCTTTCCTGTTTGCAGCTTCCCCTGTTGATGCTGTCGAGCAGACATGGAATCTAGTAGCAAAGGGAAAGGGGATAGCAACGGAGAGCAATTAGGCTTTTGTAGAATATGCTTAGAGAGTAGTCCGTTACCTACACGTCAAGAGACGGGCCTTTCAGCGATATTCAACTGCGGATTATCGTCGTCTGATGACAGCCTGATTTCGCCATGTGCCTGCACTGGTATTTGCTCTAACCCAAGCGTCCTGTTGCGACCATCGGCGAAAGTCGACGTACGAGAAATCCATCAGGCTGTTTGTTTCCAAATAGTTTACACGAAAGGCTACCGAAATTCCGCAAGGCCTGGTTTCTCGTGAGGTCTGTTAATTATGATCCGTGGTCGGGGTCCTGTCTCAGGGTTGACGAGAAGTTGATGCCGTGATCGTCCTAAAAGATAGAAAGATAATAGAACGATTCCTTGTTAAGCCATTTACGTCTTGAATGTGTATCGAAGCTGCTAAATCTTCCGCACTGCATGATTTTCACCTCGTTGTGTTAACCTACAACCGCTCGTGCAGGTACTCAAGCGTATGTGCACCTTGCGTGTTTAAGAAGATGGCAATGGGCTGTGATGGCGTCTCGGCATCCTGGAACCAACTATACTCCGGCGCTTGTGTGAGTGGTCTTAACTCGGTTTTCTGTTATGCTTGCTGAGCCCTGCCATTGCGTGTCTTAGTTGCGCGCTGAATGGATTTCGTTTTCCTGATTCACCTCTCTTGTCATGTCCACTTGTTATTGTACAGATGTTCCGTCTGCACGCAACGCTTTTCGGTAGCGCCTCCCCGTTTATCAATAGGTCTCAGACTGCTTCGCCTGATCGAGTTCTACTCGCGCGAACTCACAGGCTTCTTCGTCTTCCTGGTATGCCTCACGTTTATAATGCTAATTTCTGGCTGAGCTCATGCAAAAATCATTACAAAAGCTCCACCTTGGCAACTTATTGCTCCTGACACCCATTGTCATCGTGCAGGTTACCTGCTACGTCTTGTTGGTGTTTCACATGGAGTTCGCCACTCTAATTTTCCAGCTCCACTCTCTACTTCACACAATTTCCAGGTTCGTTGATAGGCAGGCTGAAACTGAAGTAAAGTTAAAGCAACAGGTACTGATTACAATCTCGACCGAACGTCATGAGATCATTCTCGACTCTGCCGAAATGAAGCCTTTACACAAATGCAATTAAATTCAAGCGACCCCTTTGACCGCAATAATTGAATGCTTGGTGGTGATAATGCCATGCTATTTGTTCTCCCAACGCAACAACCATCAGAACACTCTGGCGTGAAGGCGCATCCGTTTCCGTACATCCTGGAATGCTGTTGGTTGCCTCTCCCTCCATGCCAATGGCAGCCTCCATCTTTTATCAATCAGTGGTACGATCTTCAGTTGTCTTGGTTCGTCGTATAGCTATTCAGATTGGTTCCGCTTTTTTCACTAACTTCTGTCTTGTTTTGTCTGTGTGCTAACCCGAAATGAATGCAGGTGCTGTTGTATGACTACCATCCGTCAGTCGGAATAAGTGGCATTGTTATCAACAAGCCCATGCAGGTGCGTCCCATTCATGTTCTTCGTTGCAAACTCTTCGTGATGGATTGGTTTCACCTTTAACGCTCGTTTTGTTATGCAGGATGATGAAATAGGATCACACCTCCTGGACCTTCCTAAGTCCGTCCAACGATCCTTAGCCAAGAGTCAGCTCAACCTTGCGTGGGGAGGGCCAGTCGGGCAGTCTGACTGGCTGTTGCTTGAGCGCTGTCCATGCTGCGCCATGCCAGCTCGAGCAAGACGAATATGCTGTCGCTGCTCCTGTGCGAAGCTCAGCCATGCTCGCAGCCCTGATGGAGGCTGGTCGCGCCAAGTCCTGCCAGGCCTGATCATAGGCTCCGACCTACCCTCCATACAGATGCTTCCCAGGGAACAGAAGCCTGAAATTTCAGATCCGACGGTCAATGTTCGGTGCTTTCTAGGTCGGACACACATTGAGCTGGAATCGAATTCCACGAATTACGTTCTTGTTGGCCGGGCAGGTTGGCAGCCTGGGCAGCTGGAAGCGGAAATCCGAGCAGGGTGGTGGCTGGTGAGGGCGGATGAAGCAGTTGCGGCAATGTCTCTGCCCGTGGAAGAGATGTGGAGAATGCTTTCTTTGGCTCGACCCCAGGATGAGAAGCCAGATGGTTCTAGTCCGTGGTCGGAGCAAAGTGGGAATGATGATGATACTTGGAAGTTGCAGTGAGGGAATCTGGTTCTGGTGCCTGCTTTCTGCATGTGACAGTTGTCCTGCATTGTGCCACTCAAGCTGTGGCTTTGCGTTGATCCAAATGGCTGAGGATCTGCTCCTGCTCCATTGTTTTGCTACGGTATGTTTGCTTTCTGTAGGAGGAAGTGCCTGTCATCATGTGGCCCTAGCAATGTCTCTTTGCTTGGTGCTGCTCAATGTCAATAAATCATTTTTTTAATTTGCCACAAAAAACAGAAGACAGGTGTTTTATGAATAAAAATGCATTGATAAGCTTCCTTCCAGTATGCAATAGGTTGCCTGGGATTGTAATATGGAAACCTGGCTTTGATTATTGCATGTCCCAAAATCATATAATTCGTTGCAACTTCGTCAAGGATAGCGCTGCTGGTAGGGTGGTGGTGGTTGTGGTGGAGGGGGTCCATGGCCCATCCCCTGACCTCCATATTGCCCATGACCAAACTGCCCCATGGGACCGGGACCCCCACCATGAAACCCATCCCCTAAGCCACCAACACCCATGTCCCCTCCAGGCCCATACCCTGGTCTGCCCATACCCCCTTCCCCACCCATCCCCACATCCATCCCATATCCCATCCCTCCACCCATCCCACCCAAGGGTCCTGGCCTACCCCCTCCTTCAAAACCACCCTGCCCAGAATACCCCCCTCCTGGTCCCCCACCTCCTCCCATGCTCGGGTGTGCCAAGCCTCCAGGTCCGGCGCTTCCCGGACCTGGCGGCAGGTTCGGTGGGTGCCCATGGAGTGGAGGAGGCATGGAGTGAGCATGAGGGGGAGGGGCATGGGGAGGGAGGGAAGGAGGAGGGCCGGAGGAGGAGAGGGAGTGCGAGGCATGGGGGCCAGAGTGGTGGTACGGCCGCTGCTGATGCTGGTACTGCTGGCTCTGCTGCTGATACGGCTGCTGGCATTGCTCCTGAAATTGCTGCTGCTGCTGCTGCTGGTAGGAGGGGCGTTTGTCGGAAGGAGGGAAGGGCTGGGTGCTGTGAGACTGCGAGTGCTGGTGCCGCCGCTGCTGCTGCTGCTGCTGTGGGCGTGGCGGGTGGCGCGAACCAGACGAGGGAGGGGCAGAGGCAGGCCGTGGTGCTGATGGGGGCGGCTCCTTAGCAGGTGGGGGCCCTGGTGTTGGGGAAAAGAGAGGGAGGGGGGGGTTCAAAACTCGCTCACACTCACGCACACACACACAATCACTAACTCACACTAAAAATCACACTCACGGACACCCACAAACTCGTTCGCACTCACTCACAATCCCACTCACACTCCCCCACACCCACGCTCACCAGCATAACCAGGAGTGGCGGCGGCAGCAGCAGCAGGGGACGAAGTGTTGACTGAACCCATCGGGTCTTTCACAGCATCGCCAGGCCGGTTGCGGCTCCAGAACTTGGTGCTCTGGTCGCGGCTGCCGCTGCACAGCGTGTGCCCCAGCGGGTGCCATGCCAGCGACAGCACCGCGTTCTCGTGTGCGTTTGTCACCTCTGCTGCCGGCCCGCTCGTATTCGAACTGGGAGGTTGGAGGGGGCAAGGAAAGGGAGGGCAGGGACTGTTGAGTGGACTCATGTGTGCCCCAGCGGGTACCATGCCAGCGACAGCACTGCGTTCTCATGCGCCCCTGTCACCTCTGCGTCCTCCTTAGTGTGCCCCTTGCACGCCCCCATGTGCTCACACCCTACTGTACTAGTAGCACCCCATGCCCCACCCATGCCCCACCCATGACCCACCCATGACCCACCCATAACCCACCCATGACTCACCCATGCCCCACCCATGCCCCACCCATGCCCCACCCATGCCCCACCCATGCCCCAACCATGCCCCAACCATGACCCACCCATGTCCCAACCAGTCCCCCCTTCCCATGTCACCCCACAAGCCAGAAGAGAATGCTCCCGTCGGAGCCGCCACTAGCAAGCAGGTCCTCGTGCACGGGATGCCATGCTATGCTGCGGTCACCACCCCATGCCCCACACCATGGGCCATGGTGCATCCATGCTGTCCACCCCCACTCACCCAACGAGCCAGAAGAGAATGCTCCCATCGGAGTCGCAACTGGCGAGCAGGTCCTCATGCACGGGATGCCATGCTATTGATGCCACCTCCTTAATGTGGTTGTTACTTGAAGGTCGTTACGTGCTCACATCCGGTTGTACAAGCGCCACCCCACGCCCACCCCCACTCACCCGACGAGCCAGAAGAGAATGCTGCCGTCAGAGCCGCCAGAGGCCAGCAGGTCCTCGTGCACGGGATGCCATGCTATGGATGAGACCTCCTTAGTGTGCCCCTTGAACGTCTCCATTTCCTTGAGCGTGCGAATGTCGTACAGCTGGGGAGAGAGAAGGGGGTGTATTGGATAGAGCATGACGATAGGGTATAGTGTGGTGAGGTGAGGTGGGGTCGGGTGGGGTCGTCACTTCTTTAGTGTGCCCCTTGAAGGTCTGCCATCTCCTTGAGCATGCGGATGTACAGCTGGTGGGAGGGCGGTGGGGTGCGGTGGGGTGCGGTGGGGTGGGGTGGGGTCGACAACACATTGCTGTGCCCCTTGAACGTCTCCATCTCCTTGAGCGTGCGGATGTCGTATAGCTGGGTGGGGTGTGGCATACAGCGCAGCAATTGAAGGACGAGTAGGTTGCTTCCACCTCCTTAATGTGAGGCGAGGCGAAGAATCTTGTAATTTCTCAAGACGCCAACTGGATCCTACTAAGGAGGCCTGAGAAGTGATTAGAAACATTGGATAGTCTGGTCGACAGAGGTCACAGTGACGCACAGGCAGATGATCAGCTCGCTGACCTTCACAAGCTGATCGTCGTCGGACGACTCTTGACCCGACTCTTTCACAAGACTTACCACCCTACAGTCGGCTAATGAGTCGACTGGTAAGTTGACTTTTGGGTCGCCTCAGCAGGTGCGCTGACTGACTGACCTTCACGAGCTGGTCATCAGAGGATGATGCGAGCCAGTTGCCGTTCTGGTTCCATGCCACTGATCGCACCGTGCGCTTGTGCCCGTACCTGGTGGTGAGGGGGTGAGGAGGGGTGGTAAGTGAGAGGTGATGAGGTGGTGCGTGATGGGTGATGGGTGGGGTGGTGGTGTGTGGTGCATGGTGCATGGTGCATGTTGCTTGCATGGTGCATGGTGCATGGTGCATGCATGGTGCATGGTGCATGTTGCTTGCATGGTGCATGGTGCATGGTGCATGTTGCTTGCATGGTGCATGGTGCATGGTGCATCCATGGTGCATGGTGCATGTTGCTTGCATGGTGCATGGTGCATGGTGCATGCATGGTGCATGGTGCATGTTGCTTGCATGGTGCATGGTGCATGGTGCATGTTGCTTGCATGGTGCATGGTGCATGGTGCATGGTGCATGGTGCATGGTGCTTGCATGGTGCGCTATGCATGGTGCTCGATGCATGTTGCAGTGAAAGCAGTCTGACTCACAGCGTGCACACCTCCCGGCTCGTGCGTGCATCCCAGAGCTTTGAATGCGTGTCCTTGCCACCTGGCAGCGGGCAACGGGAGGAGGGCATAGACAAGATGTCAAGAACAGAGGAAAGACTGTCAGACCGCCTCGGAGGGGAGAGTAGTACCGAAGGAATGACGGGTTGTTGAGGGATGGATTCAAAGATGCCTGAGATGACCAGGGAGGAACGTTGCTTTACCGGAGACGATGAGGGAGTTAAAGGGGAGCCAGTCGACGCAAAGCACAGCCTGTGTGCATTGCGTGTGTGTGGGTGCTGTGTGCATGAATAAGAGAGGCAAGGAGCACAGGTTTACCCGAGACGATGAGGGAGTTGAAGGGGTGCCAGTCGACGCAAAGCACAGCCTGTGTGCATTGCGTGTGTGTGGGTGCTGTGTGCATGAATAAGAGAGGCAAGGAGCACAGGTTTACCCGAGACGATGAGGGAGTTGAAGGGGTGCCAGTCGACGCAAAGCACAGCCTGTGTGCATTGCGTGTGTGTGGGTGCTGTGTGCATGAATAAGAGAGGCAAGGAGCACAGGTTTACCCGAGACGATGAGGGAGTTGAAGGGGTGCCAGTCGACGCAAAGCACAGCCTGTGTGCATTGCGTGTGTGTGGGTGCTGTGTGCATGAATAAGAGAGGCAAGGAGCACAGGTTTACCCGAGACGATGAGGGAGTTGAAGGGGTGCCAGTCGACGCAAAGCACAGCCTGTGTGCATTGCGTGTGTGTGGGTGCTGTGTGCATGAATAAGAGAGGCAAGGAGCACAGGTTTACCCGAGACGATGAGGGAGTTGAAGGGGTGCCAGTCGACGCAAAGCACAGCCTGTGTGCATTGCGTGTGTGTGGGTGCTGTGTGCATGAATAAGAGAGGCAAGGAGCACAGGTTTACCCGAGACGATGAGGGAGTTGAAGGGGTGCCAGTCGACGCAAAGCACAGCCTGTGTGCATTGCGTGTGTGTGGGTGCTGTGTGCATGAATAAGAGAGGCAAGGAGCACAGGTTTACCCGAGACGATGAGGGAGTTGAAGGGGTGCCAGTCGACGCAAAGCACAGCCTGTGTGCATTGCGTGTGTGTGGGTGCTGTGTGCATGAATAAGAGAGGCAAGGAGCACAGGTTTACCCGAGACGATGAGGGAGTTGAAGGGGTGCCAGTCGACGCAAAGCACAGCCTGTGTGCATTGCGTGTGTGTGGGTGCTGTGTGCATGAATAAGAGAGGCAAGGAGCACAGGTTTACCCGAGACGATGAGGGAGTTGAAGGGGTGCCAGTCGACGCAAAGCACAACCTGTGTGCATTGCGTGTGTGTGGGTGCTGTGTGCATGAATAAGAGAGGCAAGGAGCACAGGTTTACCCGAGACGATGAGGGAGTTGAAGGGGTGCCAGTCGACGCAAAGCACAGCCTGTGTGCATTGCGTGTGTGTGGGTGCTGTGTGCATGAATAAGAGAGGCAAGGAGCACAGGTTTACCCGAGACGATGAGGGAGTTGAAGGGGTGCCAGTCGACGCAAAGCACAGCCTGTGTGCATTGCGTGTGTGTGGGTGCTGTGTGCATGAATAAGAGAGGCAAGGAGCACAGGTTTACCCGAGACGATGAGGGAGTTGAAGGGGTGCCAGTCGACGCAAAGCACAGCCTGTGTGCATTGCGTGTGTGTGGGTGCTGTGTGCATGAATAAGAGAGGCAAGGAGCACAGGTTTACCCGAGACGATGAGGGAGTTGAAGGGGTGCCAGTCGACGCAAAGCACAGCCTGTGTGCATTGCGTGTGTGTGGGTGCTGTGTGCATGAATAAGAGAGGCAAGGAGCACAGGTTTACCCGAGACGATGAGGGAGTTGAAGGGGTGCCAGTCGACGCAAAGCACAGCCTGTGTGCATTGCGTGTGTGTGGGTGCTGTGTGCATGAATAAGAGAGGCAAGGAGCACAGGTTTACCCGAGACGATGAGGGAGTTGAAGGGGTGCCAGTCGACGCAAAGCACAGCCTGTGTGCATTGCGTGTGTGTGGGTGCTGTGTGCATGAATAAGAGAGGCAAGGAGCACAGGTTTACCCGAGACGATGAGGGAGTTGAAGGGGTGCCAGTCGACACACAGCACGTTCCAGCGATGGCCGGCAAGGGTCACCTCGTCCTGACAGCGCGCAAAGTCCCACACCTTCACTGCTGTATCATCAGAGCACGAGCAGAACTTGAGGTCTGAACTGGAGAAGCTGGGGTAGGTGGGGTGGCAGGGAGGGTGGCAGGGAGGAGGGCAGGGAGGGGGGCAGGGAGGGGGACAGGCAGACATGGGTTGGTGAAGTTTCAAACTTTCACCGCTGTGTCGTCTGAGCAGCAACCACAAAACGAAATACCCGGCTTCTTGAAAGGAAAGAAAGAAAGAAAGGCAGGAAGGAAGTACCTGACGCCCTGCACGGACTCCTTGTGGGCCGTGGCGTTCTCCTTCATCATGCGCAAATTGGTCTGGAAGTACCTGCCATTCAATGCAGTCAATGGGGTCAATAGAGTCATTGGAGTCAATGGGAACAATGCAGTGAGCAGGAAGCTGTTGAAGCTTGATATGAAAAGCACTTGAAAATCAGTAGAAATGGTCGAAAAGGCTCGGAAACAGACAGAAATGTATGGACTCGCTTGTTTCATGTCACGGTGGTTCGGCTGTTGAGAAAATCTCACTTGATGCATCCCGAGTCGTCCCCTGACACCAGCCAGTTGCCGTTGTGGCTCCACATCATGCTCCTCACCGCCACCTGATGAGCCTGCAAGATGCAAGGAGGGATGCACAGGAGGGTTGCACACACGGATTGCGTGAACTCCCTCTCCTCGCCCCTCCCCCACCAGCAGCACCCCACCAGCAGCACCCCTCCTGCACCCCACCAGAAGCCCCAAGCCTACAGGCCACCCACGGACCTGCATGAGCATTTCGAAGTTGAAGGAGAGGCCGTTCCACAGCGTGAACTCGCTGCAGCCCCCCAACAGTCACCTAAAGAGCAGCGCCCCCAGCCCAGCCCAGCACCCCCCACGCACCCACCTGCATGAGCATCTCGAAGTTGAAGGAGAGCCCGTTCCACAGCGTGAACTCGCCGCTCTGCGACCCTGTCAGCAGCCGCCGCCCCGTGGGCGTCCACTGGCGAGGGGTTTGGGGGGGGGATGGGGCAGGGTGAGGCGGGGTGGGGTAGGGTGGGGTGCGGTGGGGTGGGGTGGGGCAAGGAAGTGAAGTGCTCTGCGACTCCGTCGGGAGATAGCAACGCGGAGAGGGGCGCTTGGAGAGAGGAAGGAAGAGGAGATAGGGTGGGGTGTGTGGCGCGGCGGAGAAGAGGGTGAGAGCAGGGGGAGGGGTTGGCAGGGAGAAGGGCCATGTAGGGGGGGGCACGAGGAGGAGATTGATAGATGGTCTGTGACGTGATGTCAGGGGCATGGTGGCAGTGTGCAGTAGCATACCATACCACCCCAGTTCACCCTACCCCACCACACGTCACCGCACTCATCGCATCCCATCTCATGCTATGCCTTATCACCGCATTGCACCCATGTCATACCACGACTTGGTTGATGGGGCAGCGGATCTTGTTGGTGGAGGCGTGCACAAAGCGAGACGTGATGCTGGCTGCTGGGCGGTCCTCGTACCCCATGCACGGCAGCAGCTGCACGGGGGGGGGGGGGGGGGGAGGAGAGTGAAAGGGGAGGAGATCAGGAGCAGCGGGAGTCGTGTCGTGTGAGCGATGCTGGCTGCTGGGCGGACCTCGTACGCCACGCAAGGCAGCAGCTGCATGGGAAGAGGGGAAGAGGGGAAGGAGCGGAAGGGGAGGGTTGAAGGGGAGGGGCGGAACGTGAGAAGCGGAAGAGAAGCGGGAGTAATGTCGAGAGGCTCGAGAGCAGCCATGCAGGCTGCACGCCGGCCCGGCCCGCACATGCAGTGCCGCCTAGCGACTCCGTTGGAGAGCCGATTCAATTAAAGCCCACCTTGAGGGAAGCGGAGGAGGTGGGCAGGAGGTCAGCGGCGTCACGGGCGTCCCACTGGCGTGCGCGTTCGTGCAGGTATAGCGCCACCGTGGCGCTGTAGTCCACCGTGCGCCTCTGCATTCCCCGCCTCTGCATCCTGCGCGCTGCAGAGAGGGGAGGGGGGAGGATGAAGGCATTGCAAGCATGGGCGCGCTCGTGCAGGTAGAGCGCCACCGTGGCGCTGTAGTCCACCGTGCGCCGCTGCATGCCCCTCCGCTGCATCCTGCGCGCTGGAAGGGGGGGCGGTGGGAAAGGACATAGCACAGCAAGCATATGCGCGCGCGCGTGCAGGTAGAGTGCCACCGTGGCACTGTAGTCCACTGTGCGCCTCTGCATGCCCCTGCGCTGCATCCTGCGCGCTGCATCCTGCGCGCTGCATCCTGCGCGCTGCATCCTGCGCGCTGCATCCTGCGCGCTGCATCCTGCGCGCTGCATCCTGCGCGCTGCATCCTGCGCGCTGCATCCTGCGCGCTGCATCCTGCGCGCTGCATCCTGCGCGCTGCATCCTGCGCGCGGCATCCTGCGCGCTGCATCCTGCGCGCTGCATCCTGCGCGCTGCATCCTGCGCGCTGCATCCCTGCGCGCTGCATCCTGCGCGCTGCATCCTGCGCGCTGCATCCTGCGCGCTGCATCCTGCGCGCTGCATCCTGCGCGCTGCATCCTGCGCGCTGCATCCTGCGCGCTGCATCCTGCGCGCTGCATCCTGCGCGCTGCATTCCTGCGCGCTGCATCCTGCGCGCTGCATCCTGCGCGCTGCATCCTGCGCGCTGCATCCTGCGCGCTGCATCCTGCGCGCCTGCATCCTGCGCGCTGCATCCTGCGCGCTGCATCCTGCGCGCTGCATCCTGCGCGCTGCATCCTGCGCGCTGCATCCTGCGCGCTGCATCCTGCGCGCTGCATCCTGCGCGCTGCATCCTGCGCGCTGCATCCTGCGCGCTGCATCCTGCGCGCTGCATCCTGCGCGCTGCATCCTGCGCGCTGCATCCTGCGCGCTGCATCCTGCGCGCTGCATCCTGCGCGCTGCATCCTGCGCGCTGCATCCTGCGCGCTGCATCCTGCGCGCTGCATCCTGCGCGCTGCATCCTGCGCGCTGCATCCTGCGCGCTGCATCCTGCGCGCTGCATCCTGCGCGCTGCATCCTGCGCGCTGCATCCTGCGCGCTGCATCCTGCGCGCTGCATCCTGCGCGCTGCATCCTGCGCGCTGCATCCTGCGCGCTGCATCCTGCGCGCTGCATCCTGCGCGCTGCATCCTGCGCGCTGCATCCTGCGCGCTGCATCCTGCGCGCTGCATCCTGCGCGCTGCATCCTGCGCGCTGCATCCTGCGCGCTGCATCCTGCGCGCTGCATCCTGCGCGCTGCATCCTGCGCGCTGCATCCTGCGCGCTGCATCCTGCGCGCTGCATCCTGCGCGCTGCATCCTGCGCGCTGCATCCTGCGCGCTGCATCCTGCGCGCTGCATCCTGCGCGCTGCATCCTGCGCGCTGCATCCTGCGCGCTGCATCCTGCGCGCTGCATCCTGCGCGCTGCATCCTGCGCGCTGCATCCTGCGCGCTGCATCCTGCGCGCTGCATCCTGCGCGCTGCATCCTGCGCGCTGCATCCTGCGCGCTGCATCCTGCGCGCTGCATCCTGCGCGCTGCATCCTGCGCGCTGCATCCTGCGCGCTGCATCCTGCGCGCTGCATCCTGCGCGCTGCATCCTGCGCGCTGCATCCTGCGCGCTGCATCCTGCGCGCTGCATCCTGCGCGCTGCATCCTGCGCGCTGCATCCTGCGCGCTGCATCCTGCGCGCTGCATCCTGCGCGCTGCATCCTGCGCGCTGCATCCTGCGCGCTGCATCCTGCGCGCTGCATCCTGCGCGCTGCATCCTGCGCGCTGCATCCTGCGCGCTGCATCCTGCGCGCTGCATCCTGCGCGGCATCCTGCGCGCTGCATCCTGCGCGCTGCATCCTGCGCGCTGCATCCTGCGCGCTGCATCCTGCGCGCTGCATCCTGCGCGCTGCATCCTGCGCGCTGCATCCTGCGCGCTGCATCCTGCGCGCTGCATCCTGCGCGCTGCATCCTGCGCGCTGCATCCTGCGCGCTGCATCCTGCGCGCTGCATCCTGCGCGCTGCATCCTGCGCGCTGCATCCTGCGCGCTGCATCCTGCGCGCTGCATCCTGCGCGCTGCATCCTGCGCGCTGCATCCTGCGCGCTGCATCCTGCGCGCTGCATCCTGCGCGCTGCATCCTGCGCGCTGCATCCTGCGCGCTGCATCCTGGCGCGCTGCATCCTGCGCGCTGCATCCTGCGCGCTGCATCCTGCGCGCTGCATCCTGCGCGCTGCATCCTGCGCGCTGCATCCTGCGCGCTGCATCCTGCGCGCTGCATCCTGCGCGCTGCATCCTGCGCGCTGCATCCTGCGCGCTGCATCCTGCGCGCTGCATCCTGCGCGCTGCATCCTGCGCGCTGCATCCTGCGCGCTGCATCCTGCGCGCTGCATCCTGCGCGCTGCATCCTGCGCGCTGCATCCTGCGCGCTGCATCCTGCGCGCTGCATCCTGCGCGCTGCATCCTGCGCGCTGCATCCTGCGCGCTGCATCCTGCGCGCTGCATCCTGCGCGCATGCATCCTGCGCGCTGCATCCTGCGCGCTGCATCCTGCGCGCTGCATCCTGCGCGCTGCATCCTGCGCGCTGCATCCTGCGCGCTGCATCCTGCGCGCTGCATCCTGCGCGCTGCATCCTGCGCGCTGCATCCTGCGCGCTGCATCCTGCGCGCTGCATCCTGCGCGCTGCATCCTGCGCGCTGCATCCTGCGCGCTGCATCCTGCGCGCTGCATCCTGCGCGCTGCATCCTGCGCGCTGCATCCTGCGCGCTGCATCCTGCGCGCTGCATCCTGCGCGCTGCATCCTGCGCGCTGCATCCTGCGCGCTGCATCCTGCGCGCTGCATCCTGCGCGCTGCATCCTGCGCGCTGCATCCTGCGCGCTGCATCCTGCGCGCTGCATCCTGCGCGCTGCATCCTGCGCGCTGCATCCTGCGCGCTGCATCCTGCGCGCTGCATCCTGCGCGCTGCATCCTGCGCGCTGCATCCTGCGCGCATGCATCCTGCGCGCTGCATCCTGCGCGCTGCATCCTGCGCGCTGCATCCTGCGCGCTGCATCCTGCGCGCTGCATCCTGCGCGCTGCATCCTGCGCGCTGCATCCTGCGCGCCTGCATCCTGCGCGCTGCATCCTGCGCGCTGCATCCTGCGCGCTGCATCCTGCGCGCTGCATCCTGCGCGCTGCATCCTGCGCGCTGCATCCTGCGCGCTGCATCCTGCGCGCTGCATCCTGCGCGCTGCATCCTGCGCGCTGCATCCTGCGCGCTGCATCCTGCGCGCTGCATCCTGCGCGCTGCATCCTGCGCGCTGCATCCTGCGCGCTGCATCCTGCGCGCTGCATCCTGCGCGCTGCATCCTGCGCGCTGCATCCTGCGCGCTGCATCCTGCGCGCTGCATCCTGCGCGCTGCATCCTGCGCGCTGCATCCTGCGCGCTGCATCCTGCGCGCTGCATCCTGCGCGCTGCATCCTGCGCGCTGCATCCTGCGCGCTGCATCCTGCGCGCTGCATCCTGCGCGCTGCATCCTGCGCGCTGCATCCTGCGCGCTGCATCCTGCGCGCTGCATCCTGCGCGCTGCATCCTGCGCGCTGCATCCTGCGCGCTGCATCCTGCGCGCTGCATCCTGCGCGCTGCATCCTGCGCGCTGCATCCTGCGCGCTGCATCCTGCGCGCTGCATCCTGCGGCTGCATCCTGCGCGCTGCATCCTGCGCGCTGCATCCTGCGCGCTGCATCCTGCGCGCTGCATCCTGCGCGCTGCATCCTGCGCGCTGCATCCTGCGCGCTGCATCCTGCGCGCTGCATCCTGCGCGCTGCATCCTGCGCGCGCTGCATCCTGCGCGCTGGCATCCTGCGCGCTGCATCCTGCGCGCTGCATCCTGCGCGCTGGCATCCTGCGCGCTGCATCCTGCGCGCTGCAATCCTGCGCGCTGCATCCTGCGCGCTGGCATCCTGCGCGCTGCAGCCTGCGCGCTGCATCCTGCGCGCTGCATCCTGCGCGCTGCATCCTGCGCGCTGCATCCTGCGCGGCTGCAATCCTGCGCGCTGCATCCTGCGCGCTGCATCCTGCGCGCTGCATCCTGCGCGCTGCATCCTGCGCGCTGCATCCTGCGCGCTGCAATCCTGCGCGCTGCATCCTGCGCGCTGCATCCTGCGCGCTGCATCCTGCGCGCTGCATCCTGCGCGCTGCAATCCTGCGCGCTGCATCCTGCGCGCTGCATCCTGCGCGCTGCATCCTGCGCGCTGCATCCTGCGCGCTGCATCCTGCGCGCTGCATCCTGCGCGCTGCATCCTGCGCGCTGCATCCTGCGCGCTGCATCCTCGCGCTGCATCCTGCGCGCTGCCATCCTGCGCGCTGCATCCTGCGCGCTGCATCCTGCGCGCTGCATCCTGCGCGCTGCATCCTGCGCGCTGCATCCTGCGCGCTGCATCCTGCGCGCTGCATCCTGCGCGCTGCATCCTGCGCGCTGCATCCTGCGCGCTGCATCCTGCGCGCTGCATCCTGCGCGCTGCATCCTGCGCGCTGCATCCTGCGCGCTGCATCCTGCGCGCTGCATCCCTGCGCGCTGCATCCTGCGCGCTGCATCCTGCGCGCTGCATCCTGCGCGCTGCATCCTGCGCGCTGCATCCTGCGCGCTGCATCCTGCGCGCTGCATCCTGCGCGCTGCATCCTGCGCGCTGCATCCTGCGCGCTGCATCCTGCGCGCTGCATCCTGCGCGCTGCATCCTGCGCGCTGCATCCTGCGCGCTGCATCCTGCGCGCTGCATCCTGCGCGCTGCATCCTGCGCGCTGCATCCTGCGCGCTGCATCCTGCGCGCTGCATCCTGCGCGCTGCATCCTGCGCGCTGCATCCTGCGCGCTGCATCCTGCGCGCTGCATCCTGCGCGCTGCATCCTGCGCGCTGCATCCTGCGCGCTGCATCCTGCGCGCTGCATCCTGCGCGCTGCATCCTGCGCGCTGCATCCTGCGCGCTGCATCCTGCGCGCTGCATCCTGCGCGCTGCATCCTGCGCGCTGCATCCTGCGCGCTGCATCCTGCGCGCTGCATCCTGCGCGCTGCATCCTGCGCGCTGCATCCTGCGCGCTGCATCCTGCGCGCTGCATCCTGCGCGCTGCATCCTGCGCGCTGCATCCTGCGCGCTGCATCCTGCGCGCTGCATCCTGCGCGCTGCATCCTGCGCGCTGCATCCTGCGCGCTGCATCCTGCGCGCTGCATCCTGCGCGCTGCATCCTGCGCGCTGCATCCTGCGCGCTGCATCCTGCGCGCTGCATCCTGCGCGCTGCATCCTGCGCGCTGCATCCTGCGCGCTGCATCCTGCGCGCTGCATCCTGCGCGCTGCATCCTGCGCGCTGCATCCTGCGCGCTGCATCCTGCGCGCTGCATCCTGCGCGCTGCATCCTGCGCGCTGCATCCTGCGCGCTGCATCCTGCGCGCTGCATCCTGCGCGCTGCATCCTGCGCGCTGCATCCTGCGCGCTGCATCCTGCGCGCTGCATCCTGCGCGCTGCATCCTGCGCGCTGCATCCTGCGCGCTGCATCCTGCGCGCTGCATCCTGCGCGCTGCATCCTGCGCGCTGCATCCTGCGCGCTGCATCCTGCGCGCTGCATCCTGCGCGCTGCATCCTGCGCGCTGCATCCTGCGCGCTGCATCCTGCGCGCTGCATCCTGCGCGCTGCATCCTGCGCGCTGCATCCTGCGCGCTGCATCCTGCGCGCTGCATCCTGCGCGCTGCATCCTGCGCGCTGCATCCTGCGCGCTGCATCCTGCGCGCTGCATCCTGCGCGCTGCATCCTGCGCGCTGCATCCTGCGCGCTGCATCCTGCGCGCTGCATCCTGCGCGCTGCATCCTGCGCGCTGCATCCTGCGCGCTGCATCCTGCGCGCTGCATCCTGCGCGCTGCATCCTGCGCGCTGCATCCTGCGCGCTGCATCCTGCGCGCTGCATCCTGCGCGCTGCATCCTGCGCGCTGCATCCTGCGCGCTGCATCCTGCGCGCTGCATCCTGCGCGCTGCATCCTGCGCGCTGCATCCTGCGCGCTGCATCCTGCGCGCTGCATCCTGCGCGCTGCATCCTGCGCGCTGCATCCTGCGCGCTGCATCCTGCGCGCTGCATCCTGCGCGCTGCATCCTGCGCGCTGCATCCTGCGCGCTGCATCCTGCGCGCTGCATCCTGCGCGCTGCATCCTGCGCGCTGCATCCTGCGCGCTGCATCCTGCGCGCTGCATCCTGCGCGCTGCATCCTGCGCGCTGCATCCTGCGCGCTGCATCCTGCGCGCTGCATCCTGCGCGCTGCATCCTGCGCGCTGCATCCTGCGCGCTGCATCCTGCGCGCTGCATCCTGCGCGCTGCATCCTGCGCGCTGCATCCTGCGCGCTGCATCCTGCGCGCTGCATCCTGCGCGCTGCATCCTGCGCGCTGCATCCTGCGCGCTGCATCCTGCGCGCTGCATCCTGCGCGCTGCATCCTGCGCGCTGCATCCTGCGCGCTGCATCCTGCGCGCTGCATCCTGCGCGCTGCATCCTGCGCGCTGCATCCTGCGCGCTGCATCCTGCGCGCTGCATCCTGCGCGCTGCATCCTGCGCGCTGCATCCTGCGCGCTGCATCCTGCGCGCTGCATCCTGCGCGCTGCATCCTGCGCGCTGCATCCTGCGCGCTGCATCCTGCGCGCTGCATCCTGCGCGCTGCATCCTGCGCGCTGCATCCTGCGCGCTGCATCCTGCGCGCTGCATCCTGCGCGCTGCATCCTGCGCGCTGCATCCTGCGCGCTGCATCCTGCGCGCTGCATCCTGCGCGCTGCATCCTGCGCGCTGCATCCTGCGCGCTGCATCCTGCGCGCTGCATCCTGCGCGCTGCATCCTGCGCGCTGCATCCTGCGCGCTGCATCCTGCGCGCTGCATCCTGCGCGCTGCATCCTGCGCGCTGCATCCTGCGCGCTGCATCCTGCGCGCTGCATCCTGCGCGCTGCATCCTGCGCGCTGCATCCTGCGCGCTGCATCCTGCGCGCTGCATCCTGCGCGCTGCATCCTGCGCGCTGCATCCTGCGCGCTGCATCCTGCGCGCTGCATCCTGCGCGCTGCATCCTGCGCGCTGCATCCTGCGCGCTGCATCCTGCGCGCTGCATCCTGGCGCGCTGCATCCTGCGCGCTGCATCCTGCGCGCTGCATCCTGCGCGCTGCATCCTGCGCGCTGCATCCTGCGCGCTGCATCCTGCGCGCTGCATCCTGCGCGCTGCATCCTGCGCGCTGCATCCTGCGCGCTGCATCCTGCGCGCTGCATCCTGCGCGCTGCATCCTGCGCGCTGCATCCTGCGCGCTGCATCCTGCGCGCTGCATCCTGCGCGCTGCATCCTGCGCGCTGCATCCTGCGCGCTGCATCCTGCGCGCTGCATCCTGCGCGCTGCATCCTGCGCGCTGCATCCTGCGCGCTGCATCCTGCGCGCTGCATCCTGCGCGCTGCATCCTGCGCGCTGCATCCTGCGCGCTGCATCCTGCGCGCTGCATCCTGCGCGCTGCATCCTGCGCGCTGCATCCTGCGCGCTGCATCCTGCGCGCTGCATCCTGCGCGCTGCATCCTGCGCGCTGCATCCTGCGCGCTGCATCCTGCGCGCTGCATCCTGCGCGCTGCATCCTGCGCGCTGCATCCTGCGCGCTGCATCCTGCGCGCTGCATCCTGCGCGCTGCATCCTGCGCGCTGCATCCTGCGCGCTGCATCCTGCGCGCTGCATCCTGCGCGCTGCATCCTGCGCGCTGCATCCTGCGCGCTGCATCCTGCGCGCTGCATCCTGCGCGCTGCATCCTGCGCGCTGCATCCTGCGCGCTGCATCCTGCGCGCTGCATCCTGCGCGCTGCATCCTGCGCTGCATCCTGCGCGCTGCATCCTGCGCGCTGCATCCTGCGCGCTGCATCCTGCGCGCTGCATCCTGCGCGCTGCATCCTGCGCGCTGCATCCTGCGCGCTGCATCCTGCGCGCTGCATCCTGCGCGCTGCATCCTGCGCGGCATCCTGCGCGCTGCATCCTGCGCGCTGCATCCTGCGCGCTGCATCCTGCGCGCTGCATCCTGCGCGCTGCATCCTGCGCGCTGCATCCTGCGCGCTGCATCCTGCGCGCTGCATCCTGCGCGCTGCATCCTGCGCGCTGCATCCTGCGCGCTGCATCCTGCGCGCTGCATCCTGCGCGCTGCATCCTGCGCGCTGCATCCTGCGCGCTGCATCCTGCGCGCTGCATCCTGCGCGCTGCATCCTGCGCGCTGCATCCTGCGCGCTGCATCCTGCGCGCTGCATCCTGCGCGCTGCATCCTGCGCGCTGCATCCTGCGCGCTGCATCCTGCGCGCTGCATCCTGCGCGCTGCATCCTGCGCGCTGCATCCTGCGCGCTGCATCCTGCGCGCTGCATCCTGCGCGCTGCATCCTGCGCGCTGCATCCTGCGCGCTGCATCCTGCGCGCGGCATGGGCGTGGGTGCGGGGAGGAGAAGGAAGGGGTGCATGGGCGTGCAGGTAGAGCGCGACGGTGGCGCTGTAGTCCACCCTTCGCCTCTGCTGGAGGGGGAAAGGAGGGGGAGCAAGGTTCGGGGAACGAGGGGGAAATTGGAGCAGAGTGGGGAGGAAGGGGAGGAGGGGGGGGGGACTGGAAGCACCAGCGCACGTACCATCAAAGAACCCGCCTCTCCCACCGAAATCTCCGCCGCGCCCGCCGCCATAATCTCCCCTTCCGCCATACTCCCCCCTTCCCCCATACTCCCCGCGCCCCCCAAACCCTGCGCCAGGGTGGAACCCGCCTTCAAATCCCCCTCCGCGCCCAAACCCCTGCCCCGGTCCCCCTCGTCCCCCCGGCCCCCCCGGTCCGCCTGGGCCGGGGATACCGCGTCCGGGGCCATGCCCGGGTCCCCCGGGTCCCGGTCCGCCCATCCCCGCGCCCCCCGGTCCCGGTGGCCCCATCCCTGGTCCTCCGCCGGGTCCCGGTCCCCCCATCCCCATTCCCGCTCCCCGCCCCGGGCCTGGCGCGTGGCCGTATGCGAACGGCGGAGGCGGCTGCGCCTGCTGCGGCGGGCCCAGCGGCCCTGGCGGCTGATTCTGCATTTGCGCTTCAGAACAAGTTTGTGTGCGATCCTGTGATATGCGATGCGATGGCGACGACGCAGATGATTCGAGTGCGAAGAGGTGAGATTGAAATTACTGCGAGATTAGGATGTGAGGTCCAGTAGAGTTCCTTTCCTCAAGAATCGACATTAACTACCCTCGCGGTAACGCCGCTAAAAGCAAGGCTACTTCTCTCGGAAGAACCCCATCGCGCTGCCTGCCATGGATGGGAGCAGCAATGGCCGCTTGGGAAATCGTCAAAATCGTGCGGTTTCCTGATTCAGCGCAGTGTGCTGTCAGGAATAGAGAAATTAGGCGAAATGCATCGCACAAATAGATCAAGTTACCACACCACCCTAGCTTGGTCGGTTTTGCCTGACTGGTTTTCAACGTGGAATCGATTCGGCATCGCGAAAGGTTTCGCGTACCGCTCGTTTCGATTCGCCTGGAGAGTTTCTTGATAGCAAAGATGACACGTTTCGCCTCGGCGTAACAGTTTCTGGTTTCGTATGTTTCGAATTACGTAATGTGTGAGATAATTTTGTTAGCACTTGAAAAAAACATTTATTTGTCGAATCCTAGACGTTCGTAGACGAGGGACGAACGATGGAGATTCTAGAGAGGGAAGGCCACAGCGGCCCCCCGTTAGTAGACCATCTGCCGATTCCCGAGACGGAGGAGCTGCTGCTGCACCCGCCAGGCGCGCGCGGGGATCGCGCGGGCATTATAGCGAGATTAGCGAGGAGGATTATAGCGAGGATGAGGACAACGATGGGGATAGCCTCCTGGATCCGTCAGGGAAGCGAGGGAAGCGACGTCGACCGTTCGATTTGGATTTAGATCGACCGCTGGGGTCTAGTTCGCTTCCTTACCCCCTCTCTCTCCTCTCCTCGTATTCGTCCTCCTCGCTCGCGTCTCTCTGCTCAGATGCGATTTGGCTCAGATGGCCTGTAATCGCAGCCGTTGCAGTAATCATCCTCGTTATAATCTTCCTCACTTCCCCTGCAGCAGTGTCCCCCACCACAACTACACCCCCATCGGACGGCTCAGATTCACTCTATCCGTCTGATCTGGACGGCACAGGGACCGGTTTATCGCGAGAACCTAGAGGTTACCGACCGTTACCTGTCGACTCGTTTAAAGGCGTAGACGCGTCCACTCTAGATCCGTCAACGTTACCGTCAGGCGGACGGGGCGCGGGGGGAGGTGACTGGGGATCCGGCGCTGGCGGAAACTGGGGTGGCGGAAAACCGGGGGAAGACCCGCAGGAGGGGCTGTATCCGGACGCGAAGCCGGGGCGCGGGGGGGGGAGATGGGGGAAAGCGGGCGCGGGGGCAGGCGCGGGCGGCGGGGGACATTTGGGGGAAGAGGCGGCGGAAGTGGAAGATTATAGGGACTCCGCGGGGGTGGGGCGGGAGGGGGAGGTGGTGGGGGAGGATGCCAAACGGAAGAGGAGCCGATTGGATGACGAGGTGGTGACGTGGCGCGGCGCGCCATGGAGATTCGACGTCGGTGATTGGCTGAGCAGCTGCAATGGGGAGTCGGGGGTGATCAAGACCGTAGAGGTGGGTGCGGGGGGTGGGGGGGAGCAAGGGGGGGGGAGGATTTGGGAGGGGAGAGCGGGGGAGGAGACTAGGGGGGAAAGTGGATTCGGGTGTGTGGGAAGCCAGAGAAGAGGGATGATTGGAGGGGGTCGGGGTGAGGGGGGCTTGGAAGGTGGGGAGCTATGGGAGGAGTGGGATTGTGGGGAGTTGGTTGAGGGATGGTTCTTCCACTGCTGATAATTCTTTTTGTGGTTAAGGTGCCCCTTTCCACCTGTGCATGCATCTACGTATGCACTCATCACCCTTTGCGTGAAATGAGATGCATGGTTAACCCACCCTGCTTGTCTTCACGCATCCATCCATGTATGCATGCGTGCGTGCATGGTGTATGGCATGGCATGCAACAGGAGGTGTATGGCAACAAGTGCATGCAGGAGTGCAATGGCGTGGGCACGTGTCACTACGACACTGGCCGCTGCCGCTGCCGCATCGGATACACAGGTGGGCTATATTGTTGTTGTCATTGGCATCATTTAGTATTCATACTATTTTTACTATAATTATTAGTATTATTATTACTATTATTATTTTCAATAATTATTAGTATTATCATTGTTATCATTGTTATACTGTTGTCATGCTGCTTCTTTTTCCTCCTGTCACCACGGTCTGACTGCCCAATATCCTCCCTGGCAAGAGTAAACTGTTCCCACACGGTTGCACTCCTTCTTGAGGCACCTCGAATTCGAGACTCCTTTACATTGCACCGCCCGCCCAACTGACAGGGGCGGACTGTTCACACATGGACGCGCATCCCTGCTCCTCCCCACCCACTTCCTCCCCCGGAGTGGTGGCTGGGAGTGCGTGGGCGTGTGCGGGCGAGTGCGACCTGCACTCGGGCCTCTGCTTCTGTGGCTCCAATTCCCTCTTCCCCCTCCGCCCCGTCCCCGACCCCTGCGGCTTCGCACATGACCTGTGAGTGCATCACCTGCGAGTGGACGATGGGGGTGGTGGGTGGGAGTGCGTGGGCGTGTGCGGGGGAGTGCGACCTGCACTCGGGCCTCTGCTTCTGCGGTGCTGGCTCGCTCTTCCCCCTCCGACCCGTCCCTGATCCCTGCGGCTTCGCGCATGACCTGTGAGTGCGTGAGGTGCGAAAGCATCACCTGCGAACAAGCACGGCGGGACACCGACGAGTTTTGAGATTTCTCAAAAGGAGATGTGAGTGCGTCACCTGTGAACAAGCACGACGAGACACCAACGTCCAACGTCCTATACTCTCCATTAGCACGCAGTACTCCTTCTGGTGCAACACATGCATTTGCTGCCCCCCTACCACTCTCCCTTTACCCCTCCCTCCCCCCTTTTCCCCCTCTTTCCCTCCTCCTTCCATCCCCCTCAGAGCAGCAGCAGTGGACAGAACTCGGAAGGACACGGAGGCCCTGTACGCCAACACCACGCACTACCCCGGCTGGTGCAACACACGTGTTCGCTGCCCCTCTTCTACTCTCCCTTCCCCTTCCCTCCCTCCTCCCTTCTCCCCCTTTCAGAGCAGCATCGGTGGACAGAACTCGAAAGGACACGGAAGCCCTCTACGCCAACACCACGCACTACCCCGGCTGGTGCAACACACGCCCAGAGGCGGTGGGCGTGGGCATGGGGGGCAGCATGGCGATGGGAGGGGCGGAGCCCAGGGCGCGGTGCACGTGTGACTATGACGGGGCTGTGGGCGCCTTCTGCCATGTTCCTGTGGCGGCCTTCTGTGTGAATCAGTGCTCGGGGCATGGCACGTGTATACGAGGGCACTGCCAGGTGCGTGATGGCAGAGGGCAATGGGCGCTGCAACAGGTGAGTGTGACCTGCGATGGGAGGGGTGGAGCCGAGGGCGTGAGGTGTGAATACATCACCCATGGCGATGGGAGGAGCAGAGCCCAGGGCGAGGTGCACGTGTGACTACGACGGGGCTGTGGGCGCCTTCTGTGTTAACCAGTGCTCGGGGCATGGCACGTGCATACGAGGACACTGCCAGGTGTGTGCGACTAGGTGCCATGCAATGCAGTGCAGTGCAGTGCAGTGCAGTGCAGTGCAGTGTGTTATCACTCGCCAGTTGACCTGAAAACCACTACCTTATGCATCCTCCCTTCCTCCAACCCCCTTGCCCCTTCCCTTTCCCCCTCGCCCTCCGCCTCTCCCTTTCACCCCTCCCCCCATGCACCCAGTGCAACGAGGGCTGGTTCAGCGTCGATTGCAGTGATTTTTTAGGCGCCTCAAAAAGCATCGATTCCGCCCGTCTCCCCTCCTCCCCCATTCCTCCGTTCCCCACCCCCTCCCCGACACAGTGCAACGAGGGCTGGTTCAGCGTTGATTGCAGCGTGCCCTCCCAAGCCACCTTCGCCGATCCTCAGCTCCCGGCCTGGCTCCAGCCCTTCGACCAGGCCAAGAGGTTCGGCAGCAGCTCAGGCTCCCGGACCTCCACCGAGCCTGGCCTTGCTGCAGTTTCCCAAGCAAGAAAGCGAGGAGGGGGGTTGGGTGGGGGAGGGAAGAATCATGGACCAACGGAGGAGGAGGAGGAGGCAGCATTAGAGGCAGAGATGGGAGGGGAGGAGGGGGAAGGGGAGGGAGGAGAGGAGGAAGGAGGGGGTGGAAGGGCGTATGGAGGGAAGGGGGCAAGGGGAGGGGAGAGAGGGGGAGGGGGAGATGAGGAGCTGGGTTGGAGGAGGCGCAGGAGGAGGAGGAGACTCCTTGGGCTGGACGAAGGAGGAAATTCCCTGGCGAGGCAAACGGATAGGCAAGGTGCCTTGGGTGGTGGCACGGGCGATTTTGTGGAGTGGGATGTGCCTGTTGTTGACCGTGGCCCGCATGACTCTAATGAGCGCCGATGGCTTAGGGGGAGACAGGAAGAGGAGGAGGGGGAGGGAGAAGGGGAGACAGAAGAAGATGCGGAGGGAGGAGGATATGGTGGTGAGGGTGCTGCTGATGCTGGGAGAAACGCTGCTGGTGGTCGGGCAGGTGCAGTAGGCGCAGCAGGGGGAGCAGTTGGAGCAGGGGGGCGGAACGAGGTGGTGAAGCGGCGGCCGTTGATCTACATCTACGATCTACCGCCGCAGTTCAACAGCAACTTGCTGCAGGGCCGGCGCGGCAAGAAGGAGTGTGTGCCTCGGCTGTACGACCGGCTCAACCGCACCGCCTTCCTTCCCGACCACATCCATGGCATGGAGGTAAGTAGGGTAATTGCGCCCATGACATTTAGGTAAGTAGGGTTATTACACCCATGGCATGGTGGTAAGTAGGGTTATTACACCCATGGCATGGTGGTAAGTAGGATTATTACACCCATGGCATGGAAGTAAGCTATTTCGTGAGTGAGGTTCCTTTTGTCTTTGCCTTGCAACTAAAAGCACCTCACATCCACCATCTTTGTTTTGAGTCGACTAAAAACACAGCACCTCACATCCACCATCTTTCCCTGGATCCGATCCCATCCCGTAAGTCCCATGCCGCTTCCTTGATTCCCTTCCTCCCTCCCCCAGATCGCCCTGCACGAGGCGTTGCTGGCAAGCAAGCACCGCACGACCAACGCGGAGGAGGCGGATTTCTTCTTTGTGCCCGTCTACGCCTCCTGCTTCTGGCTGCGCCTCACCAACGGGGGAGATGCTTCCGGCATCCAGCTCCTGGTAGGGCTCTCATCACACACTTTGAGACGTCTCAACACTCGATTTCTTCTTTGTGCCCGTCTACGCCTCCTGCTTCTGCCTGCGCCTCACCAATGCCGGGGATGCTTCCGGCATTCAGCTCCTGGTATGGCACCTTGCGAACCTTCACTGTACCTGTAATGATGAAGCTTCACTTCACAAGAACCAAAACTAGTTTGCGTTTGCGCAAGTCGTGTATCTGTTATGAAGAATCGCTCTAAACGCTACAGCACTCACGCAACCAGGGCTCTTTCTCTACCTGAACTATGGGGCTCGTCTCGTTGACCTAAAGCACACGTTCCTTCTGAGTTGATACAAGTAAGGCCTCCGCAGCCCACCTGTTCCCCTCTGACAAGATGCTTCCGTTCCGGCATCCGGCTCCTGGTTGGGCTTTCTCACACAAGCCCCTTGTGACGAGGCTAGACACGTATCGTACCGTGTCGAATCCTCTTTGTTCTGTGGCTCAATACGCCTCACATGACCTCAGCTCACCATTCACACACTTCCCTCTCCGCACGTCTGCCCCCACCCTTCCCTCCTCTGCACTGCAACCCTTACCAGCCGCACGTGCAGGGCAACTGGGCGTGGCACGTGGCAGAGATGTACGCTGCAGTGCACCGCCACATCGTGCATGCCTACCCCCCGACACACCCACTCCTCTCTCCCCACACCCTCTCCTCTCTCCCCCTGCCAGCCGCACGTGCAGGGCAACTGGGCGTGGCACGTGGCAGAGATGTACGCTGCAGTGCACCGCCACATCGTGCATACCTACCCCCACTGGAACCGCAGCCGCGGCCGCGACCACCTCTGGGTAAGCCGCTCTCCCTTGCAGGCGGCTGCTCCCTCACAAGCAAGAGCTCAGGGGCATGGTAACTGTCAAATGCCTTGTGCTGTGCATTTCAGCTGTTTATTCCAATGCGATACCCTCTTCCCAGTCCAGTGGTGAGTCTCATTAAAATTGTCGTATCCGCCCTCCCCCCTTTCACCCCCCCAGCCCATGGGCACGGACGAGGGCGTGTGTCTGGCCCCACAGGCCATCTGGCACGGCAGCATGCTCACGAGCTGGGGCAACAGCATGGCAGCTCGCTCCCACTCAGTCTCTCTCTCCCCAACCCACCTTAACCGCCGCTTTCCGCCCCCTCTTCCCCCCCACCCCTACGCCCCCAGCCCATGGGCACGGACAAGGGTGCGTGTGTGGCCCCTCAAGCCATCTGGCACGGCAGCATGCTCACGAGCTGGGGCAACAGCATGGCAGCGCACTCCCACTCAGCCTATCTCTCCCCAACCCACTAATACCGCCCGTTCCCGCCCCTCTGCCCCCCACCCTAACCCCCCAGCCCATGGGCACGGACGAGGGGGCGTGTCTGGCCCCTCAAGCCATCTGGCACGGAAGCATGCTTACGAGCTGGGGGAACAGCATGGCGGCTCACTCCCACTCCGTCAAGGCGGCACCGCAGCAGCGGTGGGACGACATCCCCCTGACGCTGAGGGGCGGCCACCTGTGCTACTCTGCCGCCAAGGATATTGTGCTGCCAGCCTGGCTGCCGCCCAATGTGAAGCACCTGCATGAACAGTACTGGCTCAGGTAGGCACTCTCCTGGCTCAGGTAGGCCTGCCTCAGGTATACCTGCCTTAGTCTGGCCTGTGCAGATGGTCGCTTTTTCCCCCAGTTTCAACCATTCTGTCCCACCATGCCTCATCCTCCCTCCCACATTGCCTCATCCTCCCTCCCACACTCTGTCATCCTCCGTCCACCGCGGCCTCTTCCCCCTTTGTGGCAGGTCATTTGAGGAGAGGGAGCACCTCTTCTATTTCGCTGGTGACTTAGGCTCGGAGTACAAGGGGGGCTCCTCAGATAGCAGGTGCTCTCACTGCGTGCACGTGCAATCAATCTGAGCCACTGAATGTGTTACAATCTAACGGCCAGGGAGAAGTTGATAGGGGATAAACAATTGGATGAGAGCAGGTCTGTTACTTCCTTCTTCGCCGTTCTTTTCCTGGTTTTATATATTTTTTCCCAAAATTCCTTCTTTCTTTTCCTGCCTGCTGAGCCTGCAGGTTCAGCTTCGGCATTCGGCAGGCCGTGGCTCGAGAGTTTGCCTCAGTGCCGAACAGCAAGGGGAAGTTGGGGTCGCAGCAGGAGGAGGGGGTGATTGCAACGAATGAGAGGGGCAAGGGTCACAGCGCACAGCTGGGCAATGCCCGGTTCTGCGGGGTCTTCCCCAGCAATGGCTTTAATGCTGACATGGAAGAGGCGATGAAGCATGGGTGCATCCCTGTTATCATTCAGGTGAGTCCGTGTGATGTGAGATTAGTTTTTAGGTACCTAAAAACTTCGCTTCTTCCAGCAATGGCTTCGATGCTGACAAGGAAAGAGGCTATGAAGCATGGATGCATCCCAGTCGTCATTCAGGTGCATCCCTGTCATCATCCCTTTCTCTGCCCCTTTTTCTTCTTTCCCCCCAGCCCTCCCAGCCCTCTTCCCTCTGTTCCGCTTTCTGTATTGATCCGTTGCTGTCCTTCACTCCGCATTCGAAATTATCCATTCAACACTCAATCTATCGTGCTTATGCTTGTATGCGTGATTGGTGTCCATGGGATGGGGGAAATGGTGAGTGGTGGGCTTTCGTGCATGTATGTATGTGTGTGTGCAATGCACAACAGGACGGCATCCACCTGCCATTTGAGAACGCCTTGGACTACGCTTCATTCTCAGTGCGCATAGAGGAGAGGGACATTCCCGACATGCTCACCAAGCTCAAGGTGCCGCTGATTGTCGTTTCGGACTATACCATTCCCAGTTGGTTGGCTCTTGCCTTGTATCCCTCCTCACCTCTCCCTCCCTCCCCGCACTACCCATTCCCCTGCCTTCTTTTCCAATTTGTGAATGTGTATGACATTGTTCTGCAATTATGCTGTCAGCGGGTCTTAGTTTTCTCCTTTATGATCATGTGCTCCATGCTTGTGCCAACAGGCTATCACTGCAGAGCATGGGAGTGCGCTGCAAGGTACAGTGCAGAAGGTGTGGCAGCGGTTGTCGTACCATTCGGTGATCGCACAGGAGGCCAAGAGGCAGCAGGACGAGTATGGGCACAACGAGGCGTGGGCTTTTGGCATCAGCTTGCTGAAAGATGACGACGCCATTGATACACTCATAGAGGTGTGCACTGCACCTCAAAATGAAGCTGTTTCTGTGAGGTCTTGCTGTGTTGTGTGAGTCCCATACATAACTGGTGTTTATTCCTGGCTGTGCATGCTTGCAGGTGCTGCACTACAAGCTCCACAATGACCGATGGCGTAGGGTCTTCAATTACAAGCAGTCCCGGGATGAGCTGGAAAAGTATTTTGGCGTGCCGAAGTCATGTCTTGTAGTGTGATGTGATGTACAAAGAAGCCGGCCACAAAACTCTGATTTGTTTGTTGGATCATGCTGCCCAAGTTGTAGCCTGAGCTGGGTTGGTGCCCATTGAAAATCAAAATTGCATAAATCATACTAAACTGCCTGGTTGTTTGTACCTATAAATTGCAGGGAAACAGCAGTGTTAGAAGCAACACCCTATGTACTACGTTTTTGCGTGCAGTGTAGAAGCCACACCCTATGTCATCCCACCGACATCAGAGCCTTCAGCTGACTTCAAGGGGTACAAAGGGAGACATTGAAGTTGGCTCAAATCTCAAGGCTTCGCGATTCGGCTTGGATCATCTTTCACCCACGAAATGGGCCTTTTGAATGAAGGTTCAGTGGCATTCAAATTCACCTTTCGAACCATGACATGCGATTGTACATCCTTTTCTTTCTTAGTTTTCTGGGGTCACGTGACAGCTTCAGGTTTGTCCTACAGGCAATATCATGGCAAACGCTCCTCTTAATCCGTCGGCCGCGGCAATGGCAGCAGCACAAGCTATAGTAGCACTGCGAAAGGTCTCAAAAGCGGCCGCTAACGCCAACCTGAAAGTTCCGGAGAATGCAGCAACTGATGAAGCTCGTGCCTGCGAGATTGAGCTCAGTCACTTCCGTAAGTGGATAGAAGAACATTGCATCGTTTTTTGGCAATACAAATCCTAATGAGACTTCACGCGTTGTTTCAGGTGGCATGGACGACCGCGAGCTGAGTCTCACGCTGCACGTCACGAGCCTGACCCGTGCCATTACGCGTGAACAGCTTCTTCAATTATTCTCCTTCTGCGGAACGGTCACAAGATGTGACTATCTCAACAACGAAAGGTCCGTTGCTCATATTCGATATTCGACCCCGCAAGAAGCGAAGGTCGCCTTGGACATGAACAACATGGAGATTGCAGATGTGAAGTTGAAGGTTGAGCTCGCGAAAACTGCTCAAGAAAGGATCAAGACAGCTCTGACAGCCTCTGCCAACGCAATTTCCAATTTCCTCCCCGGACATGAAGGGAGATCGACCGCCGCGTTGCAAGAGATTGTCGCAAAGCCAATGTTGCAATTTCAAGAAGCGCTTGCTATGCAACAGAATGCCTCTCGAAAGCCTTCGGGTGCATGTCCCCCCTCAGCGGCAGCTGTTTTGGCAATGCAGAGAGCTAAGGAGATAAGCAAGGTCCTGACATCCAAGGCCTCACTGCATGACCCGTTACAAAAAAGCAGGTCAGTCCTGGTTGCGTGAAAGCCATTTCCATTGAAAAAGGGCTCGCATAGCTGATTTGTCATCGTTGTCAATGTTGCAGGTACGAGAACGTTAACACAGATGACAGGAGGAAGCCCAACTTTCAACCAAGACTCGGCCTCTCATTCAAGGATCGTTCTGGTAGTTCTGATTTTGGCACAGCACAAGGCAGAAGGAAAGGCTCTGGCCGCTCTGAGAATTTCTTGGTGCAGGACACAAGGAAAGCTTCCTCATACATTGGTTCAAAACGCAGACAGGAGTGGGCAGACAACTGTGATTGTAAGCACGGAGACAAGAGAAGAACATTCCTTCAAGTCAAACCGGGCTCCCCTGAGACTAGCCAAGACAGATGGCAAATGGTGCAGGGGAGGGCTCTCCACACACGTGGCTTTGGTGCAGAAGAATAGTCACAAGGCATTTACCCCAATGCCATTCACAGAATTCTGAAATCAAGCTTGAACAATCTAGTTTATGTACACGTGTGCATGAAGTTATAATGGATGAAGCATACAGATAAGCTTACGCGTGGATGTCTTGAACAATGTGTTTGAACAATGTGGTTCAAATAAGGCCATGGCGAATCTCAGCAACCACAACGTGCAGCTCTGGGAACAGGGCTAGAATGACCACCTCCAATAGTGCATGCGCCAGCTGCTTTACACACACCTGTGACTGCAATGTCCCAACAAAAACGAAGTGAGGTGGAGTGAGGTCATGCAATAGGGATGTCCAAGGCAAAGAGGGAACTAAAACAGTGATGGGAACTAATACACAGCCATGGCCCACCTGTACAAAGCTGAAGAGGTCTGAAACTGATCGCTGATAATGTCGCAAACCAATCAGTGGAACAATTGATGCAGGCGCCATTTCTGCGTAAAAGACACGAGAGGAAACAATTAGCGCATATGCACAGATTTCAAATAAAAAGGCAGCTATTTTTCGCCACAGAGACTTACCAAGCAGAAGCTGATGAACTCGGGCAGCCTTGTCAGCGGCCTCCAGTCGCTGTTGGAAGGACTCTGGAGGTACATTGAGCCCAAGAGGGTCGGGACGAGAAACAGCAGGAGCAGAGGAGCCTGTGCGGGAGCTCGAAGCTGCAACGGTGGCCCGGTAATTTGGGTGGCGCGAGTAGAATATACCATCCGGCCACAACCTCTGATGAGAATCAAAGAGGGTGTTCACGGGAGAAAACACATCAAGAATACAGAGATGAGCCGTAAGAAAGGCTAATACAACTTCCAAAAAGCAAACGGATAGGAAACAAAACTGGGTTAGATGTTGGTGGGGGTTGATGGCAAAAGAGGAGGGGAGTGGGGTGGGTGATGTTTGCATACAAGGGTTGGGAAGGGATATGAGATGTGAGGTTGGCAGGAGAGGAAGGTGTGGGAAGGACGATGAGGGTGCACAGTGAACAGCCCCAGACCTGGTGCAGGGAGCGAATGATGGTGGCGACGGTGGATTCTGTGCGGAGCTTCTGGATCTGTGAGAGAAGGAAGTCATCAATGGCATCCCCCATGCTCAGCTCCAATACCTGCCTCGCCACCCACACCACCTGCCGCCTGCCAGTGACCAAGGGGGGTTGGAGGAGGGTGGGAGGTGGTGGGTGGTATGAGTTTTGACATGTCTCAAAGCAGCAAGTCATCAATGGCATCCCCCATGCTCAGCTCCAACACCTGCCTTGCCACCCACACCACCTGCCGCCTGCCAGGAACCAGAGGGGTGGAGGAGGGAGAGATGGAGTGGGAGGAGAATGTGGCTTGTAACAGCAGATTAGCATGTCTTCAACCTCACCTGATACAGCCAAGCCATCGTTACCAAGCTGTTCCAGAGTTATACTGCAGTACGGACCTGATCCAGTCGGCGGGTTCAGTGGGAGGGCGAAGAGAGACTGACCTGATCCAGCCGTGGGCGTCGAGGTGCAGTAGTACCTCCACCAGCCGCAGCAGTGGCGCACTCAGCTTTGCAGCAGTCCACTGCAGCATGGCACAGCACGGAATGGCATGGCATGGCACGGCATGGCATGGCACCCAGCCGGGCACGCCCAAGATGCATGGGTAGGGAGGGAGAGAGAACGGAACACACGTGAACGACAGAAGACACAGTGAAAGACGAACGGGTATTAATGCACATGCGCACGGGGGTTCACACGTAGGGATGATTCTGCCAGTGAACTATGTGACTTACATCGGCAGGAACGGTGGCATCCAGTGCACTCCCCTCATTGTGCCTTCTGACAGAACCATCCCTTCCCTCAGCTCCTCGTTCCACACGCCCTCCTTGCTCTGCTGGCACATGCAAGCCACGTGGATGGACTGCTCCCACCACCACCCCATCCTCCTCATCCTCCTCCTCCTCCTCATCCTCACCATCACCATCTGCCTCGAACAGCCCTGCAGGAGCTTCTCCTCTCCCAACAGAACCTGACCCGCCTTGCGCAGTTCCTATGCCATCCCCATCCCCATGCCCATCTCCGCGTACACGGGCAGCACCCTGTTGACGGAGGTCATCATCCTCAGAGCTCTCACACGAACTTCCATTCTGCTGCTGTTGCTGCTGCTTTCGCTGCTTCACTCTTCCTCCCTCGTCCTCTTCTCCCCCTGCTCCCTGTGCATCTCCCCCCTGCGCCCTCTGCAGGTCATACTCCAGCCCGCCAAGGCTCTGCCTCGACCCATAGCTGAACACATCGTCCTCCCCATCTGCCTCCCTCTCCCCGCCCATCCCCACACCTCCACCCCTCATGCCTCCATCCACCATACTCCCACCGATTGTGGTCTCACCTCTTGGGCCCACTCGCCTCTTCAACCCCCCATCAACCTCTCTCCTCCCTCCTTCACTGCAAATCTCCCGCCCAGCCCAAGCACCTGCTCTCTCCTCGCTCCCCTCCTCCCCCTCCTCCTCTCCAGTCCCCTCTGACCACTCCCCTACTCCCTCCCAAACCGTAGATGGACGGCCCTCCCCTTTCACCATCCTCAACTCCTCTCGACCACGCAAACCCACTCTACACCCCCCACCACCTCCTTCCCCACTCCTCCCACTCCCATCACTGCCAAATCCTCGCTTCTGTCGTCCAATCTCAGCTCTTCCAATCGCCTCCTCACCAAACCCTGCCACGTGGCGGCTGCTGGTTGGTCGAGCAGCGCGGTGACTGTAACGAGGGGAGGTGGCAACAGAGCTGGTGTCATCCCCGTTAGTAGCAATGGTGGAGAGCAGCTGCAGCTGAGACGTGCTTTTAACGCGCTGCCACTGCACATCGTCTGTCACTTCATCTACACTCACTACAAGAAGGAATGGGAAAATCAGTGGGAGGAGGGGGGTTGGAGGGAGGGTGGAGGGGGTGAGAGGAAGGAAGGGGAGGGGGGAAAAGCGGAGGAGAGGGGGAAGAAAGAAAGGGTGGAATAGTGGGTTGAGTGGCAGAGGTGCACCAAATGGGGAATGTATTGTTAGAGGCAGGGTGAAATAGTGGGTTGAGTGGAGGGTGGTGACCGTTAGAGAGTGAGCGTGAATGTAATGTTGTGGAAACGTGCTTAACAATGATGTACCTCACGAGACAAAGAATTCAGAATCAGCAAGGGAGAATCTGAAAGATATCAAAGATAGGAGTGCTTACAAGCAAAGGAGATGGCCTTTGACACAGTGATGTGGGACTCAAAGGCCTGAGGAAGCACAGGGAGCACAGGGGGGATGGGGCGGATTGGAGACAATTTATTTTTGAGGCGCCTGAGGAACATGCTCGCATGCAAAGGAGATGGCCTTTGACACAGTGATGCTGGACTCAAAGGCCTGAGGGAGCACAGGGGGAGGGAGGGGGAGAGGGTGGAGTTGGAGACGAGTCCGGAGGGGGGGTGAAGACCATTCAAGGGGACTTGGAGACGAATAGAGAGGAAAGCGAGGGACGACAGGAAGTGGTTGAAGACGCGGACAGGGGGAGTTGTGGGGAGGGATCACAGGAAAGAGCTGGCCGAGAGAGATGGGGGTGGTGGAGAGAGGGATGAGGGACTAAATAGGGAGAGACAAGCAATGTGAAAGGGAGGGAAAGCAGGTGTGGTGGGAGCGGCATAGCAGCAAGGAGGTGAGACGCCATGGGACCCACACCCCACCACATTACACTTCACCACACCACCACACCCCACCACATTACACTTCACCACACCCCACCACATTACACTTCACCACACCACCACACCCCACCACATTACACTTCACCACACCACCACACCCCACCACATTACACTTCACCACACCACCACACCCCACCACATTACACTTCACCACACCACCACACCCCACCACACCCCACCACAACACACTAGCACAGCCCACCTTGGAGTCAGGGGAGAGGAAGTCGATAACCTCTGGCGATGTGGCCAGCTCCTCACGCGCCATGATGCCCTGCCAGGGCGGGGGAGGGTGGGTGGATGGCAGCGCAAGAAGGGAGAGGGAGGAGAGGGGTAAGGGGAGGAGAATTTCATTCAGATAACTTCGATGTCCTGTGCAGGTGACTGGGTGGCAGAGCATCAGGAAAAGGGGGGAAATCAAATCACTAGCATGCAGTATTGATGCGTCGCATGGGAGGGCGGTGGGGGGGTGAAGACGTGGGAACCAACGAGAGGGTAGTGAGGACAAGATAAGTTGAGGCGGACGAGGAATTCGCACACCCGCACATGCAAGCGTCCACCCTACCTTGACGTAAGCGTGCAGCTGCAGCAGCCTGTCCCGAATGAGCTCCTCATCCCGCCCGCCGTGGAAGAAGTGTTTGGGTGGCAGCTGCAGGCTGCCTGCTGTGGGGCTGCGCCGCTTCAGCTGCTGGTGCAACTGCCAGAAGTTGCGATACCTGGGGGGGTTGGGGGGAAGAAGGAGTGGAGAGAGGTGAATGGGCACGAGGGCACATGGGCACAACGGGCAGATGGGCACATGGGCGCAAGGGCGCAAGGGCAGCAGGAGGTTACCTGCGTCGGACGATCCAAGCGGAGCCATCGAGGCCAGTGACAGCAATGGAGTAGCCCACTATGGCCTCGCCCCTTGCCTCCGCTGAGAACGCGCCCACGATCTGCTCATGCATGCATGCATGGATGGATAGATGGACGCAACAATGCATGGATACACGGATGCATGGATGCGTGGATGCATGGTGATATGGAGGTAAGAATAAAAGGGGCCATGGCGATGAGGTGACATAAGGGCACACAAACCCACTGACTGACACGCATACACCCACAAGTTGATTTCCACAACGCCCCCTGATTAAGCACGTCTCAATAAATTTCCTGCTTCCCCACCTGAGCGTGCATCTGCCTGCCCTCGCCCCCCTCTCCAAACGCACGCATCTCCTTGCTTTGCCCACCGCCTCTGCTTCCATCCGCCTGCCCCCTGCCATCACCCCCCTGCCCCATGCCAAGGTACTGCTGCATCTCCAGCTGAGCCTGCTCCTCCTCCCTCCGCTGCTGCTGCTGCTGCAGCCACTCGCTCTCCAGTAGCCACGCCGGCCGCAGCCCTTGCCCCCTCGCCTCCTCCCCTCCCACCACTAACCCCACTCCTCCCACTCCCCCCATCCCTCCTGCCATTGCATCGCCAGTGCCCCGGCTTCTACTACCAGGGCCGTCCCATGCACGCATCGCACCGCGCCCCTTCTTCACACGCGCGCTCAGCAGCAGCCCTCCTCCTTCCTCCTCTTCTTCCTCCTCCTCTTCCATACCCAAACCTTCCAAGTCTAAGAAGGTTCCTCCCGCGTACTTCGATTCCCCTGGCCCGTCTTCCGAGTGCCATCCCTGCACCGGCCCTTGCTCCACCTGCTGTAGCCACCTCTGCTCCTGCTGCTTCTCCTCCTGCCGCTCATGCTTTTCCCACTCACGCCTCTCCCTCTCTCCCTCCACCTCCCGTTCCTCCTCCCACTGCCGCACCACACTCAGCGGATCCCTCTCTGCCGCTTCAGCCAGCAGCACCCTGTCATCCCCACTCCCACCCCCACCCACTCCACCCACCTCTCCACCACTCGCCCCTCCCTTCCCCCCCTTCTCACCCGCACCCCCACCTCCCCCACCTCTCATCCCAAATGCCCCAGCCAGCCCGAACGCGGCTAGATTCCGCTCCACCCACCCAGCAGTGGCAGCAGCAGCAGACAGCACCAACCTCGCATCATCCCCACCCCCGTCCCCCTGTGAGGCAGACCCTGCACGTCCCCCTGCCCCTGTGGCCGAACTCCCCCGCCCACGCCCCACCCCTGCACGCGTCCCCACTTCAGCCCCTAGGTTCCCAGCCACTGTGCTTGCAGCTCCAGCTGTGTCCCTGCTTGCTCCTGCTGCTCTGCCTCCCAGGTCTGACCTGGGCCCAGCGCCTATGAAGCTCAGCCAAGACCCTGCTCCTCCTGCTCCTGCTGCTGCTGCTCCTCCTGCTCCTGCTGCTGCTGCTCCTGCTGCTGCTGCTCCTGCTGCTGCAGACCCTGAACTGGGCTGTGTCTTGCCTTGAGTCTGGTTCGCCTCACCAACCCCTCCCGCTGCTCCATTTGCAACTGCACCCGCTGCAGTGGTCCCTGCAGCTGCAGCAGTCACCTGTGGTTTACCCACTGGTGTACCTGCGCCATCTGTGCCACCTGTGCCACCTCCTGTTGTTCCTGCTCCTGCTGCTGCTCCTGCTCCAGATGAAGATGACCAGAACGCGCCTGTGGCCCACACACCCGCCCAGCCGCCTTGTGCCTGCAACTGCTGCTTCCCTGACACCCCCTTCAGCCCCCCTGTGCTCGAACCCACTCCCTGCCTCACCCTTCCAAGCTCGTCTACAGGAGACAGATCCGTGACTCCTCTCACTCTCCCTCCTCCTCCTCGCTCTCCTGCTCCTACACCGTCCTCTCCCGCCCCACCATCGCCCTTCCTGTGCATCATCTGCATTGCGCCAGGCGACTGCTCCACCAGAAACCCTAGCCCACGCACCGCCACCCCGATCTCCAGCTCCTCGCTCCACCTCCCACTGCGCGCGCCATCGTTGCGGTAACCACCTGCATCACGGTTACCAGCTCCAACAGGGTTACCACCTACACCAGCAGCAGCAGCTCTCTTGAAACTGCCAAGCTCCTCATCTGAACAAAGTGACTCCCACAGCATCTCTCGCACGTTCTCCCTTCTTCTCTCATCCCTTCCAGCACTAACATACCCCCCACTACCACAGCTGCCAGAACCACCACCAGCATTTCTATTGGCAGCAAATTCCCTGAGCCCGTCCAATGCTGGCCCCTGCCGACCTTGCACCCCATCCTGACCCCTCACCACCGCATCCTGCCCATTCACCGCTCGCTCTCCACCCCTTAGAACTTCCTGCCCTTTCACGGGCCGCTGCCGCTCTCTCTTGCTCCTCCTCGTTGACTCATGCACTTGCTGCTGGTGGCTCTCCGCAAAAGCTCCTTGCTTCTCCCCAGTCGCAACTCCTCCCTTACTCTCGCCTCCTTGCGTGTCGCCCTTCCAACCTGGGTCCTCCCTGCCATTCCAATCAGAATCCTTGCTGTGGCTGCCATTCTGAAGAAAATCCTTGCTGTCATGCCTGCCTGCATGCGCGTTCCCAACCGCCTGCGTGCTGTGGCTGTGGCTGTGGGTGTGGGTGTGGCTGTGGCTGTGGCCGTGCCAGTGGGAATGCATCCCATCGGTGTACCACAGCTTATCAATCTGCTCGCTATCCAGCACCTGCAGCTGCCGCTGCTCGTACCGCTGTAACGCCTGCGCAAAATCAGCGTCATCACCCGGTAACCGCACTGCACCCTCCTCGCACTTGCCCCTCCCACACGCACCCCTTTCACCCCCTTCACATGGCTCACTTTTCACCCTGCCAAACACCTTCCCGTCTCCCTCCCAAGCCCTGCCTGCCTTTCTCCTCTGCCGCTGGGCTGCCCGATCAGCCGCTTCACCCACTGCCGCAGACGCCCCTCCACTGGGGTGGACAAACGGACCAGATGCACCGGCAGGAGGAGGCGGAATGTGAAGGGATGCTGCGCTAGCAGCAGCAGGTGCAGCAGGCTGGGCGTGTAAAGAAAAGCCTCCCTGCCTCTCGCCGCTGCTGCTCAGCGTGCCTTGGCTCCCCGAACCTCCCAACCAGTCAGTTCCACCCGACCCTCCCAACCCAGCCGGGCCGCCAAGGCCACCGGAGGGGCCGTGCAGAGCGAGGGGCGTGGCGGCGATGAGCTGAGGGGCTAGGGACGCCAGGGATGATGATGCACTCATAGGCTGCAGCATCCCAGGGGAACGGCCTGGGGGAGGCTTATCCTGGGGAGGCATGGCCTGGGGAGGCGCCATCTGAGGCGAATTAGCTGCACCTAACCTTCCACGAGCCCCGGCAGCAGCAGCAGCACCACCACCACCTCCACCGCCGCCGCCGTCATTGCCACCGCGGCCGGCATGATACGACCTGTCAGCATGAGGGGAGCCGTTTTCCTCATCTGTGCTGAAGCCCATGCCCACCACTCCACCGTCACTCGTGCCCCCTGCTAGGCTATCGTCATCCCCCGCACTGTCTCCCCCCAACCCCAACACAGCACGCCGCCGCATGCTGCTGCTGCTGCCCCTCCCACCAGATGCACCAGATACACCTCCCCCGAATGTACCTCCCCCGTACGTCCCACCTGGACCAGATACGCCTCCCCCGAATGCGCCTCCACTGGGTGACCCTGTGGCCCGCATGCGCCTGCTGCGGCTGCGAGGGACTCGCCTCCTTAAAGAGGAGCCCATCCGAGAGCCCATGCCTTGCATCGAGCCCTGCTGGGGTGAAAACTCGTGTTGTGATTCCCCAGGCCTCCGCTGCTGCTGCTGCTGCTGCTGCTGCTGCTGCTGCTGCTGCTGCTGCTGCTGCTGCTGCTGCTGCTGCTGCTGCTGCTGCTGCTGCTGCTGCTGCTGCTGCTGCTGCTGCTGCTGCTGCTGCTGCTGCTGCTGCTGCTGCTGCTGCTGCTGCTGCTGTTGCTGTTGCTGTTGCTGTTGCTGTTGCTGTTGCTGTTGTTGTTGCTGTTGCTGCTGCTGCTGCTGCTGCTGTTGCTGTTTCTGCTGCTGCTGCTGCTGCTGTTGCTGTTGCTGTTGCTGTTGCTGTTGCTGTTGCTGTTTCTGCTGCTGCTGCTGCTGCTGTTGCTGTTGCTGTTGCTGTTGCTGTTGCCACTGCTCTTGCCGTTGCTGTCGCTGCTGCCGAAGAGAAGCGGCCGCGGCACTCAGCGGCGACACCGTAGCAGCCAGGACCGGCGCCGATGCTGCCGACCCTACACCTCTCCCGCCCACACCTGTTCCCGCCCCACCTGACACAGCTGCTGCTGCTGCACTGGCAGCTACTGCTGCCGCTGCTGTTGCTGCTGCTGTTGTGGATGCTGAGGCTGTTGGTGGGGCAGCGGCGGAAGGGACTGAACGTGCAGAGGGGGGATGAGAGGTGGAAGAAGAGGGGTGCTTGTCCAAGAAGGCGAGTATGGCGTCGTTGATCACACTGTGGAGGAGAGCAGATAGCAAGAGAACGGAGAGAGGGAGGATGGGACAGAGAGTTGAGGGGGGAAGAGATAGAGAATAGGAAGAGATAGAGAATAGGAAGAGATAGAGAATAGGGAGAGAGAGAGAGGGACGGAAAAGAGGGAGCACAAGCATAAGATGTTGGAGAGTAACTGCTTGAGTGCACAACAGGTCTAGATCAGAATGGTGCTGGGGGCGTAGAAAACTTTCATGGGTACTGGCCAGCTGGCAGGATTACCGGGAATTGGCCTGCTTGTGTGAGTTACCCGGGGTTGGTTTGGAAAGTGCATACCGGGGGTTGGCCTGCCTAAGGGAGGGCAGCAGCACGCAGCAGGAGAGGAGCTCTCGAGCCATGCAGCGCACCACGTTGCTCTGTGCGTCACTGGCTGGCAGCACCAGCGCCAACAGTGCTGCCACTAGCTTCCTCACCACCTGATGCATGCATGCACACGGACATGCACAGATGCACACTCGCACATGCAAATTCACACTCATGCACATGCACATGTGACACCCATGCACACACCCACACACACACACACACACACACACACACACACACACACACAGCCACGCACACACACATGCACACTCGCACGCGCACACACACACACACAGAGGTGGGAATGGAGGCCCACAACTATTAAATGGAGTTCAGTGAGAGACATAATGTGTGCAGGTTTTCGCCCCACCTTGTATTCGCACTCCACGGAGAGGCAAGCAGGGTGCAGGTCACCCGACGCCCCCAGGGTGTGCTTGAGGCGCTCCTCCCTCTCCCCTGCTGCTACCCGCCTCCACTCGCCCTCGCCCTCGCCCATGTCTGCACACGCGCGCTGGTACTGCTCCATTGCGCCCACCACCGCTCCCACCACGTCCCTGGCAGGGAGGGGACCGGAACGAGAGAGCATGGAAGTGGGGGGGAAATGGAATGTGAGGACGGAAAGGAAAAGCCGGGGGGAGGAGGGGGGGGGGGGGGAGGGGAGGGGAAAGCTAGGGGCGCAACTTTAGGTTCCCTGGAACAGCTTTGCATGGGCAGCAGCAGCACAACGAAGGATGCATTGCAAGTATGAGGTAAGCATTGCAAGCACGGAGGAAGCAGATACAGCAGAGGCAGTATCTGGTGGTGACTAATGAGACGTCTCAAACTTGTCTAGTGGCACGCAAGCAGGAAGCAGCAAGCAGGAAGCAGGAAGCAGAGCAATCAGAGGCAGGCGGCACCTGGTGAGCAGCGCGACGAGGTTGATGCGCTTGGCCCGCCGTGCCACTTCACCCAGCACGGCCAGCAGCACACACCGCAGCTCCTCCGGCATCTCCCTATCGGGCGTCAGGTACGCATAGAACTGGTTCGTCACAAAGTCCCTGGGAAAAGGGGGTGAGGGGGAGAATAGCGAGCATTGAGGATCTGCTGCTTCCTAGTGTAAAGAAGTATAGTTAGAAGGCTTCCAAGACCGTTGAAAGACAATCGGGGACGAGTTCAAAAAATCACGGGTGTGTGGATGTGAGTCTGCTTGTAACGAGTATGCGCCTCAATCACCTTATAATGGAGCGCACAAACTCGTCAAGAGACGCTTCCACCAGCGGCGACCCCACCAGCGCCAGCCCGGCCGGTTCCGACGGCCGCGGGAGGGCGTCGGACGACGTGATTGGCTGGAAGGGCGCGTGCACCTGCTCGTAGTGCACACGTGGCAGGCTGGCATTGGCCCGCGCCTGCAGCTCGAGCATGAGCCAGCGAGCGGCGGCGAGGATCCCAAGGGCCACCGGCAGGTTGAGCAGAAGCGAGGGGCTCGTTACTGGCGCAGGGATTACAGGTAAGGTCACAGCGCGAGAGGGATGGAGAGGGAGGCGGAAGGGGCGATGTTTGGGACGAATCAAGGATCCCGAGGTCCAACGGTGGCTGGCTGGTTGAGGAGCGGGCAGGGGCTCGTTACTGACGCGGCATCACATGTATCAGCGGAAGGAGGGAAGAGGGGAAGAAAGGGAAGGAGGTGACACAGACGAGCGCAACCATCGTGATGACCACCAGCTGGGATGGGACCACCTGGGACCACCTGGGACCACCTGGGTCCACCTGGGACCACCTGGGACCACCTGGGACCACCTGGGACCACCTGGGACCACCTGGGACCACCTGGGACGAACAACAGCAGTTCCCGACTCCAACCATCAGAGATACTACCATCCGGTCGTTAAACATCATAACAGTGCTCAATAGGTCTCTATGATAATATTACGCGATAAGACATACGCGATAGTGTTCTTACGCGACATGGCATACACAGTAGTATTCTTATGCGACATGGCATACGCGGTAGTATTCTTACGCGACATGGCATACGCGGTAGTATTCTTACGCGACATAGCATACGCGATAGTGTTCTTACGCGACATGGCGTACGCGAGAAGGACCGCGGCGAAGATGAGCAGCAGTCCGCGCGTACGAATCTCCTCCACCAGCTCCTGCACGTGCCGTATCCGACCCATCTGCACCCATTCGTTCGCCCTCCAACGCGCCAGCCGCCAGACGCCCGGTCGCACACGCACGGTTCCCCCCGACCCTAGCACCTTGCACGGCCGGCATAGCAGCCCTGGCGATGGCTTAGTTAAGACTGCGCTGCAGCATCGACACCTTAAAGTCGGCATTCTGAAAGGCTTTTGGAAGGTACCCGAAGTGCTAAGGCGTGGATAGCCACAAGTAGTCTTGCTGATGCCTAATGAGTGATTATTTACTCGGCTCAAATGTCAGTTCATGCTGTAAGCCTGGGTAAGCCTTACTGCTGCTAAGCGTGTCGAGCATCGCTTCGTGTTGTTTACTTAACATGGTGCTGCAGCGTCGGTATCGGCTAGGTGCCATGATAATATTATACAAACTAACTCTGAAGATTCTCGTGACCCGACGAAGCCATGAATCACCACTGCATTGCATGTGTCCCTGTTTGTCTTCACAGAAAGCACAACGAACTGTGAAAAGTCGGGGAGCACGAAGCGACGACAGCAGCAGTTGAACTCCTCGCGCGTTGCGACCAATTTTCACTGACGCTGACATTTCCCTTCGCATAGACTACAGTAATAAATGGTTGCACAGCACAGTGATCAATCAGCCAAAAACTGCATCAACATGGTGTTTGTTCCCATCATGATGCTCACAACTAACTGATTGCGTTTTTACGGTAACAGTTTGATCGTGCAAAGTTGGTTTGTGTTTGACAATTGGTATGCGACGATGAGTGTGGTATAAGGAATACTGCACCTCTTTGTATTACGAATATGAATTAGGTATATACAACAAACTTCAATACCTCAATTCATTTGCCATGTACCACCATCAGCACTACTGTCATACAGCCCTAGAGGCGAGGACAGCAAAAGAGGAAACGTCTCCTTTGACCCATCTGCCAGCAATTGCCCAGCCCTCCCCCTCTTCCTAGCCCCGTGCACCATCAAGCTGGCACTTAGTGTCTCTCCTGCACCACTCACAGCATTCAGTTTATCGGCTACGCCTCCACATCGATCACCTCCAACCGCTCTATTAGCTGCTCTGCTGCTGTCACCCGCACTAGGCGCCAGCGACAAATGAATGCCAGGGCAGGCGTGCGGACTGGCAGCAGGTGAGGGGAGGAACCCTGGCACGACACCTACAAGCTCATGCATAGCCCTGGAGGACCCATCAGCTGCCCTTTTCCATAGTCCCGTTGACGCTGCTCCACTCTGCTCTGCCATTGCTGCTGCTTCAACTGCCACGGGGAAAGCAGCAGACACGTGTGCAACAGGAGGGAGTGCAGCAGCAGATGGTGGCACTAGGCGTGGGTCTGCTGGAGTGGCAAGAGAGAAGCCGGTCTGTCCGAGCCTTAGCTCATGGCGAGGCTGCTTATGTGGGGTCCGCCCTGCTTCCCCTGTTGCACCACTGTCCCTGGTGTCTCTAGCGCGTGTGTTGGTCCCGTGCCCTGCCCGCTGCATGATCTGCTCCGAATGATCATCCACCGGCTCTTGCTTTGGCTGTGTCATCTGTGGCTTCTTTTGCTGTTGCTGTTGTTGCTGTTGCTTTTGTTGTTGTTGCTGCTGCTGCTGCTGCTGTTTCCGCTGCTCCTGCCTCCGCTGCTGCCCCTGAAGCTGCTGCTCCCACTGCTGTTGCTGCTGCTGCTGCTCCCACTGCTGTTGTTGCTGCTGCTGCTGTTGATCCCACTGCTGTTGTTGTTGTTGTTGTTGTTGCTGCTGCTGCTGCTCCTGCCTCCGCTGCTGCTGCTGCTGCTGTTTCCGCTGCTCCTGCCTCCGCTGCCGCCCCTGAAGATGCTGCTCCCAATGCTGTTGCTGTTGCTGCTGCTGCTGTTGCTGCTGTTGCTGCTGCTCCCACTGTTGCTGGTGCTGCTGCTGCTGCATATGCTGCTGTTGCTGCTGTTGCTGCTGCTGCATATGCTGCTGCTGCTGCTGCTGCTGCTGTATATGTTGCTGCTGCTGCTGCTGTATATGTTGCTGCTGCTGCTGCTGCTGCTGCTGCTGCTGCTGTTGTTCCTGCTGCTGCTGGACTTGCATGTGCGTTTGCCACTGCAGAGAGGCCTTACCAGCAGCAGCACCGTCACCTCTCGCCCCCTGCATGGCCTGCTGAAGGATGGCAGACAGCGCTGCAGCAGCCATCGCCTCTGCCCCCATGCCCCCTCCCCGACTAGGCACCGCTCCGGCAAGCCCAATCGCTCCAGAAATCACACCTGCCACTCCTACTTCCGCCCCACACCCCCTTCTCACCGAGCCACGCCCAGGAGAAGAATCACACCCCCCAGGCCTACTACCCGCCCGCTCCCCAGTTCCCCCGTTCCCTGCCGTGCCACCCTCCCGACCCCCTCCCACCCGACCACTGGAGGACAAGTCGTGCAGCCATCCCGTGCTCTCCTCTACAGAAGGGCGATCGGCTCCCCCCATTAAAGACAGCTGCATGAACCCATGCGAGCGCAGCCCTGCAGCAGCTGCTGCTGCGAGTTGCGAGTGCAGCCCTGCTGCTCCCGCTGCTCCCAGCGCACCCACCGCACCCACCACCGCCACCTCCGGCTCACTTACCAGTGCCACTCGCCCTCCTCTTGTTCCTGCTGGTGCGGGAGTTGCTGTTGCTGTCGCTGAGGATGCAGCAGTTGCTGCCGCAGCTGCTGCTGCTGCTGGTGGTGCTGCTGCTGGTGCTGTGGTGGCTTCTGCTGCTGCGCGTTCAGCTTGTGCGGGAATGATGCAACCAGTTACATGCACAGAGTAGGAGTCCGAACCACCCCCGCAAAGAGCCAAATCCCGAACCTGCAGCCTTTCCCCTACTCCACCCTCCAAAGGTGCTGCTGCTGCTGCTGCTGCTACTGCTGCTGCTGCTACTGCTGCTGCTGGAGCTGGTGGTGCTGGTGAGGCTGCTGCTGCTGCTGCTGGTGATGCTGCTTCGCAGTGCTGTGTGGCAAGCAGAGCACAAGTGGAAGGGCATGCGAGAGTCGGGCGAGTGGCAGGCAGCGAGGGAGCCCAGAGGGACGCACACTGCACAGAGGACGTGGCGGGCGGAGGAGGCACGACGGGAGGAGGCAAGGGGGGAGGAGGCGGGAAGGGAGGAGAAGAAGGCAAAAGAGGAGGAGGCAAAGAAAGAGGCGGGGGAAAGGGAGGCGGACGAGGCAAGGAAAGCGAGAGAGGAGGAGGAGGAAGAGGAGGAGGAAAGCGAGGAGACGTCGAGGCCAGCGTGTGCCCAGCAGCAGATACAGGTTCGCTGAGGATCTCCGCCTGTACCACAGCACCAGTGCTGCCCTTGGTGGGCGCCTGTGCCGTCATGCCAGCACTGCCCTTGCTGGGCGTCTGTGTGTGCGACTGTGTGTGCGTCTGTGTGTGCATCTGTGGGTGCGTCTGTGTGTGCGTCTGTGTGTGCGTCTGTGTGTGCGTCTGTGTGTGCGTCTGAGCCACGGTGGTCCCAGAGCTGCCCTTGGGGCCCCCCAGCCGTATCCGCGCAGTGCCTCTCACCCGCCCGGCTGCGGCACCTGCGGGATCCATGTCTCCTGCGCCCTGGGGTTGGCTCAAATGATGCGCCTCCTGCCGCTGCTCTGAGCGTGAGAGCGGGTGGTGCCCAGCATGAGTGCTGCTGTGCGGGTGAGAGAGGCTGAGGCTGAGGCTGAGAGGGGAGTGGAGGGCGTGAGAGATGCTGGCGGCAGCACCCTGCTGGTGTGCATGCGGGATGGCATGGTGTTGGTATGAGTGGCGAGGGGAGCGGTGAGGGGAGTAGTGAGGGGAGTAGTGAGGGATGATGCCGGCCGCACCCACGCGCTGCTCGTGCCCACCACGGCTGTAAGTAGACCATGCTCCTCCCCCTGCTGCTCCCGCTGTCGCTCCCGTTGCTGTTCCCGCGGCTGTTCCCACAGCTGCTCCTGCTGGTGCGCCTGCTGCTCCTGCTGCCCCTACTGCTCCTGCTCTTCCTGCTCCCCCTGCAGCCCCTGCTCCATCTGCTGCACCTGCTGCACCCACCGCACCAGACCCCCGCGCACCGATCATGTTGCCAAGAATCGCTCGGATCGTGGTGGGGGGGGCGCTTTCAGGTGGCTCGAGAGTCACCTGGTGGGACAGCACGCCCCGGAGCGTCGCAGCAGCAGCAGCAGCACCCGTGGCCGCAGCAGTATGCCTGGACGCGTCCGTGCCGCGGGCTTGACTGCACGGTACCGTTGCAGCAGAAGTAGCAGTAGCAGCAGCAGGAGGATGAGGAGGAGGAGCAGAAACAGCTGCAGCAGGCGCAGGAGCAGCAGGAGCAGCAGGAGGAAGAGCAACAGGAGCAGCAGCAGGGACAGCAGAAGGAAGCAGCATCCGGCGTGGTGGGCCAGGCGTGGTGGGCCAGGTGGTGGGGTCCATCCGGGCTTGCTTGCAGGATAGGTCAAAGCTGAGAAGCTGCTGGTGAGGCGATGGGTGGAGGGGGAGCGGTGATGGGGCGGAGAGAGGTGATGCATGGGGGTGAGGCGGAACGAAATGATGTATTTGGACGGGAGGTGTGATGGCGGTGCTGTGTTTCACAGCCCGAGCGCGTGGAACCTGGGTTTGCTGCCGTGCAGGGCCGGTGCCAGTAAGCCCTTTTCCCGCCGCCGCATCACCGCCTCTCTCGCTGTGGCCCCCCAAGTCCATACTGCAATATCTTTCTCCCTCCCTCACCGCCCCCGCCGCCGCTGCTGCTGCCTCATCTACGTTATCAGCATCACGGGGTGGCATGGCCTCCAAGTCAAACGCCCATCGCTCTCGAGGCGACTCCCCAGGGGACTCTGTCGTATGGCCTTGCGATGCCATGCCTTCCGATGCCATGCCTTCCGATGCAATGCCATGGGACGCATTGGCAGCTTTGCCTTGGAATGCGTTGCCTTGGGATGCCATTCCTGAGGACGTTTTCCCCCCAGCAGCACCCAGAGACCAAGCACCAGCAGCGCCAGGACTTGCAGCAGCAAATGCCGCAGCACTCTCCCCTCCACCGCCCACCCCACCACCCTCCAACCCTTCCCCCTGAGCCTCTGCCTCCAGAGCAGCAGCAGCAGCCAGAGCAGCAGCCTTACTGTCAGCAGCCACCTTCTTCCACCGTCTCGACCTGCTCCCCCCGGTCCCAGGCACGCCCGCGGTTTCCCCCACGCGGAAGTTCGTCCGCGCGTTGGGTCCCCGCACGGCCCTGGCGGCGGCGTCGAAGGCGTGCGCGGCCTGCACGGGGCAGGAGAAGGTTCCCAGCCACTTGCGCACGCCGCGCTGGTTGTCCTTGATCTCCGCGATCCAACGGTTGCTGCCGCGGCTGCGCACGCCCGTGTAGCGGATGGCGTGCACGTGCGGGTTGAACTGCGCGGAGACGGAGTTGGTGAAGCACGTGCAGGGCGGGATGCCCTCCAGGTCCGTGAGGAGCGACGGCGGAAGAGAGGAGGAGAAGGACGGCGCTGGGATGTGCGGGATGGTGATGGAACTGCTGCCGCTCCCCCCTCCTCCTGCTGCTCCTCCTGCTCCTGCTCCTGCTCCTGCTCCTGCTCCTGCTGCTGGCGCTTCTGGCGTTGGCGGTGCGGGCGCTGCTTCTCCTGCTGCTTCTGGGGCTGCTGTTAGTTGTGCGGCAGTTGAAGAGGGATTTGAAGCCGATGGAGGAGTGAGGGGAGGGGGGAGGCTTACAAGAGCAGAGGAGCCGCTTGGAATCCCTCCGGGGGCGGTCAGCGCCTGTCGGTTGCTGTTGCTGTCTGACTGAATGGGGTACATCTCAGGAGAGGCGGCTGCATGTACAGATGTGTCAGTGGTGGTAGTAGTTGCAGCATTGATTATGGATGGAGCAGGAGCAGGGGCAGGCAGTAGACGGGTCCGTGTTGGTGCTACCTGCAGTGCATGCTGCTGCTGCATCGGCCGAGCTTCTTGAACCTCCAGCTTCATGTATTCCGATTTCCCATGACCAAGATATGCACCGCCATGAGTATCATGATCCTGCGAGACATCATGACCATCCTGTGCGTCATTATATTCATCATGTGGACCATCATGACCATCTTGTGCGTCATCTTGACCATTCATTGCGTCATGACGATGACAGCCGTCCTGTCCCGCGTTACTACCATCATGACGGCTCTGCACCATGACACTGGTACTAGCACGAACTGTTCTCAGTTGTTGCACCCATTCAGCCGACGACGCTGCTACAGATGACAATGATAGGCCGGAATCCGCCTTCCTTCCCACGTCCATGAACGTTCCTAGCAAAGAAATAGCACCGCGGCGCCTCTCGTTGCTATGAGTTACCGAGCGTCGCCGGACAGCTTTTCAAGCGTCTCAAAACTTATCCCTCGTTTTGAGGCGCCTCAAAAGTCGCTAGTAGAAATAGAAGTGGTACCGCGTCTTCTACGAACGTAGGACGGCTAAAGCGCCGCCGTAGATTCATTGCAGGCCGCGGCTGTGTCGACTGCCCTAGTATCAATATTTTTCATGTCCAAATGTTGTGAATCTGTGACTCTACGTGGCGACTGGACCGTCCGTTGCGCGCACTGCAGAAAACATTCAAGAAAAGGAGATAACAGACGATAAGGAATAGAATTACGGCTGTCAACGGAACCACGATTGCAAAAACAAACGCCTCAGGCAACACAGCGACTAAGGTCTAAACTAGTAAGGGACGGCTAAACTGAAGCGCCGGGCGTGCTCGGGCGGGCAACGACACGCGCTCCAAAAGACCTAAACGACGAACTGCAAGACACTGTTCTTCTCACTTGCAGTCGAAGACGTCGCGGCTTGTATTCTAAGTTGAAGTGACATCGCCGACATGTTCGGACGTAGGCATGCAGTCTGAGGATCTGCTAAGCCACTCCCAAAAAACGCTACTACCTCACTTCAAACGAGAAAAAGTTGCTCCTCCGGCAGTCAGACTTTTACAAGAAAGATGACTACGTAGAATGTTGGATGGGATGGATGGGTGGTTGAGGTACGTGCAGCTGGGTTTTGGGTGGCTTGGCTGCCATCTGAGGTGTTGTCGGAGCTGGACTGTACAACAACGTCAGGAGGAGAAGCAGTTGAACACGACAGACGGTGGATGGAACAGAGAACCCAGAGGGTGGGTGGCTCGTCCTTCTCTGTAAGGGAATTTGCATCAGAAACCTCTAAAGCTTTTGATGTCGAAGTTTTGAGTTGCAGCAGTTTTTCATTTTGTAAATGACCATTTTATACATCATCCTAAATCCAGGAACTATCAAGGCTGTAGTACAGTTGTCTCTACCTGTTTTCATCTATATTTTTCTCACATAATTACAGAAGGCATGTATAAGCATATAGAACAATATCATTTGCGTCATTAATTTATAGATAAATTGTTTTATCATCAATATATGGCTTAAAACAAAACAAAACAAAACAAAACAAAACAAAACAAAACAAAACTGACTTAGTCTACTACATTATTTATAGCTATTTTACCATCCTTTGGAGTGTATTATATAAGTATAAAGTAAATTTAAATCAATATTTTCTCTTCAAATATGTATACATTTAATTATAAATGAATATAATGCATTTCGTAGACTTCATAGAATATAAATATATATATAACATATATATATTGTTCTCAGCAAGCTGCTACATACTATTGCATACAGTCCAATCGTTTAATCAAAATGTAGTTATGCATGTTGGTTACTTACTGATTCCGATATACATATATAGTTGTAATAGCTCCGACATTTTCATGTGCTTATTTTCGACATCTTTCGTATGCTATTAATCATTGATACAGTTCTGGCTTAGCAAAGGTAAAGGTTTTAGGGGGAACCCTCTTTGGTATTACCCCGGCTGTCGGTCGTAACCCGCCTCCCCATTTGTTTACACGCCTCGCTCGGTTACGAGTTTGTTATACCCACTCCCAGATGAGCACTTGTGTATCCCCTTTTAGTGGGGGCTGGCGAAATACGCCGCAAATGATCCCGGTACCTCATCTTTCGGAAGTGAACCAGCTAACTAGCTGGGCCACTTCAGGATACAGTTCTGGCTTAGCGCGACAGCAAATGCAGGTGTCGTAAGGCAACTGAGCGCAACTTGGCAAACTAGCAGTCTCAGAATCAGACGGAAAATATCCGGTCCTGGACGACTGACTAAGTATCCCAACCACTGCTAATAATCTAAATGTGAGCGTTTATAAGTTCTTAGAATGAATATACCTCTCTTCCGTCCCCACCTCTGCTGCCTCCCCGCGATGTTGCCACGTCAAGCAGAAGCGGGTTGGCTTGGGGCCCAAGATGGGGCTGCCTTCACGCGGAAGCTGGTCCTTCGATCTGGGCTCAGGATATCAAGGCGTTTTACCCTGTTTGCCATGCATTTCAAGCTGAATGTTCAGAAACACCTTGCTGTAATAGAGTGGCTGTGCGTCCAACCTGTCATCGTCTGGTAGAGAGCTGAACAAACACCCTGCAAATGCAGCTTGACGCTGATGTCAAACACTGCCACGTCCCAGCTCGTGATGGTAATTTCACAACTTGCGTAGCTTTTTCTCGCCGAAATGTGCCCATCTGTCATTGGAGTTTCTGACAATGGATTTCCTGGGTATGACTGCCAATGCACACTGCCGTGGCAGAGTGTAGCGGGCACAACTCGGATCAGGCAGCGTGCCCTAAAACAAATCAAGAACCCTGCCTTCGACCCCTGATTTTTTTGTTTCGCCACCAATTTTTGCTGCTGGCCTGAACCACTTGTGTTGCGGCGGCAGGTTGAGGGGACATTGCTTCACCCCACACACCACACCCGACTTTTGTCCTGCTTCTTCTTCCAGACAGGAAATAGCTGAGGGCGGAAAGGGAGCAGCAAAAATCGCACCACAGACGGGACCCGCTTTGGGGGCCGTAGGTTCGGATTTCGCTTCGGGTCGTCGTCACCCTCGCTGGAGGTTCGATACCCAGACGGCCAGACGGCCTAGCTTCGACACATGTCGTCCAAAAAAAAATGTGACAGAATCACTGGGTTCTCGTTGTTGGGTACAACTTCTGTTTCACTTTTTGTATTGTGTAGAAAACATACAGCATAAAAGTGTAAATGTTTTCTTTTTTTGCTTTCTAAATCTTTTTTTTGTTAGGGAGGGGATGAGAATGCGGAGTGGGGTGGGGGGGGGGGGGGGGGGGGGGGGGGGAAGGGGTGAATTTAGTTCGGGTTTTCTTTACGTTCTTGTTTTTTACCATTACACGGTTTTCAATCTGTTTGTTGCATTGATATGAATAAAACTATCGCACCTATGCAATTATTGGACAAAGTTCCGTCCGATATCTTTTGATGACATTCATGACGTTAGATTATTACCAGTAGTAATTATAGACAAAATAAAACTTTTATATCACACTATAGTAATTCTAGTGCATAACTATATGGATACTAAAAATACACACTTCAGAAAAAATAATTACAGCAACAACGCATTTTCAAGCTGAACAAGAAATTGCGTACCATTTGCCAATCCTCATATGGCGTAATAAAATATATATCTTATTATTCTTCGCCAAACAAATCGGAATTTTTTGTATCCTACCTAAGCTGTCAAATACTTGTAGGATGAATCATGAAGTTGTCCATGGACTGGAAAGCATAAATCCATTTATGTCCAACGTACACTTCGATTACTTCACACATTTCAAAGACTATCTAGTCCTCTAACGCAAACAACACTGTAGCGTCTGGTTAGGCTGCCATGGCTTTGTCAGGAACAGAAGCAAGGCACAGCCATCGTCGACCGAATGCAAATGATTTGAGGGGCAATGTACGTATCACCACAACAGTATTCAAAATCGAAACTGTTGATCCCAGCTGCGTCAGCCTCACAGAATCCGAACAGAGTCTTCAAATCTCGCACGAATATACATGAGAATTGGCATCTCAACACAAATGGAGGCACCGCCTTTCTCTTACGTAAGTACCTCTGCACACACTGCAGAAACAGGCGAATGCCACACAATGGGTCTCCTCCGTCGTTTTTCCGAATCGTGTCCCCACACGTCAACAGAATACTTGTGTTTTTCGGCCCTCATATTTGGGTGGCTGAAATATGTCCACCCTTCACCACACCAAACCACTCAGCCCCACCCCACCCCGTGCGTAGAAGGTCAACCCTCCCTTGGAGACGCCAAGGTGTGCGACCCTGACCAATTGCAGGTTTCCTTCCTCATGCGGAAACTGCCACTTGCGCAGCTCACTGTTTGCCACCACCATCAACATCATGAAACCGCGTAAGACATATGTACCGTAGACCGCGTTCTGCCTAGATCTTGAGGAGGTTTTGCCCTGTTTATCCTACAAGCCTTGCTGTGAAGTGTTAGAAAGGGTTGCGTCATCAATGTGGTTATGTCAAATCAACTTGTAAGACTAGTTGATTCTCTCATTGGACTGCAGTTGTTTCCATTGAACAAAAGTACTCCACATCTGATGCTTCCACCTATTTTATCTCCATCGATGAGCTTACTTTAAAACATGATCTTGCAACAAACAAACAATTCAAGGGCAATATATATTTGTTATCTGTGCTGAAAACACCTCTAGGGAAAAAAACCTGCAGCGTCCACTCAATTACAAGTGGAAGGCATGTCTAACCACGCTCTAGGTAGGAATGCATGTCCCAACCCCCCTCCCCCTCCTCTATTCGGCCCCGGAAGTCTAAAATGCAGGAGGGAGGGGGGAGGGAGGTCCCCAACACAGTAGCTCATGGTATGTACACAAAACAGAACTCTCCAGAGCACACTATAAACAATTACCTCTTAGCGAGGCTGGAGAACTCGACGGCTCGCACCAGCTCGTGCACGCTGACAGGCTTGGAGATGAACCCATCCATGCCAGCCTGCAGGCACATGGCGTGGTCTGTCTCCAGCACATTGGCTGTCATGGCGAATATCTTGGGCCTCTGGCTTGGCGGCCACATCTGTGTTATGCGCTGCGTTGCCTCGATTCCATCCATCACTGGCATCTGGAGAAAGAAAGAAGACCGAGGGAAAATGGGAAGGATTGGAAGCAAAAATTGTATTCGGAGGCCCAGCCTTGCTGGGTGAAAGGCATAGAACAAGAGCTTCGAAGGCATAGAACGTTCTGAATGAGATTACACAACAGACCCCTCCTGCTCCTCCCCCACCCCCTCCCTCCTACAACAAAGAAAAAGGAGAACGATAAGGCAAAAGAGGCGAAGGAAGAGGCGCAGCACCTGAACGTCCATGAAGGAAGAGGTCAAAGGAGTCCTTCTGCAGCAAGATGACTTCAGAGACCACTCAAAAGTCAAACAAAAAGGTTCAGAGCGGTACCTGGACGTCCATGAAGACGAGATCAAAGGAGACTCTCTGCAGCGGGATAACTTGTGAGTCAACTTGAAAGTCAAAGGAAAAGGTGCAGTGCGGTACCTGGACATCCATGAAGATGAGGTCAAAGGACTCTTTCTGGAGCGCCTGCAGCACCTCTGCTCCGTTGACTGCCACGTGGCATGTGTACCCCATGCGCCCCAGCATCTTGGTGGCCACCTTCTGATTCACCAGGTTGTCCTCGCTGTAAGAGCAAAGGCACATGCGCATGGGATTATACAGGAACGTTGAGTCGACTAACGAATGTACCCCATGTACCCCAGCATCTTGGTGACCACCTTCTGGTTCACCAGGTTGTCCTCGCTATAGAGTGATGCAGGGATGCAGGCACATGCGCATGGTTTCATGCAGGAGGGTGTACAGGAACGTGTCATGCAGGTTTTAACACTTGATGAAGTGGGGTGGTGAGTGTTAAGATTGCAATGGCATGATTAAGTGATTTGGTTTTAAAACTTGCAAAGGACAGAATCACAGAGGACAGGAACGCGAGTGTAGGAGTAAAAGGGGCTATGATTTAGTTGCTTTGAACTGAAAGCATGAAAGAGAAAGCAAGGCCATGGAGGTGAGAGAGAGGGGCTGCAGCAGGGTTCGTACGCGAGGAGTATCTTGAGGGGATGCTGCTGTGCCAGCCCTGACTGGAACCCTGCTGCATCCACGCCTGTCCTCGCTGCTGCCCGTCCCCGCACTCTCCTCCCCCCACCACACGCTCCTGCCGCCCCTCCTGCTGTCCTGCCTGCTGCCATGCTGTCTGCCATCCCGCCTCCTGCTGCTACACGTGTTGGCACTGCAGCGACCGGGAATGGCTCTTTCGGAGGAGCAGGTTTTTCTCTTTCTACTGCTCCTGCCGCTCCTCCTTCTGCTGCCGCGGCTGCTGCTCCTTCCCCTACTCCTGCTCGTGCTTTTCCACCCACAATGGCTTCTGCTGTGCACTCTGCTCCTCTGCTGCTCATTACCCCAGCAGCCTCTGCTCTGGTTGCAACCCAGCCTGCGAGCACAGCTTCGGCAGGCTCCGAACCAACCACGCGTTTGGAAGAGCGAGCAGTCAGGAGGAGGTTCGGCAACGAATCTCCGAGACTGGTGCGGCAGCAGCCCGAGCTGTCATCTCCACTGCCCTGGTTACCACAGCATGTGTATTTACCACATTGGATTGGGTTACCACAGTTATTCTGTGAACACTCGTTGCTGCTCACTCTGACAGCACTAACCAGTCCTCTGGTGGAGTGCCCGTGAGGGGAGTGAGAGGGGAGTAATGGGAGGTGGGAAGAAGGGGAAGCGAGAGGAGGCGGGGAGAGCAGCTCACAGACAAGGCGGTTGAGGGCGGTTTGGCGGATGGGGTAGGTGAAAACGGCCACGTGGAAGCCTGGGATTGGAGGGGATTCCTGCCTGCTGCTGCCATAGGGTACGAGCAGAATGAGCTTGGCGGGGCTTGTAGCGCTGTGAAGGGTATGTGCGCCTGTCCAGGCTGGTAGCGTTGCTGCTGGTGCAGGCTGTGCAGGCTGTGCTGGTGCAGGCTGTGCAGGCTGTGCTGGTGCAGGCTGTGCTGGCGCAGGCTCATTTCTACGCCCTTCCGGCGATGCTCCAGTGAGTGCCGTGTCCTCAGCTGCTCCTGCTTCCCCTGTGTGTGCTGCTGCTGGTCCCAGGGCTGCCACAGTGCCGGATGGTGCGGGTGCAGGGGGGGACCAGTGCAGCCCCGCATCCACCACAAACAGGTCATACTCCTTCCTCTCCTCGCGCCCCTCCTCCCCACCCCTGTCGCCACATCGCCCCTCCTCCCCACCACTGCCATCACGCTCCCCCCCCAGCACCCCCACACCTTTTTCAATCAACCTATCTGCCTCCTCCCCACTGCTCGCCTCACCCACTCTAAACCCAAGGGATGCCAGGTGTCGGCACACCATTCGCCGAGTGCTTGCATGCGGCAGCACCACCAGAGCGCTCCTCCCCTCTGCTCTCCTCCGCGCTCTCTCCCATCCAGCAACTGCAGCCTCCACCTCACTCACTCCCTCCCCCATTCCCTCATTCCCTCCCTCCCCCCACTTGTCATCCGCCCTTTCCCTCACAAGCACCACCTCCTCCCTCCTCCCATCTCCGCTCTCTGTTTCTCCTGCGTCTCCTCTCTCCTCATCCTCTCCACCTTCTCTTTTTTCCATCCCACCCACTCTTGACGCACACCCCTCCCCACCACCCCAGCGACCGCTGCTGCTACAATGGGTATGGGTAACGCTAATGCCATCCTGTCTCTCACTGCCTATATCTGCTGCGCTCCCGCTTGCATCCTCTGTGCTCCTCTGCGTCTTCCTTTCGCGGATCAAAGCCCCTTTGCCCCCAACTTTCCAGCAGCAGCAGCAGCAGCACTGACAGGAAGAACTGCAGCAACAGGCAGTGGGTGCAAGGCTCCTGTTTTGGCTTGGTCCTAGGGTTCCTGCTGCTGCTGCATCGCAATCATTTCCACCTACTGCTGCTGCTGTTGCTGCTGCTCCTGCTGCGCTTCCAGCCGTTTTCGTCCAGCTTTTCACTACTGCCGCCCCTCCTGCAACTGCATCGCCATACTTGAACTGACGCTTGTCAACGCAACGGGTGGCTGCAGCACACAGCTCGTCTTCCCTCTTGCGCTTCCGTAACAGGCCAGTAGCACCGGCAACAGCGGGTGAGGCAGGAGCGGGAGGAGGAGCAGCAGCAGCAGCAGAAACAACAGACGGGGGAGGAGCAGGGACACCAGACAAAGCAGCAGCAGGAACAGTTTCATCTCCTTGGTTGCCAGACAAAGCAGCAGCAGGAACAGTTTCATCTCCTTGGATGCTAGGCGAAGCAGCAGCAGGAACAGACGGCTTCTGCTGCGCCTCAATCGGCGTGTTTAGGTCAAAGGGAAGGGCGGGCGCTGTGATGTAGAACCTGAACGTGGATCCGCGCCCCTGCCCGTCACTCTCCGCCCATATGCGCCCTCCCAGCATGCCCACCAGATGGTGCGAAATCGCCAGGCCCAGCCCTGTGCCTCCGTACTTGCGCGTCATGCTCGCATCCACCTGCCATGCACAGCACAGCACAGCACAGCACAGCACAGCACAGCACAGCACAGCACAGCACACACACCCAGGAGAAACAAGGCTTTCTTGGCCGAGCCCACCACCAGCTGGTGTGAGATCGCCAGGCCCAGCCCTGTTTTGCGTCGACTCAAAACTAGGCCCAGCCCTGTGCCTCCGTACTTGCGCATCATGCTCGCATCTACCTGCCCCACGCACACAGAGGAGTGAGCCAAGAGAATATCCCAGTTGGCCGGGAGAGACAGGTATGTTCAGGTGATGATTGACGGGGTATGGGGGGGTAAGAGCGGAAGGAAGGTGACTCTAGTGAAAGCCACATGAGGGGGAGATGTGGAAAAAGCTGGCAGGGAGTCAAGTCGTGGGGGTATGGGAGTGGGGGAGGGGTTAGAAGTGCAAGCGCACCTGGCTGAACGGCTTAAACAGTCGCTTCATTCGCTCCTTGGGAATGCCGATTCCAGTGTCCCGCACACTCACTGCAATGCAGTGCACACCATGCCGCTCCATGCCCTGCGTCTCCTCCCCACGCCACCTCCTCCTGCTACTCAGCACCTTGCCCCACACCGCAAAACCACTGTGCGCAGACTCCCCGGGGCTCGTTCCTCCACTCTTGCTACTAAGCCCCTCTTCCTTTGCCTCTTCTTGTGCTTCCTCGCACGTGTCACCGCTGTCTCCCTCGGGTTGTTGCAATGCTGCTGCCTCTTTCAGTAGCTCTGGCATGTGGTGCTCAGAGGTGCCAGGCAGCCGGGTGGCAGAGATGGTGACCTCCACTTCGCCCTTCTCTGTGAACTTGATGGCGTTCGATATCAGGTTCACAAGAATCTGAGGATGGGAAAGGGAACAGGGAACAGGGGAGGAGATAGGGTTGAGTTTGTGCATAAAAAGCTCTGGCATGTGCTGGTGGGAGCTGCCAGGCAGCCGGGAGGCAGAGATGGTGACCTCCACCTCGCCCCTCTCTGTGAACTTGATGGCGTTCGATATCAGGTTCACCAGAATCTGAGATTGAGGACGGGGGAGAGAGGGGTTTGTGCGTAAAACATGAAATGGGCTGGCTGAGCATGAAATCGGTGGCGTTTGTTGATATGGAATGAACACCACTAGACATGAATCTGATGGCTTAGACATGAAAATGAGGCCATTGTTCGTAAAAAATAAACGATTTAACAAACATCTCAGTGTGCTGTGCTCCTCCCTACCTGTCTTAGTCTCGCGGAGTCGCTTCGAACAACCCGGGGCACATTGGGTTCGACGAAGCTCACCACTGCCACTCCCTTCTCCATGGCCCGGATCTGAATGCGCGGACGGAAGGGAAGTGATCAGTGCAAAGAAACAACATCAATAATCAGGGAAGCGGCTCAGAAGTAGCGTCTCGGAGAGTGGATGGAAGAGATGAACGAGCAGAGGGGCTCCAAATGAATTGTGAATAGATTGTATGGAAGAGTCCGAGCAGGCTCACACATGCAAAGGGGCAGCATATAATACACATGACAAAGAGGAGAGCAACAGTGGACTGGGAGGCGGCAGACAGTGGCAAAGCATGAAATGGGCATGGCCGGGTCGTGGAGTCTGCATGGCATGAAGAAAGTGCGAAAAGGTGCCATGCAAGTGGCACGGAAAAGGTGCGAAAGAAGCATGGATGAAGCACACATGTAAGAGGCATGGAAAGGTGCATGTAAGAGGCATGAAAGAAGGATAGAAGAGGAATATGATAAGCAGGCATGTAATGGGCATAGAAAGGGCACAGGAGAAGCGTACGGCAAGCAGCGAGACGGCGTCCTCGAGGCAGCAGCAGAGGTCAAAGTCGCGGTGCTCTAGCTCGAGGTGACTTTTGAGTTGACTCAAAAGTCACTTTGGTCAGTTGCGCGAGGTCGAGCATGGAGGCATGGACGTGAAAGCGCCGTGAAGAGGTTTGGAAGCGGCTTGGGGGAAGCACCAACGGCATAAACAATGAGAAGCACAGGGGAGGAGAGGCAAGCATACCACGAGCAGCGAGACGGTGTCCTCGAGGCAGCGGCAGAGGTCAAAGTCGCGGTGCGGCGTGAAAGAGGCATAGACGAGGCATGGAAGAGTCACAAAAGAGGCAGGCGAGCGTACAGCAAGCAGGGAGACGGCGTCCTCAAGGCAGCGGCAGAGGTCAAAATCGCGGTGCTCGAGCTCCAGCTCGCCGGCCTCGATCTTGGAGAGGTCGAGGATGTCGTTGAGTATGGTGAGTAATGCGTCTCCACTGCTGCGAATCGTGTCCACAAACTGCCTCTGCTCCTCCTGCAGTGGCGTTGACAGCAGCAGACGCGTCATGCCTGGTTCAGGGTAAAGGAGGGGAGGAAGAGGGAGAGCGGGGATGGAAGTGAGAGGAAGAGGGAGCATGTGCGGCACAGAAAGGAAAGAGAAAACAGCTTGCTTAAGGTACGATGATTGAAAGGATACATGAAGGCACTCTTCAGTGCACTGTACCGCACCACACCTCGCTGCACTACATTCCATTCCAGCTAGCCACACCATCAGCAACCCCCAACGAACGACTCACCCCGTCCATAGGAATGCGGATCTCGTGGCTCATGGACCTGCTTTTCAGCCGGTTCGCCGACTCCGCCTCGACCCTTGCTTCCCTCAACTGCCCCACCAGCTGATCGAGCGCCGCTGACTGCTGTGAGATTTTATCCCTCGACGCCTCCAGGTCCCGGATGCATCGAACTGCACTGCAGTGATTGCATCCCAACCAACCACATACCATCTGGCATCACCACACTGCACATACTCACCAAGAACCCCATTCATGGGCGTGCGGATCTCATGGCTCATGGACGCCAGAAAGCGACTCTTCAACCGGTTGGCCGACTCCGCCTCCACCCGTGCCTCTCTCAGCTGCCCCACCAGCCGCTCCAGAGCCGCCGACTGCTGCGAGATCTTATCCCGCGACGCCTCCAGGTCCCGGATGCAGCGCCGCAGGTGCTCCTGCGCTCTTAGGTGCTGCTCGATCTCCGACTTGAGTGCCTCGTTGGACCGCATCAGCTGCTCCGTGCGCTCCTCAACCCGCTGCTCTAACGCCGCGTTGAGAGCACGAATCTCCCCTTCTTTGCGCTTCAAGTCGCTGATGTCCGCGGAGACGCCGATCACGCCGACGAGCTTCCCCTCGGGGTCGAGGATGGGCGTGTCAGTGACCTGCGTGCAAGAGGGGTGGGGAAGGGCGTGGAGTCAGAGCATGAGAGATAAGATTTCGTTCCCCACCCCCACATCCCCTATGCAACGTTACGCACGCACCATGGCGTGGAAGGGCGAGCCGTCTCGACGCCGCACGAGGAACTCCCCATGCGCGCCACCCACCCACCAGCTTCCCCTCCCCCACCCCTATCCTCCCCCACATCCCCTATGCACCGCTACGCACGCACCATGGCGTGGAAGGGCGAGCCGTCGCGGCGCCGCACGAGGAACTCGCCGCGCCACACGTCCCCGCGGGAGAGAGCAGCGAAGATCTCCCCCGCCTGCTGCACCGTCGTGTCTGCTGGGGTGACCTCGATTATGCTCCGCCCCATCGCCTCCTCCTCCCGCCACCCATACATCGCCTCCGCCGCCTTGTTCCTGAAAGGGGGATGGGGGGAGAAGGGGGGGGAGTGAAGGCAGGGGGATGAAGATTGCTTTTGAGGATTCTCTCCGCTGTGCCGTGCTGTCGGCGGTGGTGCTGTCAGCTGTGCCCTGCAATCAACTGGGATCACCTCAGCAGCAACTAACGGTGCCGACACCCTATTCGCTCTCGCCGCTACTCCCCCTCCGCTGCCTGCCCGTCCCGTCCCATCCGTGCCTCGCGACTCACCAGTAGGTGATGGTGCCTGCGAGGTCCGTGCAGATCACGGACTGCCCCACGGACGCCAGCAGATACTTTTTGAGACGCCTCAAAAATCGTCCCATGCGTGCGTCTCGCCTCACCGCTCACTCACCAGTAGGTGATGGTGCCTGCGAGGTCCGTGCAGATCACGGACTGCCCCACGGACGCCAGCAGATCCTTTTTGAGACGCCTCAAAAATCGTCCCATGCGTGCGTCTCGCCTCACCGCTCACTCACCAGTAGGTGATGGTGCCTGCGAGGTCCGTGCAGATCACGGACTGCCCCACGGACGCCAGCAGATCCTTCTGAAACGCCACTGCCCAAGGGGAGAGAGGGGAGCGAGGGGGAAGAGGGGAGAGAAAGGGGGAATGGGAGAGAGGAAAAAGGTGGATTCGAGGAGGAGTTTGAAGAGAAGGGAGAGATGGATGTGATGGGAGGGGGGGGGGGGGGGGGGGAAGAGGTTGCTTCCAGCTAGTCGGATCTACGTGCCCATCCCTCAAGCCAAGAGTACTAATAATCCACCACACCATACCTTCCTGGCGGTACTTCTCGTGGTCCGCCTGCAGGCTCCGCAGTTCCGCCACCAGCTCCGCGCGCGTCATCGCGCTCAGCGCCTCCGCCGACGCAAGGGGCCGCGCGCGTTGCGGCACCACCTGGAACTGCATCCCCGGCGCGTTCTTCCGCGGCGCGGGTTCCGCGACCACTGCAGGTTCGGCAAGCACTGAAGGTTCGGCAAGCACTGCAGGTTCAGCAAGCCCTGAAGGATCCGCAACAGCTGCGGGTTCCGCAACCACTGCGGGTTCCGCAAGCACAATGGGGGATCCGCAGTCTGCGCCAGAGTCTCGGGAAAATTCCGCAACGGCAACTGCGCCTCGACCTTGCGCTGCTGGAAGTGAAGGTTCCGCAACTTCCGCGCCACTATTCTCTAGGGACGGCGGGGGGTCCGAATTTAAGGCCGCCGAATCGGATTCCGTGCTTATCCCCGCGACACACGCCGCTGCCGCAGCGGCCGCGCTTGACCCGTTCCCCGCGGCTGGAACGACGGCGGTGTTTGCGGCAGAGCTGTGGACTCCGAGTCGGGACACGATCGGCGGCTGCTGTTGAACGGCTACGTCGCGGTGGCGCAGCGACAGGTGCTCTGGGAGAAGCGGAGAGCGCGGTTTCGGCAGAATAGAGTCGTCCGGATGAAAGGAGTTCGTCAGCATCCGCCGGACGGCTTCGTCATACTCTTTGGAATCAAGCGGCGGTGGAAGCTTGTCACTAATTTGTGAATCCGAAAGGCATACCTCGGGATGAGCAGTGTTTATCGCGATTGCCGCCGGATCTGTCGTAAGGATCGTATCAGATGAAATCGTGTTCGTCTCAACGGTTAGTGGGTTGGTAACTGAGTCGGTACAGAACGGCGGCGTTGCCTGTTCGCCCCCGCAGCAGCCGGCCCTGTCGGCGGGAACGCTAAATGTGCTCTTAGGAGCGCGGCAGGCGACAGGGGTGCTGGTGATTAGGTTAAGTGTGCCCCCAATGACGAGGTCAGGTGTGCTGCTGACTGGATGCAAACTGCGACTCGCTGACGTGGCTGCGAACTCCGACTGTGATTCGTGTCGCTCGAGGGGCTCGAAGCCTTTGGAATGACACTCGTTACCATCCGCGGGCGACTCGCATTCGTTGCCACTACATTCCAGTGAAACGGACGACGCGGCTAGCAATAAGGACGAACTACCTGCTTGCTGGCAGCGCTCCCTCGCAGAGGACGACGTGTCATGGATAAATAAGGCTGCAGACACCTGGGCTTGGTGTGCTGACATGGTGCGGGCTATTATTCTCTGCCGGTTACGGTACGGACGAGGTATGCAGCGATGAGGTCGACGAGAGGAGCACGACGAGGTGTGCAGTGACGGCACTGCAGTCACCTTGAGAGGGTCACTGCACTGGGACGCACTAGAGCAGGTGGTGAAGTGAATGAGCCAAGCGCGGTAGCGCAAGCAGTAACGCTTCCACCGCGTTTGTTCAGGTCTTCCAGAAAGTCGTCGCCAGGAAGCATCTTCGCTGCACTGCCTGTCCGTCCCAGCCTTCACCTCACTCACGAATTTCCCTCGGTCTTTCCGCCGCATGCTTGCGGCCTTGGTCTCTTCGATCGAAACGCCAATTTGTATTGGTTGGGAGGGACGCCCGGTGCGGTGATGGGCGTCGCTAGCAGCAGCAAGGAGTGGTGTGGGAATCACGGGCATGATGCTGTCCTCGCGTACGAGGTCGCGACTAATGATTCACGCGAGGCGTACCGATCCATATGACCATCCACCGACCTCCATGACGTTTCGTTCAGGATCATCTGTCAAAGAAGCTAAAAAGCCGAAGGGGAAAAATCCATCAAGTGGCACTGACACACACAACCTGCACAAGAAAATACATGGCTGAACTGCGTCGTTGAGAGACAGATTGCAGCGTCGATGCTTTTTTGCAGCGAAGGCCGTTGCTGCTGGCTGCTCGTCATTGGCGGCCCTTCATGGATTTCGGCAACTCCTTGGGTCAAGGCAGTTGCCCTCAGCACTGGCCTAGATGCAGGCAGCAGACACACAATACTTCCGTGCATTATGCAAGAAATGTACACTTGACTCTAAGAGGCATAGCTGCATATAATAATGTTCAATGGAAATCCAAGGTAATTCACACAAGCACATCTGGGGCAATTGGTTTTCAGCAGCGCTTTATTGGTGCAATACGGAGTATCTCTGTGTCCTTAAATGGCGTTCCCATGGGTTTCCTGACACAATATGCCTCCCAATCGCGTATAAAGACACAGTGGACTAAGACATGCGCGTGGTTCTTTTGTGTGCGGTGCCAATGATGAGGGGCCCTGGTGTTGTTAGGTGGAGCAGGAGGCAGTTGAGCAGGAGGTTGGGTGGGTGCATGGACAGATGCGCCATACTTTGTGAATACGTGTAGAAGTTGTTAGAATCCATAAAGTCGCTAGAGTAACGGAAATACTCTAGGAAGATAACGACGTCCCTACGGCAGGGCAATTGGTCACTCAGAGGTAGCACTTCTGGCCTGGCACATGGTGCCACTGCGGCGGCCGAGGGAAAGCCAGACACAAGGATTCAAATTGTGTAATAAGAACAATGCAATACATTCAGTTATATAGGAAACATAGCAGGCAGGCAGTTACCAAGGCGCAACTGTATTACAGTTGCGCTGTAACGATTCAGTTGCCCAGTCACTGTCGAGCTGGCGAGACCCTTCAGCTTCGGCAAGGGCGCGGAGATCTGCCGCGCCCCCAGGGTGGTTCCGCGTACTGTAGACGCTGCCTCCTGTAGATTTCGACCCTTGAACTGCCACGCGGGTCGCAACCGCTGTGCACGGTTGCGCCCCGTTGACTCGCCACCAGAGTCAAACTCTTCGATATGGCGAGCCCCTGGAAGCACACTTCGAACAGTGCACTTAATAATAAAAGCGTACAAACATATTCGCAACAGAAGTTAGCTTATGTGTTTGAGAAGTTTTATGAGGTTTTGTTAGTCCTGTGTTTTTGTTACGGGTGCAATGAATCGAGGTAGCGAGGATTGCACTAAGTGTCAAACGAGTACAAAATGTGAGCGAAGGCATGAGCGAACATTTATGCGCGAAACATGCAAACGGTAACGCGATGCGTGCGAGCTAGCTAGTGCTACGCTGGCGCGAGGTTCGGGCTAGTCCCGAAGCGTAGGCCGACTCGGCTGCTCCAGCTGTGCGAGGTTTGGTGAAACAGTGCGCGCGAAGTTGGCGAAGCCCCGTTAGCAGTAACGGGCGAACAACGGCTGCTGTTGTACGCGATGTTGTAGGATGCGCTAAGGAATGTCGAGAAAATTCCTTACACTACCCCCCCCCCCTCAAGAAGCCCCCTCCGCTACGCGAGTGCGTGTATATCGCGGAAACCCCGGCTCCTCAGGTACAATTGCAGGGCAGGGTGGTTTTCAATGTTGGCTAGGGGCACCCAACTATCCTCAGTTGGCGTGCGGTCCTTCCAGCGAACGAGGGACTTGATCCTCTTGATGCCTGTGGGGTGTCGAATCCGATGGCTCAGATTTTGTTCGGGCTCGATGATCGGCTCCGATGCAGGGCGAGTCATGGATGGCGGGCGGTGACGAGGCAGTTGGCTCGTGGTTGGGATGTAAGGGCGAAGCAGGCTGACGTGGAATGATGGGCTGTTGTGGAATGATGGGCTGATGTACCAGTCTGTCGGCAATAGTAAGTGTGCTGTCACGGGTGTGATCATGTGGCTGATTTGGAATGGTCCGCAGTAGCGCGGTCGTAATTTTGGCACGACGGGCAGTCTTAAGTTCTGTGTGTCGAGCAGTACGTAATCTCCTGACTGGTACGTGACTGGGCGTCAGTGGCGGTCAGCATTGCGTTTAGTGATGACATTGGCTTTTTTAATTGCTTCGGCGGCTCTGGTGCGGGCAGCTTGCAGAATCTCGGCGAATTGCTGTGCACGTGGCGTTGGGTTGTCCGAACTCAGCGTCATGGGCACTGTATGGTTTTGCCCATAGTTCAGGTAGAACGGGGACTGCTGCGTCGTCGCTGACGTGGCATTGTTGTAGGCGAACTCGATCAGCGGCAGCCGCTGCTCCCAGGTTGTCGGGTCGTCGCACGTGGCCCAAATCAACTGCTCCATCGTCTGGTTGGTCCGCTCCGTTTGACCGTCGGTCTCGGGGTGGTACGATGAGCTGAACTGTAGCCTGGTCCCGAACTGCTCCCAAAGGTTCTTCCAGAAGTTGCTGGTGAACTTCGTGTCGCGGTCGCTGATTATTACGGCTGGTATCCCGTGCAGTCGAACGACGGCTGCGATGAACAGGCGAGCGGTTTCTTCGGCTGAGATCGATTTCTTGCACGCAGCGAAGTGAGCCATTTTCGTCAGTCTGTCAACGACGACCATAACCGCGTTGTTACCCCCAGGGTTCGAAGGTAACCCCGTGACGAAATCCATGGTAACCTTGTCGAAGAGAAAGGACCCGCCCTCGCTTGGGCGCAGCCGATCTCGCCGTCGACGAGAAGTTCTCGACGGATTGGTCGAAGAAGTCAGCTTCTGCAGTTCGACGGAAGTTGCGGTCGAGCAGGCTCTGCTCGACAGAAGCTGGTCGACGATCTCTGCGCGACGAGCTCTGGTCGACGATCTCTGCGCGACGAGCTCCCGTCGAAGAGCGCTGGTCGACGATCCTGGTCGAGGAACTCTGGTCGAAGAGTTCGGGTCGAGGAGCTCTGCTCGGCAAAGGCTGTTCGACTGAGCGATGTTGAGCTGATCGACCGAAGTTGCAGAGTTGTGCGAAACTCTACGGAGGCGTGCGAACTTTCGCCCAGGAGGTTTTGGCGAAGTTTTACCTGCGGAACGGCATCACGTGGTCGACGGTGCGCACCTGGCGAAACCGACGACACGTTTTCTACCTGGCACCTGCGCAATGTGCCTGACGGTGAAACCGCCAACCTGCACCTACTTGGTAGGTGTGTGCATCTGCGCAGATAGACAACCTGTGACTGCAGATAGTAACCTGCGACTGCAGATAGTCACCTGCGACTTCAGTGCTGGCAGACCGCGCACAGTGCAACGTTGGCAGACCACTCTGCTGCAACGTTGGCAAGCCGCTCTTCTGCTGCGCTGGCAGATTTCGCCCTTGCTAGGCTTTGCATGCCATTCTAGTCTTTTCATTCTTCATGCCTCAATTGTACTATCAACTAATTATTGCAAGTTGTTCTTTCAATATTCCTTAGTGGAATCTCTTGCCAAAACTTCTCTGTGAACACGGTAAGCAGTAAGAACGTTAGAACAACGCTACGATCACCCGCACAACTCCGTGCCCTCTACCGTAGTCCACTCCCGTTGTGTAGTGACTCTCCGCAAACCTGCTGCCAGGCGCGCTCGGGCGGTGGAATCGGCTGCAATTGACCCGCCTTTCTTTTTCGCGAGCTCTTCATCACCTTACACGTAGGACACGAGCCCACGTGGTGCTGTACGTCGATCAACAGCTCCGGCCAGTAGTAGTACCGCTGCAGTTGCTGTCGCGTTTTTTCTACCCCAAAATGTCCCGAGGTAATTCCGTCGTATGCCTCCTGCAGTAGCAGTTCCCTCAGTAGTGAGTACGCGAGTACCCAGATGCGGTTGGTGCCTGTTTTTACGTAATAGACTCCTTTAGCTTCTGCCAGTTGCTGTGAATTTCCGGTCGTGAAAAATGGGTCGGTACTGTATCCGTGGGTGAATAGGCCTGTTAGCAGTGGGTTGGTTTGGGCGAGTAGGATGGCGTGGAGTTGGGTGGTGGGGCGTGTGAGTGCGTCGGCGATATTCGATGCGCCTTTTTTGTACGTGACTGTGTAGTGGAAGTTGGACTCCAGATAGTCCAACAAACGGATCTGTCGCGGGTTGAGATTCGGTTGGGCGCGGAGGCACTGTAGTGAGCGGTGGTCTGTCCGTACTGTCACGTCTGCTCCCGTGAGGTAACATCGCCACACCTTGAACGCGTGCACGATCGCCAGCATCTCGCGGTCGTGTATCGGGTAGTTGCGTTCGGGCGTGTGAAGCTTGCGGGACTCGTACGCGATTGGCTGGAGGCCGTTCCCGAAGTCCTGCAACAGTACTGCTCCCACAGCGTTGTCGCTAGCGTCGGTGACGAGCTCGAACCGACGGTGCGGATCTGCGATGTGAAGCACGGGCGGCGAGCACAAAATTTGTTTGAGGGCCGAGAAGGCAGCTTGCTCTTTCTCCCCCCACGTGTACTCAACCCCCTTCCTCAGCAGGTCGGTCAACGGAGCAGTCAACTTCGCCATGTCGGGGACGAACCGGCGCACGTAGTTGACGAACCCCAGAAAACTCTGCAACTCGGTCAAGTTTGTCGGCGCATGCCACGCTTGAATCGTCGCGATTTTCTTCGGGTCTATTTCCACTCCTTCAGCTGAAATGATGTGTCCCAAAAACTCCTGTCTGTCCTGTAAAAACTCACACTTAGAGGGTTTAGTCAGTAGGCGGTTCTCACTCAGTATTGTAAAAACTGCTTCGATGTCCTGTAGGTGTTGTGTTATGTCTGGGCTGTAAATCAGTATGTCGTCTAAGTACACGATGACGCACTTATCTAAAAGCGGGCGGAAGGCTTCGTTCATCGTCATTTGGAAAGTTGCGGGGGCGTTGGTCAGTCCGAAGGGCATGACTGTGTATTCGAAGGATCCGTAGCGTGTTCGGAAGGCTGTTTTTGGGCAGTCGGGTGGGTTGACTCGGATCTGGTGGTAGCCTCCTCGAAGGTCGATTTTCGAGAAACCCCGGGCTGTTCGCAGTTGGTCGATCAGTTCGTCGGCTCGTGGGATGGGGTAACGGGATTTGATGGTAACCCTGTTCAGTGCTCTGTAGTCTATGCACATGCGAAAACCCCCGTCCTTTTTCGGTGTAGACAGTATCGGTGCTGCGAAGGGTAACGAACTCGGGCGAATGAACTCTTTCTCGAGCAGGTAATCCAGCTGCTTCCTCAGTTCGTCAGTTCGGGTTGGGTCAGTCGGAACTGTCGCTGTACTGTCGGCTCTGCCCCCAGTTCTAACTCTATCCTGTGGTCGTGCGGTCGCTGAGGTGGCAGTCCCGTCGGCAGGTCATCCGGAAATATCCCACTGTACTGCTTCAGGAGTGCTGCCAAGTCATCCGGTACGTCGGCTAGCAGTTTCTGTAAACCCCCCCCTTTGTCTGCTGCCTTGGCTTCCCGAATGTCAACCGCGTACACGTCAGCTCCTGCCGCTACGGCGCGTTTCATCGTGATCGCGTTGACACGCACCGACGAAGACTCAGGCGAGCCCCAGCGAGGTAAGGCGATGTTGTTACCGTTCACTCGCACGGTGCAGTCACCCGTCGTCCAGTCTATTCGCGCGTTGTGTCATCGCGACCAATCACGACCGAGTAAAATGTCGGTTCCGTCGAGGGTTGTTGCGAGCATTTCCTGACTAAACGTGAAGTTACCCCCGCATCGAATCCGAACCCGGTCTACGCGTTCCCGTATCGCCAGTGGCGTGCCGTCAACCAGTCTTGCGTCGATCTCAGGTAAACACCTGTCCAGTGGCAGTTTCAGCTTCCTTGCTGTGGCAGTGTTGATGAGGCTGTGGCTGGCTCCCCCGTCTACGAATATTTTAACTAAGTCTGTTCCTATCTTCCCACTAAGCAGTATTGGGCTGTCTACCGCGGTACCCTCCTTATTCGGCCCGGTGTGGTCGATTGCGTGAACCGGCACAATCACTCGGTGAGGTTGCTACTGACTCCCAGCGTTTCCCTGCTGCTTGGTCTGTTTCTGCTGCTCAGCTTCCCCCTTTCCCTTAGCGTTTTCCGGGCATTCGCTCTTGCGGTGTCCCGGCCGATTGCACGCGAAGCAGCGCCCTTTGAACGGTGCGGCAGCGGCATTCGTGGCGACGGCACGTATCGTAGCGCCCTCGTTCGTCCCACGAGATCGATGTCCCCAATTACTGCTACTTCCATAGAACCCCGGTCTCGGTCGGCGGAAAAAATCAAGTTTCTCCGCCATAGCGAGAATCTCTTGAAAGTCGGTGACGCCGCGAAGCTGGATTTCCTGAGCGATGTCGTGCTTCAGGCCGCCGATGTAGCGGTCGATGCGTTCGCTCTCGTGCATATAACCCACTTGCTCGCATAGCGCCAGAAACCCGCTGGTGTAATCCTGGACGGAACCGAGTTGGCGCCAAGTGCGGAGCTTCTGTCGCGTCGCGATCGAAGCCGCAATTGGCTCAAATCGAGCGTGTAGACCTGCGCACCACGCGTCCCACGTGCGATATTGGGGCACCTCCACGAAATACGACGGCGCCCAGGGTCCGGTTTGTCTTTCCCGTGTCGGTAGAGTCGCGTAGTCCATCGGCTTCGTGACGATGACGCTCCACCAGTCCATGGCGGGTCCTCGCAGCAACGACACGGCGTAGCGAATCTTCGCTGTATCCTCCGAGACGTAGTTGGCGTCGTAGAAGACGTTCAACGTGAACAACCACGCCCGAACGGTAGGACCACCCCGTTGACTCGGGTCAAAGCATGGCGGACGCTGCGGCTTCAGTGGCATCGGCGACGGCAGTGCTGATTCGCCGGCCGGCACAGAAATCGTGACTCGAGGCTGACTCCTGGCCGCATTCGTCGCTTCGGGGTGTGTCGTGCCGTGGTCGTCGTCTCCGTCGTGGCGGACGACGCCATCACTGGCCGCGCTCGCGGGTTGCCCCACACTTCCGTGTTGCGATGCCTGTGGTGCGGGCTGTACCGGAGTGCCAGGTGCTTGTGATTGTGCTCGTGCAACGTCATTCTGCAGGGAGGTGCGTTCCGCCGTCAGTGCCGCGATTTCTTTGGAGTTTTCGTGCAGTTATCGCAGCAGCTCGTTCAAGCGGTCATGCGTGAGCGTCGTGACGTCGATGTGTTCGGCCATTACGAAGGGCGTCGGCTCGGCTTAGTCTAGGCGCAGTCGTGGCTGCACGCGTTTACGAGAGAACGCGAGGACAGCGGCTCCTAGGGGCTACGGTGCGTGAGTCACTTCGAGTGAAAAATAAAAAGTTGATTTCCTGGGGTGCAGAGATGCGCGGTCCGAAAAGAAAGAGGCTATGAATACCAAGTGTTACGGGTGCAATGAATCGAGGTAGCGAGGATTGCACTTAGTGTCAAACGAGTACAAAATGTGAGCGAAGGCATGAGCAAACTTTTATGCGCGAAACATGCAAACGGTAACGTGGTGCGTGCGAGCTAGCTAGTGCTACGCTGGCGCGAGGTTCGGGCTAGTACCGAAGCGTAGGCCGACTCTGCTCCAGCAGTGCGAGGTTTGGTGAAACAGTGCGCGCGAAGTTGGCAAAGCCCCGTTAGCAGTTCGGGCGAACAACGGCTGCTGCTGTACGCGATGTTGTAGGATGCGCTAAGGGCGTGTCCAGCGCGTACATTTACAGTTCATAAACCCATTCAGTTACCACATTTCCTATTGTAACACTGCATTTTACAAAAAGGTTGGACACGATCAGCTTCCGTTCACAAGACGGCACGCCCGCTGCGCGTACGACGAATCGTCTAACACACGTTACTGGAATCAGTGTGCGCGCGAACAAGGGTTCAGCATTGCGTCCTGCCCGCTACAGTAATTTTCGTTCAAGCGTGGAATTTTCGCTTGTGCGTGAATTTCTGTGCGATGATAGACGAGGCAACCAGTTACCTCGTTTTCCACGAACTGTAGAAATTTGTGTGCAGAGGGTTGTGTCCGCGCGCTGGAAGGCCCAATCCTTCGGACTCGACTCACCTTATATTCGTTTTTTGGTACAGTGAGATTTTTTGAGCCGGGAAACGTGTGAAGGTACTAATATTCCCAAAATGTACGCGCTGGACACGCCCTAAGGAATGTCGAGAAAATTTCTTACAGTTTTCCACTAGCTGTCCTCTGTCCCTTTTGGGATTTCCCTTGTGTCATCCCTTTTTTCCTCCGTTATAATAACTCATCACCTCTTCTCTATCAATTGTGGTGAAGCTTCTAGGCTCAACTAATTGCCTAGAAGTACCCGTCGTTGACGTCAGCAAGGTTCCCACCACCCCGAATCGCGTCACCGAACTTGAGTTTACCACTCTCACGTGTTGCGTGTTTCCGACTTCAGACAAACCTATACAAGGCACATCAGAACGCTGGCTGACCGTAGTAACTCTTACTTTGACGGACATGGCGCCTGCTTGCGTGGCGAGTGGTAGCCAAAGCAGCCGGCATACGCCTCCTGGTTCCGATGTGATTACAGCGAATGACCTAGCGAAGCTTATGGCGAAGAAGAGCTCGTTTGAGAAAGCGGTGAAGGACCTGACAGCTCTAGTGGCCTCTCAGTACCCCTCCTCCTCTCTGGACGAGCAGCAGAAGGTGAGGTCGTTGTCGCTTGTTCCGAAATCTGGACGATAGTTAAAACGTCGCACGTGGTGGATCTCAGTCGCGCGGGTGTATAGAATCACCGAGCAGTCTTATTTCACCAGGGTGGTTCATGCTGTGAGGCTTTTAACTCAGTGCATAAACTACTGTTACGTATGATTTCTTACGATACGGCCTACCCTTCCGGATGATCCACCGTTGACCCTTCAGATAATCTCAGCCGTCCATCGCGCAGCTACCCTGCTCAAGACCCGCTACACGACGCGTGGCTTCTGGGCGGCGGGTCTCGTCCTTTTCCGCGCGGCCAGCGCCGTGTTGGTGGAGGGAGCGGAGCGCAACCGCATCTTGCAGCACATTAAGTCCGCACAGGAGTTCCTGGGGGAAGGCGGGGAAGGCGGGGAAGGGGGGGAAGGTGGAGAAGAAGGTTTGCCGCAGGGAGTAGGCAGGGAACGAGGGGATGGGGAAGGGGAGCAGGGAGCAGGGAGGGCAAGCGAAGTGAGAGGAGTTGGGGGAGGCATGCTCGCTGCTGCGTCTCCGTCTTTTCAGTTCGAGGGTCAGCTGACTGCAGCAGCGGAGCCGCCGCGGCCTGATTGGCTGGTGGCTCAGACGCTGCTGACAACCCTGGCAGCGGCACAGCAGCAGAGGTGAATGAGGGGATGAGCGTGTGGCCTTGTGAGTGCTGGTGGGTTGGTTTATTTTTTATCGTCTGTTAGCTGTGTTTCGTGCTTCGCAAGTTCCGAACGTGTTGTTACCTGTTGATGGAGATGCTGTAACGTGTTCTCGTCTTGGTCCCTATCGTTGGTCTGTTCTGATCCGAAAGTGCGTTATCCTGTCGTTGTCATTGTCCATCCTGTTGTTGTCCTTGTCCATGCACACATACAGGGACCTGGATGCCGCCGCTGACGGCACTCCTGAGCAAGAAGGCAGAGATCCACAAGGCGGGCAATCCCCTCATCAAGCCATTGCAGCGCTCTTGGAGGGCGGAACAACGTTGGAGGATTTGCTACGGGGCGCGATAGCAAGGGGGGGAGCTGACGACCTGCTGACTCCCGGCCTGGCAGAGGCGCTGGAAGCGAGCATGCAGGCGTCTCAGCCGCCCTCCGCCCCGCCTGCTTCTAAGAGAGCTGTGAAGCAGCTGCCTGTGCTGGTCTACAGTGAGGCTGGCGTGGTGCATTTAGAGGGGGATGGGACGCGAGAAGGGGCGGTGGCGGGTAGTGGCATCAGTGGTAGTGCTGGCAGTAGCAGCAGTGGTAGCAAGACTGAGAACGGGGATGGTGTTGGGTTGGAGGGGAAGGGGGTGCATGGGGAGGGGAAGAGGGAGGAAGGGGAGGGGAGTGTGGATGAGTGCAGTGTGTGCAGGGAGAAGTGGGAGATTGGTGACAAGCTGAGGGAGATGCCGTGCAGCCATCGGTTTCATGTGGACTGCTTGCAACCATGGCTGGTGAGTTGAAAAGCACGAGCTTGCGTAATGCGGTCATTTCGTGTGCAATGTTCCCTGATCAGCATTGCATGCATCTATCTGCTCACGTCACATCCTACACTTGTTTTTTTATGCGAGTCTTTGGTGCATACCATCATAATGTGATTCGAGGTGTTGTGTTTGTGCTCTTTTTCACAAACAGGATGAGCACAACTCGTGTCCTTTGTGTCGTTACGAGATGCCAACTGACGACCATGCTTACGAGAGGCGCAAGGAGCGAGAGAAGGAAGAGGAGGAAGAACGGAGAGGTGCTGAGAATGCTGTGAAAGAGGGGCAATACATGTACATGTAATTCATTAAATTTGGCTGCTTGTAAACGATCAACTGTACTTGGCACGAAAATGTACTGACTTGAGCCTTCGCAATCTCGAGCCTACCGAGGTTTGGACTAAATAGTCTAGGCGAGGGGCACAATCCGTCCTACCCTGCACGTCCTTCTTGGGACTCCCACGCAGCGCCAAGTTTCCTTGGGAGGACCGACCGCCTCTGCCGCTCCGTACAGGTACACCTGCTGCTAAAATGCGAAGTGAACCCGAAAATGTTTCGAGGTTGGTGGAGCATAGGGTATTGTCGGAGAGCCAGAGCAAGTCTCCATCCTTGCGTTCCTCCTGCTCCTATGCCTGTTTGTAGTAGTGAGCTCCTTTGACGGCTTTACGGGTTCGCGACTTGGGATATTTCGCAGTCTTGTCATAGCGATCCTTTGAAGACGTGGGTTGCTTTCCATTCTGCAAGCATGGTAGATCCTATACTTGTATCTGTTTAACTACGTTTCCATTCGCGACAGAATGATACCCCGCTACTGCTTCGCGCTGCTGGGCGTGCATGTTACGCGGGTCGCGTAGCAAAAAAAACACAGTTCCGACACACGCATTCGTGAAAACGGGTTCGTTCCGCGACGTCTCAATCAAAACTCACTTTCACGTGCACGCATTACCAAGCCACACACTCGACATTTCTCGTCGACGCCACAGCAGCAGCCACAATGCTACCATGCTGCCTGGCGATGTGGGGATGCGCGTGCTGCGGGTGGGCCATCCACCGCCTCGTCCGCACGGGCGCGGACGCCAGCCGCGACTGGCCCGCCGCGTCCAAAGACGAAATGGCGGACTTCCCGCGGCTCGCCGCGCTCATTCTCGCGTCGTACGAGCCCGACTTACCGAAATGCCTGCAGCTGCTGGAGTCCGTCTCCGACGATCACGGAAACATCGCCTCGCGGACCGACGCCGCTGAGAAACAGAAACCGTCCAAACAATGCGACTCCGACGCCATGCATACCCAAACGGCGAAGGCGAAGGACCCTGATTCCCAGAAAGGTAACCAGCCTGGTTTCGAATCCAACGGCAAGGACGGTCCGGCGAAGGGGAAGCGGGAGGTGATCGAGGCGCGCGTGCTGCGGAAGGTGGAGCAGCGCGAGACGGACGGGCAGTGCCCGTCGTACCTAGTGTACCTGGATGACGCGAATAAAGACATCACGGTGGCGATGCGCGGCATGAACCTGACGCAAGTGTCGGACTACGAGATCCTCAGGAACAACCGCAAGGGCAAGCAGGTCCGCTCATGCGTCCGCCCGCCCGCTCCCCGCTTCCTCTTACTTTCTTCTGCCTCTGCTTTCCTGCACTCGACCTCCCGCCTCGCTCCATTTTCCATTGCCCCACTCTTAATCAGTAAAGAGCTCAGCCATGACTTCCCGCTCTCCTTCCCCCTCTCCCCCTTCCCCCCTCCCTTTTCCCCTTCCCCCTCTCCCCCTCCCCTTTCCCCGCCACTCCCCCCAGATGTTTGACGGGGGCTACGTGCACTGCGGGCTACTGGCAGCAGCAGGCGCGTTCCTAGACCTCGAGATGGACCATCTCAAGCGCCTCCTGCGCCGCCACCCTACGCACACGCTCACACTCACGGGCCACTCCATAGGAGCGGGCGTGCTGGCGCTGGCAGCCATGGTGCTGGCGAATAACCTGCGCGAGCTGGGCCGCGTGCGCAGAGGGCGCATCCGCTGCGTCGGGTTCTCGCCGCCGCGCTGCGCGTCGCTCAATCTGGCCGTGCGCCATGCGGATATCATCACGTCTGTTGTGCTGCAGGTGGGCCGTGCTGTGCTGCAGGCGGGTTTGTCCTCCTAGTGTGTGTTCCCCCTCCCTCCTGCTGTGTGGCCTCCCTCCCTCCTGCTGTGTGCCCTCCCTCTCTCCTGCCGTGAATCCTTTCCGAGAACTCTATCTGTGTCCTCCTCTCCTTGTGCTGCTTCCATCCGATCCTTGCCACAATCCCAGTTCCTCTTCTCTCCCTTCTCTTTTCTCTCTTCTCGCTGTGTGCATCCGTGCATGCATGCATGTACATGTGCACGCACACACCAGGATGACTTTCTGCCCCGTGTGGCGCACCCGCTCGCGCTAGTATTTGGAGTCACCTTCTGGTGAGCACTGACCACCCCTTGGCCCGGCCCCTCAACTACCATGCATTTCTTCTTCTAGCTCTCTTTCTATTTATTCGTTTTCTCAGTACTATGTGTGGGTTCTTGCACACCCATACTCTCCTCCTCCTCCTCCTCCTCCTCCTCCTCCTCCTCCTCCTCCTCCTCCTCCTCCTCCTCCTCCTCCTCTTCCTCCTCCTCCTCCTCCCCCACCCCACCTCCCCCTCCCAGCCTGTCCACAACCTTCCCCTCCACCCTCTCCACTCTCGCCTCCCCTTCCTCCCTTACGCTCCCACCTTCCCATACGCAATCCCGCCCACAGTCTCCCCTGGCTGCGGCGTCGTAGCATATTGAAACCTTGCTCACCCCTTGTCGCCCTCTCGCTTTCCCTCCTCTCGTTACCCCTCCCTCGCTCTCGTTTCTCCTCTTCTCATCCATCCATCTCATTATCTCTCCTCCATCTCATTAGCTCTCCCTCCCTCACTTTCTCCTCCCCCCCCCCCCCCCTATCCGTCCGCACACAGTCTACCATGTGTACTGCAGTACTCATGCTGCCATGACACGTGTGTGCCGGAGCAGAGGAGACTGGCGGATCCCAGAAGGCTGTATGCCCCCGGCCGCCTCTACCACATGCTCTACACACGCCGCTGCAGGTGAGCCAACCACATGCTCTACACACGCCGCTGCAGGTGAGCCAACCACATGCTCTACACACAGCGCTGCAGGTGAGCCAACCACATGCTCTACACACAGCGCTGCAGGTGAGCCAACCACATGCTCTACACACGCCGCTGCAGGTGAGCCAACCACATGCTCTACACACGCCGCTGCAGGTGAGCCAACCACATGCTCTACACACGCCGCTGCAGGTGAGCCAACCACATGCTCTACACACGCCTGCAGCCTGCATGTGTGCGGACCACATGACTCAGCTTTCTTCCCCCAGCCCGTTTGAGCACTCGGTCACTGCAGCCCGTTCTCATTCCCCTCTTATCTCCATCCGCCTCTTACCCTCCCACTCCCATCCCATCTACATCTCACCCTCCCACTCCCTTCCATGTCTTACCCCTCTCCCCGTCTTCACACATGGCACATGGCACATGGCAAACGGCACTTATCACATTGCACATGACACATAACGCACGGCAGCTGTGAGGACCTTCCCCCGGTGGCACTGACAGCCATTCCAGTGGAGGGGCGGTTTGAGCACGTGGTGCTGTCACGCACTGCCACTCGCGACCACATGCTGCCCCTCATAGCTGCCAAGCTGCACCAGTTCCTGCAGGTGAGTAGAGAGAGTGTCAGCGAGAAAGAGGGGGGAGAGGGGTTGGGGATGCAGAAGCAGAAGGGACGTGCCAAGCTGCACCAGTTCATGCAGGTGACAAAAGAGCGTTGTGCTGGTGTGAGTCAGGCATGTGACTATAGGGACTTGTGCTGGTGTGATGTCACATGCACCGAGTCATGCAGGTGTGATGTCACATGCACCGAGTCATGCAGGTGTGATGTCACATGCACCGAGTCATGCAGGTGTGATGTCACATGCACCGAGTCATGCAGGTGTGATGTCACATGCACCGAGTCATGCAGGTGTGATGTCACATGCACCGAGTCATGCAGGTGTGATGTCACATGCACCGAGTCATGCAGGTGTGATGTCACATGCACCGAGTCATGCAGGTGTGATGTCACATGCACCGAGTCATGCAGGTGTGATGTCACATGCACCGAGTCATGCAGGTGTGATGTCACATGCACCGAGTCATGCAGGTGTGATGTCACATGCACCGAGTCATGCAGGTGTGATGTCACATGCACCGAGTCATGCAGGTGTGATGTCACATGCACCGAGTCATGCAGGTGTGATGTCACATGCACCGAGTCATGCAGGTGTGATGTCACATGCACCGAGTCATGCAGGTGTGATGTCACATGCACCGAGTCATGCAGGTGTGATGTCACATGCACCGAGTCATGCAGGTGTGATGTCACATGCACCGAGTCATGCAGGTGTGATGTCACATGCACCGAGTCATGCAGGTGTGATGTCACATGCACCGAGTCATGCAGGTGTGATGTCACATGCACCGAGTCATGCAGGTGTGATGTCACATGCACCGAGTCATGCAGGTGTGATGTCACATGCACCGAGTCATGCAGGTGTGATGTCACATGCACCGAGTCATGCAGGTGTGATGTCACATGCACCGAGTCATGCAGGTGTGATGTCACATGCACCGAGTCATGCAGGTGTGATGTCACATGCACCGAGTCATGCAGGTGTGATGTCACATGCACCGAGTCATGCAGGTGTGATGTCACATGCACCGAGTCATGCAGGTGTGATGTCACATGCACCGAGTCATGCAGGTGTGATGTCACATGCACCGAGTCATGCAGGTGTGATGTCACATGCACCGAGTCATGCAGGTGTGATGTCACATGCACCGAGTCATGCAGGTGTGATGTCACATGCACCGAGTCATGCAGGTGTGATGTCACATGCACCGAGTCATGCAGGTGTGATGTCACATGCACCGAGTCATGCAGGTGTGATGTCACATGCACCGAGTCATGCAGGTGTGATGTCACATGCACCGAGTCATGCAGGTGTGGTGTCACATGCACCGAGTCATGCAGGTGTGATGTCACATGCACCGAGTCATGCAGGTGTGATGTCACATGCACCGAGTCATGCAGGTGTGATGTCACATGCACCGAGTCATGCAGGTGTGATGTCACATGCACCGAGTCATGCAGGTGTGATGTCACATGCACCGAGTCATGCAGGTGTGATGTCACATGCACCGAGTCATGCAGGTGTGATGTCACATGCACCGAGTCATGCAGGTGTGATGTCACATGCACCGAGTCATGCAGGTGTGATGTCACATGCACCGAGTCATGCAGGTGTGATGTCACATGCACCGAGTCATGCAGGTGTGATGTCACATGCACCGAGTCATGCAGGTGTGATGTCACATGCACCGAGTCATGCAGGTGTGATGTCACATGCACCGAGTCATGCAGGTGTGATGTCACATGCACCGAGTCATGCAGGTGTGATGTCACATGCACCGAGTCATGCAGGTGTGATGTCACATGCACCGAGTCATGCAGGTGTGATGTCACATGCACCGAGTCATGCAGGTGTGATGTCACATGCACCGAGTCATGCAGGTGTGATGTCACATGCACCGAGTCATGCAGGTGTGATGTCACATGCACCGAGTCATGCAGGTGTGATGTCACATGCACCGAGTCATGCAGGTGTGATGTCACATGCACCGAGTCATGCAGGTGTGATGTCACATGCACCGAGTCATGCAGGTGTGATGTCACATGCACCGAGTCATGCAGGTGTGATGTCACATGCACCGAGTCATGCAGGTGTGATGTCACATGCACCGAGTCATGCAGGTGTGATGTCACATGCACCGAGTCATGCAGGTGTGATGTCACATGCACCGAGTCATGCAGGTGTGATGTCACATGCACCGAGTCATGCAGGTGTGATGTCACATGCACCGAGTCATGCAGGTGTGATGTCACATGCATCGAGTCATGCAGGTGTGATGTCACATGCACCGAGTCATGCAGGTGTGATGTCACATGCACCGAGTCATGCAGGTGTGATGTCACATGCACCGAGTCATGCAGGTGTGATGTCACATGCACCGAGTCATGCAGGTGTGATGTCACATGCACCGAGTCATGCAGGTGTGATGTCACATGCACCGAGTCATGCAGGTGTGATGTCACATGCACCGAGTCATGCAGGTGTGATGTCACATGCACCGAGTCATGCAGGTGTGATGTCACATGCACCGAGTCATGCAGGTGTGATGTCACATGCACCGAGTCATGCAGGTGTGATGTCACATGCACCGAGTCATGCAGGTGTGATGTCACATGCACCGAGTCATGCAGGTGTGATGTCACATGCACCGAGTCATGCAGGTGTGATGTCACATGCACCGAGTCATGCAGGTGTGATGTCACATGCACCGAGTCATGCAGGTGTGATGTCACATGCACCGAGTCATGCAGGTGTGATGTCACATGCACCGAGTCATGCAGGTGTGATGTCACATGCACCGAGTCATGCAGGTGTGATGTCACATGCACCGAGTCATGCAGGTGTGATGTCACATGCACCGAGTCATGCAGGTGTGATGTCACATGCACCGAGTCATGCAGGTGTGATGTCACATGCACCGAGTCATGCAGGTGTGATGTCACATGCACCGAGTCATGCAGGTGTGATGTCACATGCACCGAGTCATGCAGGTGTGATGTCACATGCACCGAGTCATGCAGGTGTGATGTCACATGCACCGAGTCATGCAGGTGTGATGTCACATGCACCGAGTCATGCAGGTGTGATGTCACATGCACCGAGTCATGCAAGTGAGTATAGGGAGATGTGGGTGGGACTGTAGCGAGTCATGCAAGTGACTGGTGTCTGTAGCGAGTCATGCAAGTGACTGGTGTCTGTAGCGAGTCATGCAAGTGACTGGTGTCTGTAGCGAGTCATGCAAGTGACTGGTGTCTGTAGCGAGTCATGCAAGTGACTGGTGTCTGTAGCGAGTCATGCAAGTGACTGGTGTCTGTAGCGAGTCATGCAAGTGACTGGTGACTGTAGCGAGTCATGCAAGTGACTGGTGTCTGTAGCGAGTCATGCAAGTGACTGGTGTCTGTAGCGAGTCATGCAAGTGACTGTAGCGAGTCATGCAGTTGACTGTAGCGAGTCATGCAGTTGAAAGTACAGAGTTGTGCTGGTGTGATGTCACATGCACCGAGTCATGCAGGTGATTGCTGCAGCTGGTAAAGCTGGATGGCGGGATGGTGGGATGGCCTTCGCCATTAGTCCAGCCCTTTCCGCATGCTTACCTCACTGCGCACGGATGTGTTGCGGTCCTGTACCGCGTTGTCCTGTAGCGAGACATTGATTGGAGATAAGGCTTCACGGTACAATGAGTTTCCGTCGTGTGCCCCAAACCCAACCCCAACCCCAACCTCAAAACTTTAACTCAACCCCTAACTCCAAACCTAACCCCAATCCCAACCCCAAACGCACGCCCTAACCCAACCTCAATTCCAACCCCACCCCCAACCACTCAACCGCAATTCCCACCTGTGCCAGACTGTGGAGGAGCCTGAAGCTGAAGCAGAAGGCACGGCGGAAGCAGTTGTGATGACAGCACCAGCAGCGGAGGTGATGGAACGGGGAGCAGGAGCAGGTGACTTGCATGAAAAGCAGCCGTCTCTGGAGGACCAGATGCAGGGGGGGTCGCAGCGCCAGTCGCAGCGTCATCAGCCTTCGCTGCTGCAGCAGCAGCGCCAGCTGCAGCATCTCAAGTCCCTGGAGCGTTGTCTCACACTGGGAATACCCAATGCTAAGGACCCTGCTGTTCTCGCAGCAGACTTGGAGGGGGAGGAGGAGGAGGATGACAGGGAGGAGGAAGGGATGCAGGTGGGGCAGTCAGACTTGGACAGAACTTCCAAAGGAGATGCTCAGGGTGTGCAGTCGGAGAGTGGCGAGGCTGGTAAAACTGCCGCTGGCAGCAGTAGCAGTGTTGATCGCAGTGGTGGGAAGCAGCCGCAGGCGCATGAATCGTCAGCGCATGTGCACAAGCGGTGGCAGGATTTGATAGAAGCACTTATGTCTGATGAGGGAGGGGTTGCCAGGGCAGGAGGTGCAGGTGATGTTATAAGAGAGTGTCCATCTGGAGGCAGTGAGGGCCATGGGCAAAGTGGGGCTGGAGGGAAAGGGTTTGCGTTTAGGAGTATGAGCTGGAGGCAATCATCGTTTGGTGCTCGTCGGTCATCTGGGGCCGAGGATGAACACGAGAAAACAGGATGGGGAAGGGTGAGGCAGGCCGTGAGAGATGGGAACTCGGGAGGAAATCAAAGTAGGGAGGAACAAGGTGAACGGTAGGTTACATGCTTTATAAATAATGCATGTAATCTGGCTTCTCATTGAGTTATGAATTGTTTTAACGAAATAGCTGATACTATTCTTGTTGAGGATGCTTTGATGAGCTGGAGAAGTTTGGGACCTCGTCACCTTTGCCACGCCTGCCGCCACTTCTTCCGAGCCACATAACTATGCCTCGGAATCCCTCAAACCATGTAAGCTGGCCCGAACCGAAATCTCCCGCGTGCTCCAGCTGACGGAGCTCGGTCTCTTACAAGCGTGACAATGACGTGGCGTGGCGCCGCAAACCGAGGGGATCTTTCCGAGACTGTAGGGGAAGGGGAAAGCTGCGTCGGTGGGTGGAATCCAGCGAGGCACCAGAAAGGCCATGTGACCAGTGGCAGATAGCCATGTCCCTCTACCCTGGGCTGTCCCCCCTGTACGATGCCATCTCGATTCCCGCTGTCACGGCCAGCCACGCATGATGCCAACCAAAATGTCTTCGATACCCTCCCTCCATCCCGCATCTCAGCGCTGGACAGGCACAAAAGCACCTCATCTCTTCCACAGTGAAATTCAACAATCTCAGCTTGCTGAATCTCATTCCGTCATCTTGTGATTATCGGTTTTGCTTCTTGTTGCGACTCAAGAAGTTTTCTCTATCCTATTCTCCGACCAGCTCTTCAGCTTCCGAAACTTCAAGCCATGGCCCCCGAGCCCGTCCGCGTGCTTGTCACCGGTGCCGCCGGTCAGTAGAGCCTTGTCAAACATTAGATACGTTTTTCTCCGACACCAGCATGAGTCCCGATTTCTGATCTTGGAACCGCTATGCGCGTTGTTATCATGTGCAGGCCAAATCGGATATGCTCTGGTGCCTATGATCGCTCGTGGCATTCTCCTCGGCCCTGACCAGCCTGTCATTCTTCACCTTCTTGATATCCCTATTGCCGAGACCGCCCTCAATGGCGTCCGCATGGAGCTGATCGACGCCGCTTTCCCCCTCATTCACGGTATGCCCATTTATTTTTGAAACGCCGCTTTCTTAGCACGTGCTGTCGTACTTGAAAATAAAAGGTCCATATCACATCTCAAACGTGTCGATCACACTTGTGAAACCCTGCTGTCCACGCATTTCTTGTTATCAGGGGTTGTCGCGACGTCGAATGTTGAGGAGGCATGCAAGGGTGTCCAGGTGGCCATCATGGTGGGAGGTTTCCCCCGCAAGGCCGGCATGGAGCGCAAGGACGTGATGTCCAAGAACGTCTCCATCTACCGCGATCAGGCCTCCGCTCTGGAGAAGTTCGCTGACAAGGACTGCAAGGTGCGTGCTTAGCAGCTGGTAGAAGAACGGCAACTTGATGCAATCATCGCGTCGGGAAATCCTCGTTTCAATGCCAAAAGCTCGCCTCCAGCAACTTGACATCTTCATCTTCCATAGATGCTGTCGTAACTGCTGGATAGCACCGTACAGCATTCACCGGATTTACGTTCTGTCTCGCATCCAGCTGGCTCGTAAGAAGTTCTCAGTGTCAACCCATCGTATTCTCACACATCCACTGCACGTAACTCCACATAATCCCGACAGGTGGTGGTCGTTGCTAACCCCGCCAACACCAACGCGCTCATCCTCAAGGAGTTCGCGCCCAAGTTCCCCGCCAAGAACATCACCTGCCTCACCCGCCTGGACCACAACCGCGCGCTCGGCCAGATCTCGGAGCGCCTGGGCGTGCCGGTGGCGAACGTGAAGAACACCATCATCTGGGGCAACCACTCGTCGACCCAGTACCCCGATGTGAACCACGCCGTCGTCGTCACTCCCGAGGGCGATAAGGCCGTGCGCGAGCTTGTCAAGGACGACGCTTGGTATGTCAACGGTCACATTTGCTACCTGGAACGCCTCACTCACATTAGGAACCACCATTTTAAATTTAACGTAACCCATTGTCAGAAAAAAATAAAAAGCACAGCATTCATTTGTTCACGCCTATTGAATGGTGCGCAGGCTTGATGGCGATTTCATCAAGACCGTTCAGCAACGCGGTGCTGCCATCATTGCGGCCCGCAAATTGTCAAGTGCTCTCTCCGCTGCCTCTTCTGCCTGCGACCACGTCCGGAACTGGGTGAAGGGCACACCTGAGGTAATGCTCACTAGCACGAAATACCTAACTTTTGTCGTTTCATTTCTGCCATACGGCGTATATCGCTTGAGGTTCTTGCCACTTTGTGCTGAATCATGCCTGTCTGTTCCCTTATACAGGGTACTTGGGTGTCAATGGGAGTCATTTCTGACGGATCGTATGGAGTTCCCAAGGACATCATCTATTCCTTCCCTGTCACCTGCAAGGATGGCGAGTGGACCATTGTGCAAGGTAACGTTTTTTCCCTGTACCTTGGTCACCTTGCGTCCTTTTTCTCGGGCTTCCTGATTCCCTCTTTCCATTTCCTGTACTTGTGCTGCTGTTTCTAAAAACAATTGCGCCATTTCGTCTGTGCAAAACCGTCCATTATTTTCCTGGCAGGGCTGTCAATTGATGCTAACTCAAAGGCGAAGATGGAGGCCACAGCAGCAGAGCTTGTTGAGGAGAAGGAGCTTGCATACGAGTGCCTCAAAGCGTAAAGCATAAATGTAGCCTTCAAATAGAATTGGCAGGTATTGACTGTCATGTTGATCTCGTATACAACATCAATAAGAAATTGTGTCCTATGGTAGAACCACCAGCTGGTGTCACAGGAGTACTCACTACTAAAAAAGTTCACACTGGTTACCTCCTGTCGCTAGAGGATAGGAGATCTTCTAAACCCTGTATTGAAGGAACAATGCTTTGGCACAGCTGCAGCAGCAGGGAATGTGGAGAGGGAATGATGAAGCATACCACAGCTTAGGAGGAGGTTGCTAGCTGGATGTTTTGCCTGGAAATGTAACTTGGGGTTAGTTTGCCTCCTGCCCTAGACCCTAAACCCGAAATCCTTCCCGTGATTGGTCTCCACTTTTCTGCCAAACCTCCATGTGAAGTTTTTTCCAAACTTTTCAAGTGTTGACTTCGTTGTGTGACCCATGCCTTCCCCTTTTATCTGTTTACTTTTGGCAATTCTCTAATGTCTGGGTGAGCATAGATTTAAGAAGATAGCCCCATCAAATAATAAGGGTACGATTGTCATGTTATATTTATATGCATAATTGTCTAGTTCAAACTACACGCGTTTCACTTCAGATAAGGAAGCTCAACCGAGGGTAGAAAGCTTGACGAGCATTAGCGGATATCGTCATGCTGACGCAGTTGCAGCACTCCATGATATCGTCCTGTTTAGTTGACAAGAGAATGGATGAGCTGCTGAATAGAGAGAGACGGAGGATGGGTAGCAACGTCAAATAGTTGTTACACGGGAGTTGGCATAGTAGATTCACAGGATTTTTGTTTAGGGATGGTTGCCAGTCGCTGCTGCGGAGACCTGTGCTGTCACGAGGCAGCTGATGACAATGACGGCATCTGATTCCACCCGATTTCTGTGTCTCTTCCAGCGTAGTCGTCCTCAACGCAGACACTCGTAGCGAACCGTATCTAGCGGACGATAATAAAATCTTTGTCTCCGAAGGGGAAAGTTCAAGCCGCCGGCGCTCAGAGCCAGTCACGTGGTGCCAAGAAGAAGTTCCATACGCATCCTCGTTAGGAATCCTAACCAATCATGGAGTGCCAGCTGTCAGGCGAGCAGATTCGCGGATTATGCCGAGCAGTTCAGTGCCTGGCCAAGGTGGCCCACAGCGATTACATCACCTTCCTGGCGGCTCCTGTGGAGGTACGATGCGGTCGAAGGTGGTAATTTATAGCAATTATGGTAGTTTGAGCCGATCATAGGTGAGAATGTGGTTATCGAAAGCCATTGGTGTGTGTGAAGGTGTTAAGCGAAGCTAATTATTTATGGCAAGGGAAGCTAGTAGTCTGAGCGCAAACCATTGTGAGGAACTTAAATATCAGCGTTCTCAGCCTGTTTTTGTGTGTGTGTGTGTGTGTGTGGAGCCTGAGCCTTGTCCATGTTGATTTGACGGTTGACCAACAGAACTACCCACGTCTGCTTAAAAAACCTTTTTTTTTTGTTTTTGTTTTTTTTTCGTTCCCTGATTTATTCTCCCAGCTGTCACTGCGAGGCATCAACACGGCCAAGACGGCGTATCTGGTGGTCAACTTCGCCACGGACTACTTTCAAACCTTCAAGCTCACAGAACCCACCTGCTCCTGCTCGGCTCTGGTCAAGGTGAGGCAAGTTGGTCAAGGCAGGTCAAGTTGGTCAGGGCTAGTCAAGTAGTTTAGCAATTAGTTGCAGCTTTTTCCCTGATTGCCTGACTCTGTGTATGTATAATTCTCTCCTATTATACATCAATGTCTCTGTGTGTGTTGGTGAGTGTTTGCTGGGGGGGTAGGAGGAGGTCATTCATATGAGGATTCATACATGTGCATGTGAGTGCATGGGTTGTGCATATGAGTGCATGTGCTGTGCGTATGAGTGCATGCGTTGTGCATGTGCGTGTATGTACATGCGAGCATGTGTGTGCGTATGTATGAGTGCATGTGTTGCATGTGCATGCATGCATGTACATGCACGGGGGGAGCAGTCAGTGCTGGCAGTGTTCCGCACAGCGCCAGCAGCCATGCAGACTCTCACCATCACAGCAGACGGCAAGGAGCCCGACAACATTCGCTGGATCATCGACTGCCAGAACGGTACGCGTGCGTGGTAGCCCAAGAACGTGGTAGCCCAAGAACGTGGTAGCCCAAGAACGTGGTAGCCCAAGAACGTGGTAGCCCAAGAACGTGGTAGCCCAAGAACGTGGTAGCCCAAGAACGTGGTAGCCCAAGAACGTGGTAGCCCAAGAACGTGGTAGCCCAAGAACGTGGTAGCCCAAGAACGTGGTAGCCCAAGAACGTGGTAGCCCAAGAACGTGGTAGCCCAAGAACGTGGTAGCCCAAGAACGTGGTAGCCCAAGAACGTGGTAGCCCAAGAACGTGGTAGCCCAAGAACGTGGTAGCCCAAGAACGTGGTAGCCCAAGAACGTGTAGGCTTGATTGTCGAACCGCGGGCCGTTGGCTGCTGCTGTCAAGACGGCATTCCGGTGTGACGCGATTTGCCCCTGAAAGGTAGGCCTCAGGGCGCGGTACATTCGGGTTCCAACTAGTTTTTTTGAGCAACCTGTTCAAAAGAACGCATAGGTGGAAAACGGTAAAACGCCATCCTCAGAACGGGAATAACACGTAGTGCGTTGCGGTTTGAACCGATCCTTTTCGCGGTCTCACTGCCAGAACGGAGATTCTGCTCTTTTTCTTGCTGCATGTGTGAGTGACAGGGAGGCGCTGTCAGCGTCCATGTGACCAATTGACCTATACTTAAGGACTCTCCTTCTCTTGATTTCACCTCCTGCCATCGCTCCCTCTATTTACCATCCCATCCCATCAGGCGTGCGCAAGACCTACACCATCGCGTGTGTGAACGACAGGGAAGTGTTGTCAGCCTCCATCGACCCGTCCACCTACCCCTCCTCGCTCGTCGCCCGCCCCAAGGCCCTGCTGCAACTGCTCAACCACTTCCAATCCACCCTTTCCGAGATCACCATCATTGCTGCCGACCCTGAGGACGTGACAGCCTCGGGAACAGGCACGGGGGGAGGTGCGGCGGGGAGGGGAGGGGGCAGCGAGGCGAAGGCGGTTGAGATGAGGAGCTATGTGGAGCCGACTCTTGCTGGTGGGTGTGTTGAATCTGAAGTGCATGTGTGGGTCTGTGTGGTGTGGTGGATGCGTGGCATACAAAGCTCAGTCACGCTGATGGGTTGTGAAACATAGGTGCATACGTAGGGTGTGAAAGAATTGGAGCGGTAATGAGAAGTCGAAGCAAAGGAATCAGATGCAACCCTCGCCAAAAGCCTCGTTATTTGAGTCCGTCTTGTGGCTCTCCCCCCTGCTCCTCCTCCTCCACTCCTTTCCTTTGCTCCCTGTGCATCTTTTCCGGCAGTGAAGCGCCTGCAGGCCGAGGTGACTCTGTAGTCGTCTTGAAAGCCTATAGGCCCTCGTTTCGTCCTCTTGCTTCTGCCTCCCGACCCATCCACTCGTTGAGCTTTCCCCGTGCAGGTTTCTCAGCAAACGCGCGCCGGCAAGCGTCTCCGGAAGCAGTGATGCACACACAGCTGTGGGTGATAATTGACACACCTCAAACGCGGATTAAAGCCTTTCTATTCTGTCCCTTGCTTCTGCTTCCTGCCCCTCCGCTCGCTGCCTCCATTCCCCGTGCAGGCTCGTCGGCAGACGGACGGCTGGAGGCGTCTCCGGAGGCAGCGATGCACACACAGCTGTGGGTGGACCCCGGGGAGCACTTCGAGGCGTACTGCCACAGGGGAGATGCTGTGGATGTTACTTTCAGCGTGAAGGAGGTGAAGGTGAGACGAGTGTGGGGGTTACGGGCGAAGCTGGTGGGGGTGTGGGGGATGAGGGTGAGGTGGATGGGGTGTGGTGTGGCGTGTCTGATGGGTGGATTTAGAGGAGCACTTCGAGGCGTACTGCCACAGGGGGGATACCGTGGATGTCACCTTCAGTGTGAAGGAGGTGAAGGTGAGAGCCTGTGGGGGGTTACAGTGAGGTGGATGGGAATCTGGGGGATGTCACTTTCTGTGTGAAGGACGTGAAGGTGAGACGAGTGTGGGGGATGGGGATTTGGGGGATGGGGATGAGGGTGAGGTGGATGGGATGGGAGGGTGGTGTGGTATGTGAGGTGGGTGCTGTCATGTCAGAGGAGCTGTTTGTGGCTCTGCCACGCTGGGGATGCTGTGGGTGTCAACTGTTTGTGTGACGGTGAAGGTGAGACAAGTGTGGGGAATTAGTGTGAGGCGGAAAGGGATGTGGGGAATGGTTGTGTGGGGAATGGGAGGGTGGGTCAAGTGGAGCAGTTTGATGCGTAATGCCACACGAGGGATGGCCTTCCCCTGCTCCACCCCCACCCCCACCCCACCCCCACCCCCACCGTCACCACCCGTCCCTCTTCGTTTTTCCGTGGACCCTTGTCGCACCGCCAGGCGTTTGTACAGTTCTGTGAGTCCGCAGCAGCAGACGTGGTCATGCTCTTCCATCGAGCCGGAGCGTGAGTGATGCTCTTCAGTCGTCACTCCCGTGTGTATCGTTCAAGTGCAATCCTGTATACCCTGCCATGCCAGTAGCACGTTGCCAGTCAGTCATTCCCTGCAGTGCGAGCGAGCTCGCCTGCTTGAAAATAGCCCCCACTTCACTCCCTTTCACCTTGTCTGCTCCATGTTTCGATTGATTCACTCGCGCAGCTGTTTCCCCTCTAATTTCCTCCCCATCCCCCCACCTCCCTCCTTTGTCCGCCCCTCCCTCCCTCTTTCATGTCTCCTCCAGCCCTCTCATGCTCATGCCGAGATTTCCCAATCCACATACCACTCCCACGCGCAACCCCCGCCACGCACATGCACACGCACCACTCGCATCTGACTTTGATTCACGACTTGTGATCGCCACCATGCTCGAATCCCAGCTCCCCACGCCTCCGCCCTCTGACCCTTCCGTTCACCGAGCCTCCGCCCAACCTGGCACACCTGCCACTCCTGCTCACCAAGCCGCGGCTACCCCCCAAGCCTCTGCCAAAGCTGGCGCTCCTTTTCACAAGGGCTCGGCTTTCCGAGCGTCTGGCGAAGCTGGAACTCCTACAGTTGCAGCTTCAGGTTCCCAGCGCTCCTGTCATAGAGGTTCGGGAGCTGTTCCGCACCAAGCCTATCCAACAGGCTCGGGCTGCAGAGAAGATCCAGGAAGAGGAGGGCTGGGTGAAGGCGAGGAAGAGGGAGGGGATGAAATGAGGGTCGAGGAAGGTGCTGAGAAGGTTCCGTTGAAAGATCCAGATGCAGGAGCAAGGCTGGAGGCAGGCTGGGCGCATGGAAAACGATGGTCAGACCTCTCAGGTACTGCCGGACCTTTCGGGCCTTGCAGGTGTGGCAATTAGTGTGCCAATATCAGTGCTGTTAGCCTAATGGATTCGATCAACGTACCTGTGCCAACAGTCTTCTGGGCATATGCTGCTAAGTCTCGTGCTTTTCCCTTACACGCATAAAACTGCCCAGTTTCTTCTAGATTTGCCTTGCATTCCCGCTCATCCATGACGCAAAAAGCCAGGGGCACTCCGTGCATTACCCACCCTAACCTGTGTGGGTCCCTTGCAGGGGCGAAGGGCACAGCACACAAGGCTGGCGAGGGTCTGGGTGGAGGGGAGGGGAGTGGCGGTGGGAGAAGAGGAAGCAGCACGTGGCCCAGGGAGCAGCAACAACCATCACCAGGCCATGAGCAGCACGATCAACGGCAGCAACAGCACGATCAGTACCAGCAACAGCAGGCAGCCAATCAGGTTCCAGACAGCGAGGACGCCACCGAGGAGCTTCCCATTGGTCGGCTGGCAGCGGCGTCAGGAGGCGACAGTGGCGGTGGCGGTGGTGGTGGTGGTGGTGTTGCCGGTGGAAGCAACACCGGGGGTAGTGTGGATGGGAATGGCATGGTGACTGGCGGTGCTGCTGATGTGTCTGCTGGGCGATTCATGCCCACTGAGGCATCCACCCCAGGGAGGCAAGCACCTCATCAACGTGAGTCATCTCTCGTACCCCTTTCCTTCCCTCGATTCTTTCCAATCCCCCCATGCCGCCCCCGCCGGTTTTTAGCCTTTGAGGTTTGAAGTCACACAATTTATCCACCTCGCCTCACCCCTCATGGTTGTCGCCCGAGTTTCCAAAATTTCTCATCGTTACGAGCTTTTCCTTTGCGTTGTACTTTCGCAACCTCTTCCCATGGATAATAGGGCAAGAAGCCTCTCGTGCAGAGCAACCTCCTCTTCAGAGAGATCCGGACCGTTGGATTGAAAATACGGAGGATGACGAGATGGAGGACAAATTACGGGGGCGTATTGGTGGCCCTATGGACGAGGATCAGTGTGAAGGAATTGGTGATGAGGATGAGTATGTGGATGCTACTCCACCTGAGAGGAGGATGTATGATGATGAGGATGAAACCATGGATTAACACTAATGGACTACAGTAACAGTTATAGCTATATGATGTAAATGCTTTTCTTTGTTCTAACTCGTGTTTTGAGATTGTGTCACAATATGGAGCAGCCTTTGTGCGAGGTTTTGCGCGCCGTTCCTGGCAATCGCGTCTCACCGCTGACGGAGAAAGTCATCTTGGCCTTCCAGATGGGCACAGATCCTTCCACACGTGCCCATGTCGCACAAATCATTTCCTCGATGATGGCACTGCGACTGGCTGTGCGACAGCGCGTTACGATGACAGTGCGATGCACATGCCTCGTCGGTCAAGCGCTAGTGTGCGACACGCGGCACAGCAGCTCCCAAGCCTGCGACAATATCCAAGGACGCAGCAGCCCCACTCTCAAGGATGATATCGGTGTGTATCGCAGCTTCGCTTCCACGCTTGATCGCAGTGTGCCGGACTTTGTCGCACGCAGTTCCCTAGGTTTGTTGCGCATCCCTCCACTCACTCCCACCTCCTCCCCCAGCTTGAGCTTTGCCTCACCCATTCCCCCCACCACCCCCATCATCCCATTCCTTCCCTGCGATGGACGGACCCTTTTCTTCGCTGATTCCATTCTAGGGTTTCACTCCATTCCATGGCTCCACCAGCCGCTCAGGCTCTGGCTGCTTCCAACAGGTTTTGAGTGTGATTGTTGGGAACAGTGGTGCAATTGTGGCAACAGCTAAAACGAGATATCGAGACCCACTTGGGACCGTGTGATCGCGGAGGGTCCGTTGGTAGCTGGAGTCGGTCACGGCACGGGAGGGAAGCTACACAGCTTCTGGAACGTTCTTTCAGTGCATTTCCTCGCTGTTGCTAGCTATAGAATAAAATCAGCAGGATAGTTCCCGAGAGCGTAGGAGCGATGCTGGAAAGAACGGGGTCGCTGAATCCTCAGCGGCCGTCGAAGCACGAAATGCCGAACCCTTACCATGACGTGCTGACGACGCCGCGAGGGACGAGTAGGAACCGCGAGAGGGAGAGAGACGTGAGTCCGCTACTGAGACCAGACAGAGCTCGGGAGCTTAACCCTAGTCTGGAAGCCAGCTTTGAGGCGTTGCGATTGGATAAGTCGAGGGAGGGAAGCGGATTGGCTCATTCGCGCGAGAGCAACGGAATGTCCATGGCCGATCCCGGTGCGAGAGCGGAATCGCTAAGAATGGGTCACAACGGCCTCTCCCAGATGCATCCTCTCTCCGCAGGCCTCTCCGATGTGCGTTTCTAACCTCGTTCCCATCCCCGTTATTATCCTCCTCCGCGTGTTTTTTTTTCTTCTATCCTCGTCCATCATCGCCTGTCCGTTTCGAGAACGTTTTGCCGTTCCCCCGACTTGCACGCTCATCGAATCCGTGTACGCGGTCGCGTGTTGCTTTCGCCGACGTCGCCTAGGGTTCCTTATCACCTGTCTGCATCCCCTCCATCTCATTACCACCACTGAGGCATTCCGAAGCGTTTCCGTTTTGTGCAATTGTTTCGACCCCGGAAAAATATAATCCCCAGGTAATGACGGGCATGCCGTTGAGCATGGACTTTAGCATGCTCGAGAGCATCAGCTCGTTGAACCGGACGACCGGCGGGCACAAGCACATGACGCCGGGCAAGGCGCACCCCATATCGATGTCGTCGCAACGGCCCAGCATTCGCGTGTCGCACCTCGATGTCAGCGTAAGGCGCATTGCTGCTTGGTTGGTTCTCTCGTTGAGGTGTTTGTGCGAGGTTGCTTGCTGCTTTGTCCCTGCCTTTGCTTGCTCTTTCCATCCACACGCCTCCAGGCACCTTCAACTGGCTCGCATGGTTGTGCGTTTCGTGTGACTCTCCGCGTGCTTGGCTCTCGTTTTGCTCCATGTCACCTTCCGCGAGGCTCCGTGTCCTTTCCTCCCGCGTTGCTCCATTTCCTTTCTTCCCGCGTTGCTCCATTTCCTTCCCCTTCGCGTTGCTCCGCGAGGCAGGACGGGTCAATGAGCAATCTCGAACGAGCACTCGAATACGCGAAGAAAAAGGTCGACGACGAGCTTCGCGTGTTCATTAGCGACATCGCCAAGCGGCTGAACCTCCCAGGCGCCGCGCCGCCCAGAACTCCTCCCAAGTCGCCCGTCTCGCCCTCTAACGCCTACCCGTCAACGTTCACGTCGTTCTTAATGTCGCCGGAGTCATCCAGGTGGGAGCAAGGGGCGCTCTATCTCAAAGACCTAGCTGAGAAATGCTTACGCATGCACGCAGACGAGTTCGGATCGGCGTGCGAAGACATCGTGCACGATCTGAACATGGCGCGGCAGCAGCTTCCCATGGGAACCCTAAAGCAGCTGCACATGAAAATGCTCTTCATTCTCACTCGCTGCACGCGTCTGCTGCAGTCGCAGAAGGAAGCGGAGGCGGAGATGCCGTACGGGGGAGCGTACGGGGGGCCGTATAGGGGCGCGGAGGTCTTAGCGACGCCGATGGTTCGTAACCGTCCGCCTGGCTTGCCGTCGACGCTGCGATCGCAAGCGTCGATGGCGGCGACTCACTTTTCGTCGTTTACTAAATCGAAGCCGCTGGAACGTCCCGCAGAGCTCCCCGCAGGTCACTCCTCGGAGCACTCGGCGGAGCAGGCCGCGGGGCAGCCGGCGGAGAAGGGGCGGCTGCAGCGGCAGCAGCAGCAGCAGCCGCCGCAGCCGCCGCAGCGGTCGATCATCCGGTGGGACTCGTGCCCCGCGCCGGCGGACTGGCGGGTGCGCGACCCCAAGGCGGAGCAGAAGGGGGGCGCGGGGCTGGGTTTGGGCGCGCGGAAGGATGAGGGAAAGCAGCGGAGCAAGAGCAAGTCGAACATGATGGACGACTGGAGTGCCGCGGTGGCGGAGATGAGAGGGGCTCTAGACGACGGTACCTACGTGCCCGGCGGGGATTTTAACCAAGAGGACAGCGCTAGCGCGAGTGCGAGTGCGAGCGCGAGTACTGGGTTCGGATTTGGGTTCGGAACAGGGTTTGGGTCCGGGCTTGGCGCAGGGTCGAGTGCTGATGGAGGTTCGGTATCAGGCCTGGCTTCGAGCTCGTCCAGCCAACTTGCGCCTTCTGGCTCGTCGGGCCTGGGCTCGAGCTTGGGATTAAGCTCAAGTTCAGGTTCGGGGCTTGGTTCGACTAAGAAGAAGCTGTCCGGTGGGTTGATTGGCGGAGTGACGAGTCTGGTTCGGATGGTTAGTGGGAAACTAGAGGAGCTATTGGCGTCGGTTAAGGAGGAGGAAGCAGCAGAGATGGAGGAGGCGAGGAAGGATCGGGTGGAAAAGGCAAAGGAGAAGGAGAAAGGGAAGGAGAAGGAGAAGGGGAAGGAGAAGGAAAAAGGAAAGGAGAAGATGGATAAGGGCAAGGAGAAGGCAGAGAAAGGGAGGGACAAGAGTGCGGGCAGGAAGGGCAGCAGCGCGACCATGTCTCCATCGCCTATGCAGAGTAAACGGTTGTCGGATGATGGACGGGAGGAAGGGGACGTGTCTCTGGCTAGCAGCAGTGGGGAGCAGGGATGGCTGCAGCAGTTGTTCCAGCCGCAGCCGCAGCCGCAGCAGCCGCAGCCGCAGCAACAGCAGCAGTATTCCCAGCAGCAGGAGGATCAGGTGCAATCCGGGGTGCCCCAGCAGCACGTGCAGGAGCTGCAGCCACAGGCGCAGGCGCCGATGGACGCGCAGATGCACTCGCCGGCGGACATGCTCATTGGGGAGCAGCAAGCGCACACGGCGGGTCCGCTCGCTCCGCCTGTTGACGCGGAGGTGCACGGGTCCACGAGCGCGCGGGGGCTGCTGTGGGGGCGGGTGGCGGAGATCCGCAAGGAGGAGGAGATTCAGCGCGCATTTCGTAGCCAGTCCGCGCGGGACAAGGCCTCCGCCTCCCGGTCGAGCGACTCTGCGCCGTCGCCTGCAGCAGCGCCTGTAGCGCCGGTAACGCCGGGGGGAACGGCGGTTCGGGAGATGGGCGCAGCGGGAGACGCAGAGGTAGCGGCGGCGCTAGGTGCGGCGTTAGGCGCATCGGGAGGAGCGGAACCTAAGGTTGCAGCAGCCCTATCCGCGGGAGATGGCGCAGGGGCAGCAGGGACCGGCGGAGCATGGGGCGAGGCGGGGGACACGAGTATGGCGGTTGAGAGCATGGCGGTTCCGCAGGAGGGGATTAAGGGGAGTGAGGGAGTTGAGGGGAGGAAGGGGGGGCAGGGTGGGGCGCGGCAGGGGCAGGGGGACGTGCGGCGGGAGGGGGAGTCGGAGAAGGCGCACAGACGAGGCGAGGGGCGCAGCAGCAGAGCGTGGGACGTGCGGGTCCCAAGCGGAGAAGAGGATCGGATGGAGAGCCGGAGGCACGGGGGAGCCAGAGAGCCGCCCTCGCCCTCGGGTAACCACGCAGAGGATTTTGATGATTTACATGAGAAGGCTATGATGAGGTCTGTGTCGGGGCGAAGAGTGCAGTATAAGTATGGGTACTGGGGCAAGGGGGAGAATGAGGAGGAGGAGGGCATGGATGGGATGGTTCCGAACGAGGGGGAACAGGAGTGTGTGGTGATTTGTCGGATCTGCGAAGAGGAGGTGAATGTTACGCAGTTACAGGAGCACTCGCGGCTGTGCGCGCTCGCGAATCGGTGCGACTCGGCGCAGTTTTCGATCGACGATCGGCTGAGGCGGCTAGCGGACGGCCTGGATCACATCTCGAACGAGCAAGTGTCGCGGCTGGGCGCCATGTCGTTCCAACGAGTGCCGTCCAACTCGTCGTCCGCTGCTGGCGGGTCAGCCTCTTCTGGGGTGACCGGGGGGCTGGATTCGCATTCCCAGCAGGTGGGGTCGTTGGGGGGAGGGGGAGGTGTAGGTGCGAAGCAGGGTGGTGGCAGGTTTTTATCTCCCTTGGGCAGCAGTATGGTCTCGCATGCAGACATGCGCGAGGGGGACGAAGGCGGCGCAGCAGGGGGAGAAGGAGGCGGAGACGGGGAGGGGGCGGGGGCGGATGGGTACGGAGGAGAGGAGCAGCAGATGCGCGAGCAGGACGCAGCGGAGCACTGCAGCAGAGAAAACGGGTCGTTGCACCCAGGCGTCCCGATAAGCCCCACTGAGGATCACCCAGAGCACCCGGAGCATGCAGAGCATCAGGAGCATCAGGAGCATCAGGGCGCAGGGGGCAGCAGCAGCAGCAACGTGTCCAACTGGTCGTACGTGAGCCACCACCTGCAGCAGCAGCAGCAGCAGCACAAGCTGCAGCAGCAGCAGCAGCTGCAGGCCGCAGGCGAGGAGGGGTCCCAGTACGAGCCCTCCATGAGCGCTGTGACGAGCATGAGCGGCGCTACTTCCACCAGTGGGTTCCTATCCGCGGGTACTGCCTCGCCCATGCCCACGTCGCCGGCAGGGTCGGCGGGCACGCGAGGGGACGGCCATGGGGGGTATGGGAGCCCTGGATCGTCGCTGCTGAAGAGTGCTCTGGCGGGCGGGGGGAGGGAGCTGATGGAGGAGCACATCCACATGGTGGCACAGGAGGAGATCGCTCTGGTGAGCCCCGGGGTTGACGTTTCAGTCATGGATTCTCCCTGGTAGAGCAAGATGTAAAGGCTTATGGCACTGCTGGTGGGGGGAGGGGAGGGAGGTGATGGTGGCGGGGGAGGAGATGGCGTTGCAGTCGGTCCGTGGCTTCTGTTGACTTGATTCACATCTCCAAGACTCTCTCGTGCTGTGACTCCATGCCTCTTTACCCCCCAACCCAACCCCTCAGATGGACGACCTGGCGGACATAGCACAGGACGTGGCGGACGTGTCACTGGAGGACGAGAAGCCCGAGGAGCTGCTGCTGACGGACATGAGGGACCTCACGGACCTGCTCCGCACCAACGATGCGCGCTTCCTCACCATCGACGTGTTCGGGCGGCGTATCACCAAGCTGCTGCAGTGAGTGTGCTTGCTCTTGTGTGTCATGAGAATTCTCTAAGGCTGCTGCTGACGGACATGCGCGACCTCACGGACCTGCTGCGCACCAACGATGCGCGCTTCCTCACCATTGATGTCTTTGGCCGCCGCATCACCAAGCTGCTGCAGTGAGTGTGCTTGCTTGCTCGTGCGCGCATGCATGCTTGATTGCTTGCTTGATGGCGTTTGCGTCAGCTCCTGATTCCCTCACTTCTGTTGCTTCTGTTGCCCCTCCGCCGTTACCTCACCCCCCATCGCCTCACTCCCATCTCCTCATTCCCGTTTCCCCCCTGCACTGCTCCCCTGGGCGCCATGAAGAAGCACTACCGCCTGAGAGACATCTTGGACCACCAAATGGGCTCTGCAGCAAGTTGCCTCAAGAGTCTTGTCATCCCTCCCGTTTCTCCCCCCCACACCTTCCCCCACCCCGTTTGCCAGGGAGAAGTATTACCGCCTGAGGGACATCCTAGATCACCACATGGGCGCGGCAGCGGGCAGTGCAGTGCGGGGCTATGGGGGGGAGGAGGGGGGCGAGGGCATGGAGTATGCAGACGAGGACGGGGAAGACGTGCTGCACCTCTCCCGCAGCGCCCGCAGCCCATGGCCGCGGCAATGGGCAAAGCTTTTTGAGCTGACTAGCAAACGCCTCTTCCTCCCTCTCCTTTCTCCGTCTCTCCCCTGCGCTCCTGTCCCCCCCGCTGCTCCCCTGGTGGCAGGGAGAAGTACTACCGTCTGAGGGACATCCTGGACCACCACATGGGTGCGGCAGCGGGCAGTGCAGTGCGGGGCTATGGGGGGGCGGAGGGGGGCGAGGGCATGGAGTATGCGGATGAGGACGGGGAGGACGTGCTGCACCTCTCCCGCAGCGCGCGCAGCACCCCGCCCAACGCGTCTATGGGCGGCGGCAGCAGCATCGGCGGCGGCAGCATTGGTGGCTTTGCTGGTGGTGGTGGGGGTGGGGGTGGTGGTGGTGGGGGTGGAGGGGGTGGTGGTGCCGGTGCGTCGTCGTCGTCGGCCTCGGCGGCGGGGCGGGATCGCACGACGATAGACGATTTTGAGCTGATCAAGCCGATCAGCAAGGGCGCGTATGGGCGTGTGTTCCTGGCCAAGAAGAAAACTACAGGGGATCTCTTCGCCATCAAGGTGCGTGCGTGCGTGGGCGGGTGTTGGGCATCTGGCAAGGAATCGCATCGCACGACGATAGTCGATTTTGAGCCGATCAAGCCCATCAGCAAGGGCGCGTATGGGCGTGTGTTCCTGGCCAAGAAGAAGACCACGGGGGATCTTTTTGCTATCAAGGTGCTTGTGTGGCCTGGTGCATGCATGGGTGGGCGGGTGCGTGCATGGGTGCATCCTCGTTCCTCCCCTTCTATTGTGTGTACTACCTGTTGAGGTTAACCACTGTCCCCCCTGTCCCACCCGTGTGGCGCCCCTGTCCCTCCCCCTTTGCCTCTCTCTGCGCCGCCTTTGCCTCTCTCTGCATCAGGTGCTGCGCAAGGCGGACATGGTGCGCAAGAACGCGGTGGAGAGCGTGCAGGCGGAGAGAAACATCCTCGCCTCCGTGCGCAGCCCATTCGTGGTACGCACGCATGCCTCGCGTGAAAATGCTGTCTGGTGATCGGGATGTTATTGTGTATTGCGCTGTGCATCGCCATGTTGTATGCACTCGCATGCTCGTCGGTAACCATCATTCATTTCACTCCCGTAGGAGCACTCTCACCTCATCACATGCGCTCGCTTCATGCACCCCCACGTCTCTACCATGCCCCTCGCCCCTCGCCTCTGCTGTCAGGTGCGCTGCTTCTACTCATTCACATGCTGCGAGAACCTGTACCTGGTCATGGAGTAACTCACACACACACATTCTCTCTCTCTCCCCCCTCGCTCACTCCCCCCTCACCCCAGGTGCGGTGCTTCTACTCGTTCACATGTCGCGAGAACCTCTATCTGGTGATGGAGTATCTCAACGGGGGCGACCTCTTCTCGCTGCTGCAGAACCTCGGCTGCCTCGAGGAGCCCATGGCTAAGGCCTACATCGCTGAACTCGTACGTGCCCTGCCCTTCCTAGCCCTTCCCTGCCTTGCCCTGCTCTGCTGTGATTCCTTCGTTATCTGACAAAAACGTAAAGAACCTTCGCTGCCATGAGGAGCCCATGGCCATCACTCTCCCTCCACAGGCCTCACGCCTATGCAACCCTCACGCCACAACAACCCATCCCACACGTCATGCGATCCGCCCATCCCCATCAGGTGTTGGCGTTGGAGCATCTGCACGCGAGTGGCATCATCCACCGGGACCTCAAGCCCGACAACCTCCTCATCGCATACGACGGCCACATCAAGGTGAGCGCGCCTCCGTACCTACCTCGTCGTCTCGTCACCCATGGTTGGAGAGGCAGCAGCGCTAGAGAATACACTTCAGCAAAAGGGAAACGAGTATATAAGGCTTTCTTTTAGCTAGGAAAATAGAATTCTCAAGGCCGACAACCTCCTCATCACATGCGATGGCCACATCAAGGTGAGGCTGGCTCACTCTCAAAGCAAGGGTCGTCTTGATGTCAACATTATGGCTTATGTATGTCAGCGACAACCCGTGCATGCCACTCGCTGCTTGTGTTGCCCGCTTCAACATGTTTCCTTCCTTCTCTCAGCCAGCCTCTTCTTGTCAGTGCATCAGCGCTGGTTCCTTCTCACCCTCGTCCTGCTCGCGCTTTTTCATCTCCTTCCCCCAACCCTTCCCCCACAGCTGACGGACTTTGGTCTTTCCCAGATGGGTCTATTCAACAGCACGGGGGACTTTGCCATCGGCCCTCTCGCCACCACAGGGCCCTCTGAGCCCCCCTCCCCCAACGTCACCGCCGCCGCTGCCGCCGCTGCTGCCGCTGCCGCCTCTGCCTCCGCTGCTGCTGCAGCCTCTGCAGCCGCCCTCTCCTCCTCGTCCCACCCCCCAGCCGCCCTCGGCTTCCCCAAATCCGGGTCGATAGATTCCGGCGCGTCAGTCTCTGCGTCGATTCCGACGTCGCCCCTTTGGGCGGCAGACCGGGCGGTTGACTTCCCGCACGCGCCGTCCGGCGCGTCGTCCCGTCCGTCGTCCTCTTCCGGCCGCACTTCCCCGTTTTCAGGGGTTCCGGGCGGCGCGGGGATGGTGGGCGGCGGAGGGGCGGGGAGTGTGGGAGGGGCGGGAGGTGCGGGGGGGATGGGGGGAGGATCGGCGTCGCCAGCGTGGAAGGCGGAGGTGGAGTCGCTGCAGGGCGCGGGGCGGAGTGCGTCGGCGGATGTGGAGAAGAAGAAGGAGCAGACGGTGGGCACGCCGGACTACCTCGCTCCGGAGATCCTGCTCGGCACGGGCCATGGTGGGTGGGGTTGGTTGGGGTTTGGTGGGTAGTGGGTGGCGGTGGGTTACGGTGGGCGGGTGGGGGTGGGCGATGGTGGGTGGTGATGGCATGATGGGTATGGGCCTTTTGCCATTCGCATGGTGGGCTTGGGATTGGACAGAACATGCTGGCGAGCTAGTGTCACTATACACACACCTTGGTCGCTCTCCATCCTCCTTCCGCTGCATTGCTAATCCATATGCCTTCCTTTCTCTCTCTTTCGCCCTCCACTTCCCTCCACGGGTCATCCCTGGTGCTGCAGGTGCCACAGCGGATTGGTGGGCGGTGGGAGTGATGCTATTTGAGCTGCTCTGTGGTGTGCCCCCCTTCAACGCGCCCTCCCCAGAGGTGAGCAGGGCAGAGCGGCCGTGGCACTCGTTTTCTGGCCAAACTGACTGTCCTTCTTTGTCCACCCCCCACCATCCTCACAATTCTTTTCACACACGCACACGCACACCCTTCCCCACACATGCATATGCTCACATTCCATTTCTCTGTCCTTCGAACTATCTCTCTTTCCCCTCCTCCCCCATAAATCAACTCGTGCAGATCATATTTGACAACATTCTGAACCGTGACATCCCATGGCCGGAGGTGCCGGAGGAGATGTCGTACGAGGCCATGGACCTCATTGATAAGTACGTGTGCTTGCTTCTTAGAGTCCGTGTGCTTGGGAGGGAGAGGGCGAGAGAACACACACACACATTGTGCCCGGAGGTGCCGGAGGAGATGTCATACGAGGCCATGGACCTCATTGATAAGTACGTGCGCTTGCCTCAGCTCAGGGATTCTGTTGAAGATTTTTTTTTTTTTTTTTTTAATGCGGATACAATGTGCATCATGCCTATTCTTCCCTCTCGTCCCTCACATTCTCTCTTTCTCTCGTGTATCAACTCCACCATCCCCCCCTCCCCGGTCCTCCGATCAGGCTGCTGCATCCTGAGCCGTCTCTGCGGCTAGGAGCGAGGGGAGCGGAGGAGGTGAAGGCACACCCCTTTTTTGACGGCATTCGCTGGGAGACCCTCGCGCAGGAACAGGTGGGTCTGGGTTTGCATGGGTTCGTGTGCGTGCGCACCTGAATCATTTGCCTAATCAGGCTCTCCCGCCACTTTTCTCTCAGATTGTTGTGAGTGGTTAAAATTCCGTCGTTCTTGCTTCTTCCATCCATCATCCTCATTTTTATCTTCTCCCCCCCCGCCCCTCCCCCCTCGCCCCTCGCCCTGTCCTCCAGGCGGCGTTTGTGCCGAGTCCCGACAGTCCGCACGACACGGGGTACTTTTTGACGCGCGGGTGGCAGCAGGAGCAGGGCGGCATGGACGGGGGAAACATGGCGATGGGCATGGGCGAGAGCGAGAGCGCCAGCAGCGACGCCTGCAGCAGCACGTCTGCAGACGACTTTTACCAGGGCGAGCAGGTGAGGACAGCGAGGGGGACGAGCTGGTGAGGACAGACAGGGGGACGAGCTGGTGAGGACAGACAGGGGGACGAGCTGGTGAGGACAGACAGGGGGACGAGCTGGTGAGGACAGACAGGGGGACGAGCTGGTGAGGACAGACAGGGGGACGAGCTGGTGAGGACAGACAGGGGGACGAGCTGGTGAGGACAGACAGGGGGACGAGCTGGTGAGGGCGAGAGCGAGAACGAGAGGAGAGGAGGGATGAGCCGGTTGTGGTAGGAAATGTTTTTTCGATCTTAAGGAGTGTGGGAGTGGATGGGGATTCACCTGTGTGCCGTGTTTTTGTCTCGTCCTGGGCTTGCATTCTTCTGCTGTGCTGTCTGTGTTGCGCTGCATGGTGGTGTGTGGCAGGGAGATGAGCCTGGTGATATGAGGAACTTCTCAGACAATGTCGCTGCTGCCTTCACCAACTTCTCCTTCAAGGTGCGTGCTCATGCTGCTACTTCTGATGCTGATGCTGATGCTGATGCTGATGCTAATTCTGGCGCTGCTGCTGATGAGGATCCTGATGCTGATGCTACTTGTTCTGCTGCTTCTTTTGGGGCATGGGCCGGTGTGTGCACTCGTGCCGCACGCGGGTGCATTGGTTCTCGTACGGTTGTGTGTGTGTCGGCGCATGGTACCCATGCGCTCTTGCGTTCTTTTCAAGTGTTGAGGCGTGTAGCAAAGGTCGTTTCACCCCCTAAGTGATGCTCTCACACAGCCCCCTTTCTAACTGATGCTCTTGTCACTCACTCTCCTCCCTACCCGTCCTTTCCGTTCCTCTCTGCGCCCCCCGATCCCTGTTGCAGAACCTCTCTCAATTGGCTGAGATCAACTATGAGTTCCTAGGCCGGCAAAAGAGCCCTCCCACCCATCTCAAGTGACAGATCCTTTTACTGAAGCACTTTTTTAACGAAGCAGTCTCTACAGGAGCAGCAGAGCAGGCACAGCGCCAGCACCAGCACAATCCACGGCAGCGGCACGTGGTTTTGACAAGCACGCGGCACTGCAATCTGCACCCTGTTATGTTGCTCCCATGGGGAGTTCATCTCATGCAGCTTCCATGCAGCTTCCGTGCTGCTTCCATGCTGCTTGTCCATCCAGCACCACTCCCACAGGGTGTTTTACTAGAGGCAGTAAGCAACTGTCTGAGCTCTCCTGTTTTGGCACCACCACGCATGTGGGCCGACCAGAGTGTGTGCTTGTGGTTGCGTGCACGTCTGTGCGCTTTTTGTTCTCGTCCCCCGATCGTTTGCTGCTGTTTGGTCCAGCTGTAGCTGACTGCTTGCTGGTACTGAACCGGACAGGGAGGGGCCGAGAGCATATGAGATAGGTGGAATGGAATACATATGTTGCAAAGTGTGGTAGAGATGGATGGAAGTGGAGATTGGGGAGAAGGGCAGTAGAGGTGAGGGCGAAAGGGGCAGGACTCAGGAGGAGACAATGCCGGCCTGAGGCACTGCAGCTTTCAGCAGCACAGATCAATTTACGCAGGCCCATATCGGAAGCTTCTGCCGCCGGTGTGCCACGCAAGGCCGAGTTGAGCATTGTGGTTTTCTTTTTGCCTTGTTGTTGGCATCCTTTTTTATCTCTCCAATATCCTTATGCAGCGGTCTTGAGCAAGCCAAATGTGTGCTTCATCAAGTTAGCTAATCTTGCCAACTATGCTTGAAGCTTCTTTTATTATTTTGTTTTTAGCTGTGGGGCTGTTTCTACTATAACGATTTTTCTCTGCTTCTGGTTCTCGTTTGCAGTAATTGTGTACTACGGTTATGTTACAACTACCTGTTGGTTTAAATGTGCACACTAGAAATGTCACTGAATGGTTGTGCCTTGATGGGAATATTTGAGACACACAGCTATATTCACAAGTGCTCTCAATCCTGGTCTGGTTCTATATACTGCACACAATCGAGAGCTTCTGGCGCCGCTCAACGCGCCTCTGCCGTCTGTACGGATGCGTTGTTAGGTCCAGCGCCGGAATATTACGAGGCGGGTTTTCTCTGTTCCTTTCTGAATCAGCGAGGAGTTTGTGTTGTTCGTTTTTTCTCTGAATCTCGAAGTCGTCCTTTTTTTTCTGAATCAGCGCGGGATTTCTCCATCAGAGCCATGAAGCGGCGCGGAGCTGCTCTCATCCTCTCCCCGAGGAGGTGCTGACGTCGATCGTACGTCAGCTCGAAAATCCCGCCGATCGGCGAAACGTCGCTCTTGCCTGTTCTCGATTTCGCGAACTCGAAAACCGTTCTCGCCGGACCCTGACCTACAAGGCCCGCCAGGGGACCCCTCACGTCCAGATTCTCGAATCGCTGCTTCGGCGATGCTCGAATCTCGACGATCTCTCCGTGATCAACGATCGCGGGAAATCGACGGTTGGCGATGAGCTGCTGCTGGCCGTCGGATCGAGATGCTCGCAGCTGGAGCGGCTGAGCCTCGTAGGATGCGATGAGATGACGGATGATGGATGGAGCACGTTCAGTGCGCAATGCCGGTGAGTGCCCTATTTTGAATCTTATGCATAACCTAATTTGAAATCTACGCATAAACCTATTTATCATTACTCGTCTCGGGCTCTTGACGTGCCTCAATCTTCGTGCTGTGCTTTACTGCAGCTGAAATTGCGTGTCTTCCGTTTTGGTTCGTCTTTCTCAGCTACTACTCCCCGTCATCTCCCCTCACCCTTACCCTCCACCCCCCCAACTCTCCCCTCTCCTTTTCCCCCTCCCGCCCCGCCCCTCCCCCCAACTCTACCAGCGCGCTCAAGGCGCTGGAGCTCCGCCTTGTCTCCGCCGCGGCAGTCTGTCCTCCCCTCTCCGCCTTCCCCTCTCTCCTCTCCCTCACACTCTACCGCCTAGACGGCCTTCCAGCGCAAATCTCCTCCCTCTCGCTCTGCTCCTCCCTCACCTCCCTCTCCCTCTGGCACCTCACAGACCCGCTTCTCTCCTCCCTCTCTTCCTCCTCCTCCTCTCTCCCCGCCCTCCAGTCCTTCACCCTCACATCAGCATCAGTCAAAACTTCCCTGGGATCCCTCGGTGCTTTCCCCCTCCTCTCCTCCCTCGCTCTCTGCTCATGCTCGCAAATCGGTCCCCCTGAAATGCACTCTCTCTCGCGCTCCCTCCACACACTCACCCATCTGACCATACAAGACTGCCCCATGATTTGCTCCTCTGCGGTGGCCGCTCTAACCGCTGCTAATTCATCCCTCGCGTCTCTTTCCCTCCGGGGCAGCTTGCGTCTCTTCAGGCCTGGAGGTGCTGAAGCGGCGCTTAAACCCGCCGCCGGCGCTATAGAATCGCTGACGCTTAGCGGCGTGCCGACGCTGAGCTGGGGCATGCTTGAGGGATGCACGCAATTGAAGGCTCTGCGGCTGGAATATGGGAAAGGGTCCGTGTGGGATATTGTTTGTATGCTGAGTGCAGGGAGGCTTGAACGGCCTCCGCATACAGTGAATGATATTCTTGATATGTTTTTTGGAGGGGGGGTTTGGGAACGGCGTGGAAGAGAACGGAGGGGAGAAAGTGTTGAAGAGGGGGCGGGTGGGGAGGGAGGAGCAGATGGAGGAGGAAGGGGAGAGGCAACGGTCGTGCCTCTGGAGTCGATTTGCCTTCACTGCTTTGCCTTTGCCCCGGATGCTCGAGTCTCCCTAATCTCCTCCACCCCGTCTCCTCCCCCGTCGCTCACCACATTCGGGCAATTGAGACGGCTCTCCATGCACGCGTGCACGGGGCTCGAAGAGAGTGATTTTCATGCGGTTTTGGAGTCCTGTCCTCGTTTAGAGCATCTTCTTGTGGATTACAACGACGCGTTCTCCGACCGGGTGATTTCGGAGAATAGTCTGGAAAAGCTCACACGTCTCAGCGTGATAGCATGTCCCAAGGTGACTGCTGCGAGTATCGGGGGTATTCTTGGGAGTTTCCCCAAGGTACGGTGGCTGAAGGTGGAGAAGCGGAAAGTCACAGAGAGAGCTAGAAGGGTGTTTTTGAGGGCTGGTGTGATAATACGAGTGTGATCATGAGTGGAGTGTAGGAACCGCAGAGTTATACCTATGTTCGCTGCATTGGCCCTTGTGAGATCGTCTGAGATGTCACCACAAAGTGTTATTTTTTAACTCACATGCTCTGCGCATATCTCAAGCCACATACACTACGGTATGCATACCATACCACATTTAGCATATTTAGGCCGAACTCACTTCATATTTTTCCAGCATGGATACAAAGGGGTACGATACTTCGGTACAGTACGCTGTCCTGCTGAGAGGGCTCTTTCAATTTCTTGAAGCAGGCAGTTCACAGAAAGCTGCGGTGCAGACACTCTTTCCACGGTAACCAGACAGGTCTACGTGGACCGATGGTGGGGTCCAAAATTGGACATGGTAGGGACCCCACAAAACCCCTACCACAATACATTTTTTTCTTTCGTTTTTTTTTTTTTTGTTCAAAAGGGGTTGGGTTTGGTGGTCAGGTTCTCTCAAGCAGAGGCTGAGTGATGCCAGAGTCTGTGGGGGCGCTCATGGCCCCTCCTGGGGGGGTGCGGGAGAGAGCTGAGAAGTCAGCAGCAGCGGCAGCAGCGTATGCTGAGTTGACATCTGGCGGGTTGGAGCGGGCATCTGGGCGAACCAAGCCCTGCAAATTGTGTGACGAGTTGGCCTGGGGAAGGTTGAGGATGGGAAAGGAACGGGGGAAGGGAAGGGGTTGATGGATTGGCAGGGAGGAATGGGAATCGGATACGGATGGCAGGGATGGGCCGAATGAAGGGACAGGCAGAATTGAGGGGATGGGCAGAATGCAATGATGCCTGAGAGCAACAAGAAAGGGACTTCAAGGATGATAGCTGCAGTTTTCTATGACTCGTAGCATGCTTATGCAGGCAGGCAGAGAGGGGTTGAGTTGAGCGGCTTACAAGCATGCGGGAGGAGGAAGGGACCCGTCTGGGCATGATGTTGAGCCCCACTTTGGCTGCCACCCGGATGCTGCAGGATGTGGTAGTGTGTGGTGACCATTGGTGGTATGTGGTGATAGGTGGTGATAAAGTGCAAAAAATGCAGATGGAGCATGGAAATTCATCAGCTTTGAAGGTCTAGGGAATATCCAAGAAAACGAGGGCATGAAAGAGCAAGAGAGGGCATGGAAAGCAAGAGAGAGATTAGAGTGGGGTGGAGAGCATGAGCGGGCAACAGGAATATGAAGTTGCAGTGCAGTAGCAGAGTGTATGAGTGAGTGAGCGGATGAATGAGTGAGTGAGTGAGTGAGTGAGTGAGTGCAAGCGAGTGCATCGAGCGCATGCGTAAGTGCTGGCAAGAGCGAGTGAGGGCAAGAGTGAGTGAGTGCAAGCGTGAGTGAGGGCAAGAGTCATTGAGGGCAAGAGTGAGTGAGTGCAAGAGTGAGTGAGTGCAAGCGTGAGTGAGTGCAAGAGTGAGTGAGTGCAAGCGTGAGTGAGTGCAAGCGTGAGTGAGTGCAAGCGTGAGTGAGTGCAAGCGTGAGTGAGTGCAAGCGTGAGTGAGTGCAAGCGTGAGTGAGTGCAAGCATTGAGTGAGTGCAAGCGTGAGTGAGTGCAAGCGTGAGTGAGTGGAAGCGTGAGTGAGTGCAAGCGTGAGTGAGTGCAAGCGTGAGTGAGTGCAAGCGTGAGTGAGGGCAAGAGTGAGTGAGGGCAAGAGTGAGTGAGTGCAAGAGTGAGTGAGTGCAAGCGTGAGTGAGTGCAAGAGTGAGTGAGTGCAAGCGTGAGTGAGTGCAAGCGTGAGTGAGTGCAAGCGTGAGTGAGTGCAAGCGTGAGTGAGTGCAAGCGTGAGTGAGTGCAAGCGTGAGTGAGTGCAAGCGTGAGTGAGTGCAAGCGTGAGTGAGTGCAAGCGTGAGTGAGTGCAAGCGTGAGTGAGTGCAAGCGTGAGTGAGTGCAAGCGTGAGTGAGTGGAAGCGTGAGTGAGTGCAAGCGTGAGTGAGTGCAAGCATGAGTGAGTGCAAGCGTGAGTGAGTGCAAGCGTGAGTGAGTGCAAGCGTGAGTGAGTGCAAGCGTGAGTGAGTGCAAGCGTGAGTGAGTGCAAGCGTGAGTGAGTGCAAGCGTGAGTGAGTGCAAGCGTGAGTGAGGGCAAGCGTGAGTGAGTGAGCAAGCAGGCATACCGTCGGTGAACATCAATGTACTCATCCGTCTCATCCACTATCTCCTCCTGTGGGACCACCAAGGGGAGAAGCAAGGATAGGTGATGCGCAGGGGAGAATGCAACAGAAGGAGCAGGAGGGATGAGAGGAAAGGCGTCGGTGCACATCAATGTATTCATCCGTCTCATCCACTATCTCCTCCTGTGGGACCACCAAGGGGAGAAGCAAGGATAGGTGTTGCGCAGGGGAGAATGCAACAGAAGGAGCAGGAGGGATGAGAGGAAAGGCGTCGGTGCACATCAATGTACTCATCCGTCTCATCCACTATCTCCTCCTGTGGGACCACCAAGGGGAGAAGCAAGGATAGGTGATGCGCAGGGGAGAATGCAACAGAAGGAGCAGGAGGGATGAGAGGAAAGGCGTCGGTGCACATCAATGTACTCATCCGTCTCATCCACTATCTCCTCCTGTGGGACCACCAAGGGGAGAAGCAAGGATGGAGAAGCGAGGATAGACGTTGCACAGGGGAAGGCGAGAGTGAAGGTGACAGGTAAGGGACTGGTAACACTCCAACAACACCCAGGAAAAAGGTGCGGCGGGCAAAGATAGGGAATTTGTTGGGACTTGGAGTTGTGCCACCGGGTCAAGGGGAATGGGATGCAAACGTAGGATAGAAGGGGGTTGGTTTTCTGAGAGACCAACGCACCTGCAGCAGCTCCTCTACCACGTCTTCCAGCGTGAAAACACCACCTCCTCCGTCTCATGACCGCACACGACCGCACACGGCTGCACACGAGTACAGTTGTTTTTTTACGCACCCATGGTTTTGAGAATCCCACGCACCTGCAGCAGCTCCTCTATTACATCTTCCAGGGTGATAATCCCCACCACCTCCTCCGTCTCATGACCGCACACGACTGCACAGGACTGCACACGATCGCAAACCACCGCACACTACTGCAGCTGGTCTTTTACGCACCTGCAGCAGCTCCTCCATTACATCTTCCAGTGTGATGATCCCCACCACCTCCTCCGTTTCATGACCGTACACGACCGCACATGACTGCACACGACCGCACAAGACCACAGTTGGTCTTTTACGCACCTGCAGCAGCTCCTCAATAACGTCCTCCAGTGTGATAATCCCCACCACCTCCTCCGTCTCATCCCTCCTCTCCCACCTCCACCCCCCTCCTGCTCCTTCCCGCTCCTGCTCCCTCCGCTGCCCCTCCGCCCTTCCACTCGCCCCATGGCCCTCCCTCCTGCCCGCCCTCGCCTTCCTCTCCTTGGTTGAATACACCACGTCTATACTCTCCTCCTCCCCTGCTCCCCCCGCTGCTGCTCCGCCCCCTGTTCCCCATCCTGCTCCGCCCCCTGCTCCCCACACTGCTCCCCCTCCTGCTGCTCCCACTGCTCCCCCTCCTGCTGCTCCCACTGCTCCCCCTCCTGCTGCTCCCACTGCTGCCCCTCCTGCCGCCCCTCCTGCTCCCCCTGCTGCATGTGCGCCAGATGAAGACCCGACAGGCATGCCTGCACGGGGCATGCCAGGGTGCTCCTGCCACTGCACACGCTTTGGGGCATGTGGCTCTGTGTGTAGCTGACCCAACCCTGCCTCTGCCACGGCAGGCGCGTGCGCATGCTCGAATCCAGCACTGGCAGCAGCAGCAGCGAAGGCAGCAGCAGCGGAAGACCCTCCGGTCGCCAGAGCAGCTGTCTCTGCCGCCAGCAGCACCGGCGGGGGCGTTCTGGGCCGCTCAAACCGATAATGCTGCTGCTGCTGATGGTGCTGCTGGTAGTCATGCGGATGCTGATGGTAATGACCAGGGGGAGGAGTTAGGGAGCGTTGCAAAGGCGAATCCCCAGTGGAAGCTCCTCGGAACACAGTGCCCTGTGCCTGCCCCTGAGGCGGAGGCGTCCTGGGCTCCTGCTGCTGATTGCTCTGACTCCGCCCATACCCATACCCACTCCCACTCCCATATTCATACCCAACCCCATAGCCATAACCATGTTCATGCAGGTCTTCTGAGTTGCGGCGGCTGTCGCCCCCCTGGCTGTGCGTCTCACAGTAGGTGGGGTCGTTGAAGAGCACGTGGTGGGACTGAGACGACTCGGATGTGCTCGTGGGCACGGTTATCGTCAGCACATCTGCCTGCCCTCCAACACCACCCGCTTGCACCCCCCCCATGCCACTGCCGCCGGCAGCAGCAGCACCAGCAGCGGCAGCGGCGGCGGCGGCAGCAGCAGCGAGGGAGGCGTGGGTGGGAGGAAGCGGGGTTTTCTTCTTGACGACCACTGCCATGTGCGAGCTGCCCTTTTGGAACTCGTTCAGCACACTGTACAGGGGCAAACTCGCTGCCATCCTGGAAATGCAAAAAGGAGGAGGGAGGGGGAGCTCAGTTTTTTGATTTTTTTGTTGTTGTTGTTGTTTTTTTTTTTTTGGTGGGGGTCCTCTTGAAAGGCGAAAGGCATCTGAAAATAGTCGCCTACCTGGGGACGCGGCGGATGGAGATGGAGGAGACGGGGGTCTCGTCCTCGGGGCGCACGGTGAGCAGGGTCTTGGTGAGCAGCACGCCGATGATGTTGCTGGGATGGCCCCGATACACTGGCACCCTGCTGTGGCCGCGCGCTAGAATGCGCCCCATCGTGTCCCTGCCAGGCACACACCACCAGAAGGAAGGGGCATGCAAGGTTGTGGTGAGTAGCAGGGTCTTGGTGAGCAGCACGCCGATGATGTTGCTGGGATGGCCCCGATACACCGGCACCCTGCTGTGGCCCCTCGCCAAGATGCGCCCCATCGTGTCCCTGCCACGCACACACCACCAGAAGGAAGGGGCACGCAAGGTTTTTGAGTCACGGCGGGTGAAAGGGCCTGGCAAGACATGTCAGGAGTCGGCTGTGCCTCTCCAGCAGGAGGGTCTTGGTGAGCAGCACGCCAATGACGTTGCTGGGATGGCCCCGGTACACCGGCACCCGGCTGTGCCCCCTCGCTAGAATGCGCCCCATCGTGTCCCTGGCAGGCAGGAAGAGGGGGAGAATGGAGAAGACGGAGGGACATAGGAAGACCGGAAAGGCATTTCTATTCATGTGACAAGTTGAGTGGGCCATCCTGACCCTTTCCGCCAAGATGCGTGACACAGTGCTCCTGCCACAAACCCCATAGAGCCCACACATACCAGTCGAGGCGTGAGTTGACGCTGAGCGAGAAGGTTGACTCTATGGGGGTCATTGCCTCCTCTGCCGTCTATAGTCACATGCAGCAGCAGTCACATTGCACAAGCAGAAACGGAAGCAGGGGAAACGATAAGACAAACAGGGCAAGCACGGCAAGGACAAGCCTATGAAAGAGGAGTAACTTCGAGAGTCCCTTGAAACACAGAAGCTGCAAAGGATAGAAACCATGGTAAGGAGGGAACGTTTAATGGTACATAAGCTTTCTTATTACTAAAATGAGTTTTTTCAGGAGTTTGGTTTTTTTCAGTAAAATATGAAAGGAAGCATGGTAAGGAGGAGAGCAGAAGACTGCCTGGGAGGATAGGCTTCTGAGTGTAAGACTGTCGGGTCAAGGGCTGGGATTCACCTTCTGTGTGAGATCAAGGGCGCCGCTGATGATAGTGGTCTCACTGCGAGTCAGCTCCCCTCCCATGCCCGCCTGGTGCCGTGGGGTATGGGGCGGGATTCGCCATGGGAAGTGGGGGATTCGCCATGAGGCAAGGGAATTCCGCCATCGGAAGTGGGGGATTCGTCATGAGGCAAGGGAATTCCGCCATCGGAAGTGGGGGATTCGCCATGAGGCAAGGGAATTCCGCCATCGGAAGTGGGGGATTCGCCATGAGGCAAGGGAATTCCGCCATCGGAAGTGGGGGATTCGCCATGGGTTATGCGGGGATTGGATGGGGCGTGGGGACTCGACATGGGGAATGGAGATTCGTGATGGGGTGTGTGGTGTGGTAGTGAGGCGATATGGGGAACGAGGGCAGCAGCAGCAATGGATGTGCATTGCATGGGATAGGAGAGAAGAAGAAGATGCATGACAGGGATGGGATGTGCAGAGCATTACGGATGGCAGGCAAGAAGGACCCCACCGCACCTCAGCGCCGTGGATGCTAACAAGCGCCTTGACCTGCTACCACCCCACCCCACCCCACCCCACGTGTGCCCCTGTTGGCCCACCTCAGCGCCGTGAATGCTGACGAGCGCCTTGAGCTGCTGGCGCCTGAAGAGCGGGTCGTCGTGCCCCAGCAGATTGTCCAGCACCTGGGGGGGTAGCATTCGACATGGGGATGAGGGTATGGGGTGGGCGTATATGTATGGGTGGGTGGGTGGGTGGGTGAGTGTGTTGGATATGGCACGGTTGATAGTCCTTCACCTGAGGATACGGACGTGGGGGCGAAAGGTGTGGTGGGCCATGGGGGACAAGAGGTGGTGTGCGGCATGGGGTATGGGAAATCAATCTACTTCAGCACCTCAAGCAGTGGGAGAACACCAAGGTGAAGGTTCGTAGCAAAGGAGTGGAGTGGAACAGGAAGCTTCTGAGCAAGGGCGCGAGTGAAGCGAGAGAGAGGGGAGGCAGAGGTACCTTGGCGATGGGGAAGGCGATGGGCCAGCAGAGCAGCATGAGGCAGCGCACGAGGGGAATGAGATTGGCGCCCACTGCCAGCCCGTACCTCGAGCACACCGCTTGCGGAATCACCTGGAACGGAGGATAGGTATAGGGTGGCAAGAGGATGAATAAACTCGCATGGAGGGAGACTGTGTTTTGGCAGGGTGAAAACAGACGGCCTGAACATTGTGTGTCGGAAGACGTGCTTTGCCAGCATTGTGCCCTCAACCTTGGATGGACAAGTGCACTACGAGCTCATCTCCCTTGCTGCGCGCACCTCTCCTCCCCATGCTGCGCTCACCCTTCCTCCCCCTGCTGCGCTCACCTCACCGAAGAGCAGAACGAAGGAGACGGAGAGAGCAATGGCGACAGCTGGAGGGACCAGGCGATCCAGAAACACCGGCAGGGCCTGCCATGGTGGGATGGTGCGTGTGATGATGATGGGATGATGCGAGGAGCAACAGACATGCAGCAACGAGTGAATCTCCCGAAGTCTACAGAATTATACCAAGAAGAACACAGATGCACTGGAGAAAAGGAGCACTAAAAAGGGGACTCTGGGTGAATGAATCGCCTCTGGGTGACACGTGGCACTGGCAGTGCCGCACTGCCTTCCTGACCACAGCATCACCGCGTGGGTGAGGAAGCGAAACTTGTGGCATGTGCTTCACTCTTCCCTCCATGGCGACCGCGGAGCGCAGGGTCACCACCAGCATCTCCTGCTGTCTTTCCAACGCCTTTTGAAGCTTACCTCCATCGCGACGGCGTTGCAAAGGAGAAGGGTCACCAGCAGCTCGTGCTGTTTCTCCACTACGGGGATGATGGCGGCGGCCTGCCGCTGCTCGTCCGCCGTGCCGCTCTGCACGAGCACCTCCAAGTCCACGGGGCTCAGCGACATGAGGCCGAGTGTCAGCCCGGACATGAGGCCGGCGAACACGACGAGAAACGCGGAGAGTCCCGCGAAGAACCACCATTCCGCCTCGCTGATTGGCGGCTCGGAGAGAGTTAAGAGCCCGAGCAGGGGTTGGAAAGCCATGGCAGGCACGGCGGCTGATGGTAACTGCTCGGAAGGTGATTTCGGAAAGACACCCGATGGAATTGGGCTCGCTCGAACGCTCAGTATTATGACGAACAATCAAAGGAACGACACATGGTTACAGGAAGAGGGTATGAGCTTAGCAAGGTGGCCTAAAATGTGCTTTGCTAAAATGACGGAGCGACGACGGGAAGTCGAGGGGCGAGCGGCCTCGGGAATTCAGGCCAAGGCGGAGAAGGCGGAAGAATTTGGAGCAACAGACAGAACGGAGGTGTGCCGGAGGGAATGTCAGCCTGGCAGCGAGCAGAAGAGATTCCAGAAGGAGATACGCAAATAACTTCTGTTGACCTCACTAAAGAACGATTCAATTGAGGGAAACGCAAGTTTATGGTGGTACCAGCAGCTACACTTGTTCAGTACTGTAATACGGAGCTACGGACATGGTAACATGGCACAAATTCGCGTTTTCGCGAGACCCCTCAAGCACGACGAGCTCCGTGCTGCTGCGCGTATCAGTGGTTGATGGATGTGGGTGAAGCCACGTGGGATTCCTCAATGTCTGTTCCTTCAGGGCCTTCGATTGGCTGGAAAACAGAATTTCCGGTCAAAAGCAGGCCAATTCCGTCTGGCCGAATTTCGTGCACTTGCAGTTCGTCTCCGTCTGCTTCTTACTTATATCCATTTGCTGCTCATGCTGGTCAGGTTCTATCCATGGCTACCACTCATTCCTAAACCAGGCCCCAATTACACTGCGTGCCTTCGTTTCTGGACTTGTAATTATCATAGTTAGAATAGTAATATCATAACTAACCGTTAACGGTCTTCCATGTCCATACCATCCCACTGTTCTTAAAACTCGCTCTGCGTCGCTGTTCCGCCTGATTCCTACCCGGCCGGATTCCGAGATTGAATTGATCGTCACACATTTCTGCGCACTATAAAACTAAGTAGTTGATTTCAGATACTTTTTTTTTTCTCGAGACTTCCGCGATGCGGGTCGACGTCATCATCGCCGCTTCTCTCTCAGCCGCTCTCACCTTCTTCCTCTCCCGTCGCCTCGCTCCGTCCAAACCTGACTCAAGAACATCAGAATCCGTCAACGCCTCCGTCGACGATGACGGAATCGAGAAAACGACGCCAGCCGAACCCATCGCCTCCTTCTCGTCACCCAATCCCGTCGCCGTAAAATCTCTGCCACGTGTACGGTCGGAGATGGAGGTGGAGGACGAGCAGGACTATCAGTTCCTGACGGTCGCGGCGGAGGAGGCGGAGGCGGGTGCGCTGGAGAAGGACGGCGGGCCGTTCGGCGCGGTGATCGTGCGCAACGGGGAGATCGTGGCGCGCGCGCACAACGAGGTGCTCAAGCACAAGGACCCCACGTGCCACGCCGAAATCATCGCCATCCAGAAGGTAAGAGAAGGTGCGCAGCCCGCTGAGCGCTTTCGACCCTTGTGCTTGCGTGGTGGTGACTCTGATTCGACGTGAAAGGCACAACGAGGTGCTGAAACACAAGGACCCCACGTGCCACGCCGAATTCATCGCCATCCAGAAGGTCAGCTGGCTGTGTTTGAGAATCCTGAGAAACAATCTCAAGCTTGCACAGTCTCTACCATCCATCCGTCTTGCATTGCCCCCTGCTTAGCTGTCTTTCTCCCTCTTCACAACCGCCCTCCACCGCTCCAAACGCCCTCCCGTCCACCCTTACCGCTCGACCAATGACGTGCAGGCGTGCAAGGCGCTGGGGAAGATAGAGCTATCGGACTGTGTCATCTACTCCTCGTGCGAGCCCTGCCCCATGTCCTTCGCCGCCATGTACCTCGCCCGCCTCCCGGTGAGCCATGCCCCCCATCCCCCTTATGCCTCCCGGTCAGTGACCCTCTTGTGCCGCATGCCGCCCTCCTCTCCTCCCCATGAGCTCCGTCCCTCCTGCTCCGCACCGCATGCCATGCCCGCCCTGCCCCATGTCCTTGGCCGCCATCTACCTCGCCGCCTCCGGGTGAGCCATGCATGCCCCCCCCCTGCCCGTCGTGCCACATGCCCTCTATGCGCCATAGCCGGCCTGCCCCATGTCCTTTGCCGCCATTCACACTTGGGGTACGACCTTCTTTCTCCTCCCTTGTTCCCCCTTCCCCACCACCAGCGGCTGATGTACGGCGCACAGGCGGAGGCGGCAAAACTTGGGATACGACCCTCTTCTTCCTTTGTTTGTCTCCCTTCTTCCCCCTCCCCCTTCCCACCAGCGGCTGGTGTACGGCGCACAGGCGGAGGCGGCACACGACTTGGGGTACGATCCATCACACGTGGCGGACGCCATCTATGATATTTTCACCTCCAGCCATGTCCCTGTCCCTTCTTTCCCCCTCCCCCACCAGCGCTTGGTGTACGGAGCACAGGCGGAGGCGGCACACGACTTGGGGTACTATGACCCATCGCATGTGGCGGATGCCATACGAGGCACGGCCACATTTCAGAAGAGCTGCTGTAGTGTAAAGCGCAGCTCTCAATCACGCACTCTCCCCCTTTACCCCCCCTTCCTCACACCCCCCCACACATTAACAGAGGCTGGTGTATGGGGCACAGGCGGAGGCGGCACACGACTTGGGGTACGACCCGTCGCACGTGGCGGACGCCATCCGAGGCACGGCCACGTTTCAGAAGAGCAGCTGCCGTGTCAAGCGCATCGTTCACCCCGAGGTGGCCCGCGTGTTCTGGAAGCACCGCAGCACCGTGCAGATCTACTAGGAAGGTTCCTTCTTCAGTGCGGACCTGCTAAGAAGCTTCCAGTATTTCTACAGTGTAGATATACTAGGCAGAAGTTCGTCATTTACAGTTTTAGTGCCTATCTGCTAAGCTAGCAGCATTGCACGGGTCTACCAGCCAGGAGCTAAGAGAAGGTAATGTGAGTTCAGTGACAAAACAGCAATAAGCTACCGTAAGTATCAACATCAGCATGATGATAAATTATCTACACAATTAATGGACAACACGGTAATCCACTTATGTTTGAAACAACTGATTGAGAGCAAATCTACAGTATCCAGTAAATCATAAAACAAACATCCGCTCTCCAGCTTAATACAGCGAACAGCTCAAATCCTTCTTCAACAGAATACGTGGCCTTCCTTTCCCTCTCGCTAGACTACTCTCAGCAGTTCATTCTTGGCAATCCGCATCACAAACGGCTCTCCATCCGGCCCGATATCAGCGAGAGCAGTATCCCCCTCCTCAAACGCCCCTCCCACCACCGACACGCTCCCGCCCGCCACCAGCCCTCCGCCGCTATTGGCCGACAGCACCGCCTCGCTGATCGGGTCCTCCACCAATCGCGTGACGGCGCGGCGCAGCGGCCGTGCGCCGTAGGATCGGTCGTAACCCTCGTCGCATATGCGCTGAATGAGCGCCTCTGAGACCTCCAGACGGATGTTTTTCTCTGATAGACGGATGGACGTCTCCTTTATCATCATGTCCACAATCGCTCGCACCTGGGGGCGGAAAGGAAATGGGAATTGGGAAAAGGGGAAACGGAGAGATTTTAGTATAGCTCTGCAAGCGACGCCGGCAAGGGGTCGGAGGGGGGCTGAGGAAGGAAGTAGGACGGGGGGGACAGTGTGCTGTGTAGCAGCGGTAGTAGCCCTCGTCGCAGATGAGCCTCGCCTCGGAGAATTCCAGGCGGATGTTGCGCTCCGAGAGACGCTCTGGGGCACAAGTGACTCATCAATTCATCCATCGCCAGAGCCTTCAGCCCCGCATACCTTTTCCTCCCCTTCCCCCACTTCTGCCTTGTCCGCCCCGGGGAGCAAAAACTCCACCCTGTTCCCTCCTCTCCCTACACAACCCCCTTCGTCTCACCTGGTCCTTCTCCAGGGATTGGAACACGACGACTTCATCAGCGGAAGTGGCTCTTCAACTCATCTCCATCACCAACGCATTGAGCCCCCCGTACCTTGCCCCCTCGAGATCCAGACATCATCCATGAGTCGACTAAAAAATCGCCTCATCCATCACCAACGCATTGAGCCCCGTGTACCTTCCCCCCTGCCCCACGTGTGCCTCCACCGCCCTGGGGAGCAACAAGCCCACCCCCTCCTGTTCCCTCCCCCCCCCACAAACCTATCCCCCCCCAACGCACCTGGTCCTTCTCCAGGGATCGGAACACCACGACTTCATCGATGCGGTTTAGCAGCTCGGGGCGGAAGTGGCTCTTCAGTTCGTCCATCACCAACGACTTGAGCCCCGCGTACCGCCCCCCGTCCGCCTCGTCCGCCCCCGGCAGCAGAAAGCCCACCCTGTTGCCGCCGCCGCGCGCTATGGCCTGCGAGCCGACGTTGCTGGTCATGATGATGAGCGTGTTCTTGAACGACACGTGCCGGCCCTGGGAATCCGTGAGCCGGCCGTCTTCAAAGATCTGGAACACGTGATTAGAGACACCAGTGTGCGACAGGAATAGACAGGAGGTAAAAAATGAGCTATCATAAGAGTGAAAGCAACAAAAACAATCTTAAAAATCAGGCACAGCGAGACACAGCTGCAGCATGAGGATGAAAACGTCTGGGTGGGTTCTCTCGATCTTCTCAATCCGTCCAGCAGCAGCGGAGTTTTGAAGCACACCAAAACGTGAACCCAGTAGAGACATTACTAGTGTGATCTAAAAGGACCTTGTGCAACACAACACACCTGCAGCAGGGGATTAAAAACGTCAGGGTGGGCCTTCACGATCTCGTCCAGCAGCAGCAACGAGAACAGCAACGGCTACATCTGAGTCACTTTTGATGATTCTCACAAATCACAACGAGACTAACCTGCAGCAGCAGATTGAAGACGTCAGGGTGCGCCTTCTCAATCTCGTCCAGCAGCAGCAGCGAGAACGGGCGGCGTCGCACGGCCTCTGTGAGCTTGCCGCCCTCCCCGAACCCCACGTAGCCCGGAGGCGCGCCGATGAGCTTGCTGACAGCATGGCGCTCCATGTACTCGCTCATGTCTAGGCGGATCATGGCTTCCTCCTGGTGGAGAGGGGTTGGGAGAGATGGGAGAGTGGCAGCTGGTTAACCTCTCTGTCCACCCAGCTTGCTGACAGCGTGGCGCTCCATGTACTCGCTCATGTCCAGCCGGATCATGGCTTCCTCCTGGTGTTGATGGTGGGTGATGGTGAAATGAGGGAGGGGAGAATAAGAGAGGAGGCAGGTGAGTCCATCTGTCCACCCAGCTTGCGCATGGCGCTCCATGTACTCACTCATCTCATGTCCAGCCGGATCATGGCTTCCTCCTGTTGATGATGGGTGATGATGGAAGGAGGGACAGGAGGGTAGATGAGTCCATGTGTGTGTTTACCCGGCTTGCTGACAGCATGGCGCTCCATGTACTCGCTCATGTCCAGCCGGATCATGGCGTCCTTATGGTGTTGATGGTGGGGGTGGTGTGGGGTGGTGGTGGTCTCAGCCACCGACGGACAGACTCACCGAGCCAAAGTAATGCTGCGCCAGAGCCTTGCTGAGCTCCGTCTTGCCCACGCCAGTGGGCCCGCAGAACAGCATGGCCGCTGTGGGCCTCTTCGGGTCCTTGAGCCCCACTCTGGCTCTCCTGACAGCCCGCGCGATGGCGCTGACGGCCTCATGCTGCCCCACCACTCGCGAGTGCAGCGCGGGCTCGAGGGTAGTGAGGTGGCGCTGCTCGTCTGCTGTGAGCTGCTGCAGGGGGATGCCCGTCCACTGAGACGCCACTGCCGCTATGTCTTCAGGACCTATGGACAGACTGCAAGCAAGGAATAAAGGTACGAAGGGAGGCATGGAGGAAGGGCAGTGGGAGCGCTCGAGTTGCGTGGAAAAGGGCCAGGTGGTTCAAGAGCTTGTGGTGGAGCCGCGAGTGCAGCGCTGGCTCGAGAGCAGTGAGGTGGCGCTGCTCGTCTGCTGTGAGCTGCTGTAGGGGGATGCCCGTCCACTGGGATGCCACTGCCGCTATGTCCTCTGGCCCGATGGACAGACTGGGGTGGGATTAAGAAGGGAGACATGGGGGAAGCAGAGAGGGGGTTGTTGGAGTCAAGTAATTAAGACACCATAAGTCATTGATCGATTCCCGAGGGGTGGCGCTGCTCGTCCGCTGTGAGCTGCTGCAGGGGGATGCCCGTCCACTGGGACGCCACTGCTGCTGGACCAATGGACAGGCTGGGGAGCAGAGGGAGCAGGAGGGGAGGGGGAGAGGGCGACGGAGGGCAAAAGGTGGCGAAGTGGGGCCGAGATCTATGAATGATCCTGAATCATGTGCTCAAGGTACGAAGTGCTTTTGTTTTCCAGTGTGGTGTGTGAATCCTTGCAAACCGCCACCTTTAACCCATGTTGCTCTAGAGGGGAAAAACGGGGGGGTGTGGCGGAGGAACTGGTACCTACACATGGGGGGGACGCGCATGACTATTAAGTCGACTCAAATAGTCACCTGCTTACACATGGACGAGACGCGCATGGCAGGAGCAACCTTTGAGAAGTCTCGAAAGTTTTGGATCGCTTGTGAACCTGGGTGACCTCTAACCACACTATCCCCTAAGTGGTTCATGAAGGACCTGCCACCCACACTATCCCCGCACAGGGATACCCTGAAATACCCTGACATGTACCAACCCCCGTACCTGTCACCATACCTGTCACCATATCTTTCGCCTGTACCTGTCGCCATCGCCAGCAGGAGACCAGGAAGGGGTGGCAGCGGGCGAAGAGGGCGCAGAGGGCTTGGGGTCCTCTGAGAGAAACGCTGATGGCCCCCCTGCTGACCCCAGGGGCGACTGCACCTCGTCCACCTGTAGAGCACACACAGAGCAAGAAAGAAGGACCGCTTGAGAGAATGTTGAGACGTGTTACAACTTGTCCCTGACGCGTACAGATGCCATGTTCCGCCCTCCACGTCTCAGAACCCCCCTGCTGCTGACCCCAGGGGCGACCGCACCCCCCTCTCATCGACTAAAAAAGCATCACCGCATTCAGGAGATCACTCTTCTGAAAACCCTACGCAGCATGCTCGTGTCCCCCTCTCCCTGCTCCTTGTGCCACTCACACAACGAAACCCCACATCCCCCACACCTGCCTCTCACCGCATTGATAGCCGCCTGAGCTGCTCTGATCGCCCGCCACTACTCATCCGAACCCAATATGCATGCAGCACGCTCGTCTCCCTCTCCCGGCCCCTCATGCCACTCACAGCATGAACCTACTAGTAAACCTTCTTACCGCATTGATGGCCGCCTGAGCCGCTCTGATCGCGCGCCAGTACTCCTCCGGGCCGCGGTGCAGCACGCTCGTCTCCCTTTGCCGGTTCCGCCTGAACCCGTCAATCACGGCGCGGCTCGCGGCCTCGTCGACCAGGTCGATCGCCTTGTCCGGCAGGAAGCGGTCCGGGATGTAGCGCGCCGACAGCTGCACGGCCGCGATGAGCGCGTCGTCGCTGACGTGGCACTTGTGGTGGCGCTCGTAGAGGCGGCGCAGCCCGTGCAGGATGAGCAGCGCGTCGTCCTGCGACGGCTCTGCGACGTCGACCGGCTGGAAGCGCCGGGCCAGCGCTTTGTCCTTCTCGACATGCTTCCTATATTCGCCGATCGTGGTGGCTCCCATGCACTGGACGGGAGAAGCGAGGGGGAGAAACGTGGGGGAGAAACGTGGGGGAGAAACGTGGGGGAGAAACGTGGGGGAGAAACGTGGGGGAGAAACGTGGGGGAGAAACGTGGGGGAGAAACGTGGGGGAGAAACGGGGGCAACACAAGGGTTTGGGGGGGAAGAGAAGAGGGGGTCAGGCCCAGCATTCGTAGAGGCGGCGCAGCCCGTGCAGGATGAGCAGCGCGTCGTCCTGCGACGGCTCTGCGACATCGACTGGCTGGAAGCGACGGGCCAATGCCTTGTCCTTCTCCACGTGCTTGCGGTACTCGCCGATCGTGGTGGCGCCCATGCACTGGTGCGCGGGGAGGGGGAACGGGTGACAGTGGGCGGAGGGGGAGAGGGAGGGGGATGGGAAAACGGGGTTAGCGCCTTATCCCTCTCCACGTGCTTGCGATACTCGCCTATGGTCTTCGCGCCCATGCACTGATGGGCAAGTGGCGAGGACGGGAGAACAGAAGGGGGTGGGGAAAAGGGAGGGTGAGCAAGAACGGGGGGAGGGGGGAGAGAAGGGAGCAAAGTCGGGGGGCACACAGGATTACCAACAGGCATCCAAAACGGTAAGCATTCAACAGGATTACTCACACCTTCAGTTACAATCCCACAAACCCACACACACCTACCTGCAGCTGCCCCCGCGCGAGCGCGGGCTTGAGCAGGTTCGCGATGTCCAGCCCGCCGCCGCCCCCTCCCCCCGCGCCGCGGCCGCGCGACACGGCGCCGGACCCGACAACGGTGTGGATCTCGTCTATAAAGAGGATGACGTCGCCCGCGCTAGTGGCCTCCGAGACGAGCCCCGTGACGCGCGCCTCGAGCTCGCCGCGCTCCTTCGCGCCCGCGATCAGCCGCCCCATGTCCAGCGCCATCACGCGCTTGCCCTGCCACGCGGAATATAGAAGAATAAATTCGAAGACAGTTAAAGTTAAATCCCATCGGGATAGACAAGCGGAATGGACACAAGAATAATCGAAACAGTCCGTGCCTGCAGGAAGAGCGTTACCCGCGAAGAGCACCGTACCTGCAGGAAGACCCGTACCTGCAGGAAGACCCGTACCTGCAATCCGAACCACGCCAACCAGTGCCCCCCGTACCTGCAGGAAGACCGGGACGTCGTTATCCGCAATCCGCAGCGCGAGCCCCTCGGCGATGGCGGTCTTGCCGACGCCCGGCTCGCCGAGCAGCAGCGGGTTGTTCTTGGTGCGGCGCGCGAGGATCTGCACGACGCGCGACACCTCGTGGTCGCGGCCAATCACCGGATCGATGTCGCCCGTCATCGCCATGACCGTTAGGTCCATGCAGAAATCCTCGAGCGCGCTCTTCTCTGCGAGACACGCAAAGGGAAAGAGGGGTGAGCAAGCGAACATGTGAACAGGGGCGGGAGAAAAGGCGAGTCAACAGCAGTCAATGGCATGGCCGTCACAATCCATGCAGAGATCCTAAAGGCCGCTGATTTCGAGCTCCCGCCGAGTCGGCATGGTGTGCTTCAAGTCACCGCAAACTACGCCTCAGATTCGGCATCCTGCCTCCATGCTAAATCCGCAACCTTCATCCGCTCGGCCTCGACAAAAAAAAAAAAGAGGTTGGATACTTGTTTACCGAACTAACACTTTGTGCTACCACGCTCGCGTATTCCCCCTTTGAGCATGCCCTCTTTAGCTTCTCCGCTTGAATTTCCCGTCTTACCCTTCTTGGAGCCCTTCTTGCTGTAGCTGGAGGACGACGAGAGCGCGGCGGCCCTGGCGGGGTCGGGCGCGGACTTGGCGGAGGCGGCGGAGGGCTTGGCGGAGAGCGAGATGGAGTCGGTGGAGCGCCCCTCCGTCGCCAGCTCGCCCTTGAGCCGCGCCACCGCCTCCGCGCGCACGCGCTCCTTGGGCACGCCCAGCCTGCGGAACGGACAGGGAATGCCGAACCGACAGGGCACGCAGATATAAGCTCCCGCTCGACATGATTAACAAGCGCTGATGTGCTAGCTTTAACTTCGTTGCCTAAAGTAATCATTCGAGATTCGCATTCGCAATGAAAAACAGGCGGCTGCGCGTTTAGATGAATCTTAGAATCACATCTCCCATCCCCGTTACAAGCGTACCTCTCAAGAAGCTTCCCGGCGGCGTCGAACTCGACGCTCAGCACCGCCATCACCAGATGCTCCGGCGCGATGAAATTGTGCCGAAGTTTCCGCGACTCTTCCAGAGCCGCCTCAAACACCCGCTTGCTCCCCGCGGAGAACGGCACCTCCGACGCGGGCTTCTCCGACCCCTCGGACGGCGAAAGCGTGCCGTCGCGAATCATTTCGCGAACGGCTTCGCGAGCGCCGTCGATGGTTACACCGGTGTTAAGGTAACCTTTCACGCTGGCGGTGCCGCTGCTGGCGCGGTCTTCCATGATGAGCCCCAGGAGGAGATGCTCTGTCGCCACCTCCTTGCGCCCGAGCGCCTTCGCCTCGCGCTGACCCAGCATCACGGATTTAATCGCGCGCTCCGTGAACCGGTCGAAGACGGCGGATACCGTGGCGCGATGCGCGGAGGATGACGAGGCGGGAGCGAGCTGACGGGTGATGCTGGCGGTGAACGCGTCGGCGTGAGATACGGTGGAGGTTGACGGGAAAGTTGACGTCTGACGGAATCCGTCGTAGTCGGAGGCCAGGGAATGGGTGGCACGCGTTGCCGTGGTGCGAGTTTGGCCGGAGAGTTGATGAATAGTTCGGGAGGAGAGTTCCAGGCGGCACGGTGGAGCGGTGCTGCTCGCAACGGACAGTGCGAAGGCCGCCATAGTTAACGAATATTCACAAGAGGTAATGAAAAGCAATGACAGCGGGTGTATCTACACGCGAAAACGCAAGTATATACTAATATGTACAAAATACACGGGTGTGAACCGGCCGGACAGGAAGCCCTGTCAGCCGCCTAAGAACTGGCAACACAAGCCGAAATGGATTCAGAGAAATGGAGATTCAATGCACGAATGACCGCATTCAGTGGAATATGTACCTATGGTGGTCTGCTGATGGTGGTTGTTGGGCAACGGTGAATGACGGGGAAGAAACACGGCGAGGCGGGGCGAGGTGGGTGACGGACTGGGTTCGGGGGAAAAAAGGGGATGCGGGGAATGGGGGGAGGGGAACGCGGGGAATGGGGGGAGTTTGGGGGACTTTGGCTGGGCGTTTTGCGTGAGGGGGAAGGCAAGCGAACCGACAGGCTGGGCTAGGTACGGAGAACGGGGGAAGCGGGGAATGGATGAAACTCGAAAGCCGCGCGGAGGAGACGCGGGGTAGAACGGTTTGGGAAGGGGTGGAGAGAGGTTTATTGTGTGGGTGGGGTGAAAACAGAGCGAAGTTATTGTGCACGCTGCACTGCACTGCATCCAACGGTTTGAGGGCCAGAAGAACTTGGGTAAGTAGCTTTCGCAGGGGTACTACTAGCGACCCTGCGCTTTCAAGGAGACTACAGTGCTATATGCGGGCACTTTCTGCCACTCCGCCACTCCGACAGGAACATTATGGCAACATCACAGAACTCGGTCCCACATTCAAACACGTGTCACAAATTCGTAAGCCACTGGAAAAAAAAATCCCTTTACCTGACCGAAAAAAACTAAAACCCCATCGGGAAGGCATGCGTCTCGGGGAGGCATCAACCCTTAAAAAAAAGTGGGTTCCCGTGTTTAGGGTTGATCCCTCCCGAAACTGAGTCCAGGTTCCCTATGGGTTTTATTTTTTTTGCCGTGCGTTTTCTAACTTTCCGAATTTGTGACACGTGGGTGAATGTGGGACCGAGTTCTGTGTTGTTGCCATAATTTTCCTGTCGGAGTGGCGGAGGGGCGGCAAGTGCCCGCAAGTAGCACTGTAGTCCCCTTGAAAGCGCAGGGTCGCTAGTAGTACCCCTGCGAAAGCTACTTACCCGAAGAACTTGCAGCGGAAACACACAGGCCTGACTTCCTGGGGAATGGTGGAAGGCTGGGGAAAAGCTTCGGCGGGAATCGGTATCACTGGCAGAAGTAGAAGCGGTTCGAAGTGTACGAGATTCTGATTGGCTGGAAACTTGGTGGAATGACGCGGAAAGGTTCCGATACTGCACCAATGTTCCAGCCAATCAGCTTGACCTTCTTTGTGACACCAGACCGTGAAGTGCAGTGAAAGATTTCATGATGCGGTTATATTGTGGCGAAGAACTATGTTCTAACACTTCCTCGATCCCTGGTATTCAAACTGAGTTCATATTTCTTCCTGCCCGGAAAGACTTCGCTATGCCGCGTGGCAATGATTCTGGAATGAACGAACAACCAATGAGTACATACCCCGCCACAGACCAAAATTACTTGAACCAACCACAAGCGTTCTCATACGAGCTTCATGTTTTGATTGGTCGAATTTCACGTGTGAGAGATCCACGTGAGGAGGAGGCACGGTGTACTCCCCAGGCTGCAGAACAGCTGTACCCCATACCGACCATTTCGCTCACACATATTGCAAGTTCATTCGACAAAAACATTATCATATTATTCACAAAATAGCAATACGAAAACACCGAAGTATTGATGTCGCATTGTTTTGGGCGCGGTACACCTCTTCAGCAACTAGTAACGAGTTCCCAAATCGTGTATCCTCCATGGCTTCCGAATCCCAGGCTGATCGTGTGTAGAAGCTACTATCAGGTGACCCTCGCTGCTGTCAGGTAGTCGTGTCTTGCCTAAATCTTTTCAGGAAACTACATTCCTCTCCTCTTCTTCCTCTTCTTCATCCGCTTACAGTTTTTTTTTAGCAGACTAACCCAGTACTAGGATTTGTTTCCCAATCCATAATGGCGACGTCGTCCACGTGGCGCGTCGTCATTAGCCTGCCCAAGGCCTTCCCGCGTACGATTACCCACAAATCCTGCTGTCTCCGTGAGCAATGGCAGCTGCTACTGTCGCAGCGGACCGCCATCGCGAATACAGCTCAATTTCCCGCCGCTCGGTCGCAATGTCACACGCAACGGTCCGAATTTCAGGCTCGCGCCGCTCTCTGTCCCGCGTCTAGCTCGTCGCCCTACGATCCCTCGCAGCAGCAGCAGCCGTCGTTCCAACCGCGCGGCATTGCCTGGGGGACCAGCGTCGCGCGATTGACGGACCACGTCAGGTGCGATTCCAACTCAAACTGGTCTCTTTTGTGGCAGCACCTTATCCTCGCCTTTCCCGATCTCCCCTGCCCTCCCCACCGCTCCCCACTCCTCCCCACACCTCCCCCCCCCAATCAACACCACCCCCCTCTTCCGTTCCAGTCACAACCAGTGTCTGGTCTCCTGTAACGAGATGACTTTTAAGTCGACTCAAAATTGTCTGGTCGCCTGTAACCCACCCATTAACACCACCCCCCACAACCAGTGTCTGGTCGCCTGTAACGCGTCCCCCAGCAGCGACTTTTGAGGCGCCTCAAGAAACACATCCTCCCCCCACCGTCAACACCACCCCCCTCTTCTGTTCCAGTCACAGCCAGGGTCCTCAAAAGAGTCTGGTCGCCTGTAACGCGTCCCCCAGCAGCGAGTACTCCACCAGCAGCGGCAGCGGCTCGGACACGGACGATGACGTCAGCAGGGGCGGCAAGGCGCGGCTGCCAGCGCGGATGGCGGTGAAGGCGGAGTTTCTGCAGGCGAGGGAGGCGAAGGCGGCTGTGGAGGATGATGGGCCAATTCCTCGCATCACTGAGGGTGAGCTTGTGTGTGGGGTAATTGAGTGGGGACAGTTAGACCTGTCAGTTAGAGCTGTCAGTGAGATTGGTCAGTGAGAGGGGTCACTGTGTGTGGTCCTGAGGCGAGGGTGGGAGTGAAGGCGGGTCTTGTGCTGTACAGGCGAGGGAGGCAGGGACGACCGTGAATGTCGATGGGCCGCCCATCGCACGCATCACTGAGGGTGAGGGTGAGGCCGTGGGGATGAGGTTGGTGTAAGGGGTCAGAGGGTGTGAGGTCACTTGAGGGGTGGGGGCATTGACCGATCGGCAATGGGTGAAAGCCATGGTCCACCACCTTCCACTTATTCCACCATTCCCCACCCCACCAAACCAACCCGCTTCCCACCCCACCCTTCCATCTCCCACCCCTCCCACCCCTGCTACCCAGACAAGGTGACGCTCAGCTTTGCACGCAGCGGAGGGCCCGGAGGGCAGAATGTCAATAAATGTGAGCTCTAATCCTGTAACGAGTACACGAAACCCGTGCTTCCTCGTTGAACCTTGCTCCACGCCCGCTCCCATACTCGCATGCCCCCTAATTGCAAGCCATGCGCCCCGCTTGACCTGCATGTCTCCTCTGAGTATTCCCCACCACACCGCGCTCTCTCCACTTCCCATCGCCATGAGCACCATTCTCCCTCTCCCGCTCTCCCTAGCCGTCATGTTCTTTACCACATGCTTCATTCCTTACTCTACCCTCACTCTCTCCTCACTCTCTCCTCACTCCCTCATCTCTCTCTCCTCCCTCTAACCTCTCTCTACCCTCCACCTCACACCCCTTTCACGCCAGTGAACACAAAGGTGGACATGCGATTTAATGTGCTCGATGCTGATTGGCTGCCTGAACGGATAAGATGGAAGATTCTGGAGCAGGTGAGTCCTGCTCCTGTTTCGACATGCATGTGCTGCCGCAATGGCAGGAGAAGAATCGGGTCAATAGCGATGGGGAGATTGTGGTATCATCCACACGCACTCGAACCCAGAAGTATGTCACCTGCCCATAGGTGTGCGTGCATTTTTTTTGGCGCATCAAAGTAAACCACACGCACACAAACCCAGAAGTATCTCACCTGCCCATAGCCATGTGTGTAATCAGATGTTTGCATTCATATGGCTATAGGCGCACTGCCCAGGTGGTCTCACCATCCATGCCTTGCTGGTATTCCAACCGGCTGCTCTAGTGTCACCCACCTTCATCACATGCCAACCGTTCCTGCTGCTCACTCCTCTCTCTCCCGCTCTTCCGAATCCTTCCTGCCAGGGGCAACATTGAAGATGCGCTTTCAAAGCTTCAGGTATGAAGTGAATTTACAGTGGTTTCAGGTGACCTGCAGCAGTCTGCAAGGCAGTCTATCATTCAATTGAGCCCTCGAGAGCTATCATCACCATCACCATCACCATCACCATCACCATCACGATTCACCATCACCATCACCATCACCATCACCATCACCATGATCATCACCTTTTCTGCTGCTTCCATTGCCATTGCCACTACCGTTGCCATGCTTGGTCGCTCTGTCCACGTGTTGCAGAAAATCATCGATGCAGCGGGCTACGTCCCCCCACCACCATCAGAGGAGAAAAAGGCCCGCATCAAGAAGCTGTGAGTGTCCCTTGTGGCACATGCTTTAAGCGTTTTTGTGCTTAAACAAAATGCTTCAATATTGTGCTGATTCACATATTCTGTTGACCTGGCTGCATCTCTTTCATTCCGGCTGGGTGCATGCAGAGCCAAGGCAGAGAATGAGAGGCGGCTGCAGGACAAGAAGCTCAAGTCCAGCAAGAAGTCAGACAGACGCAACAAGGGCAGCTGGGATTGAGGCACAGCTGAATCCTGAGGCACAGCAAGTGGCATGGAAAACTCTTTATTCAGTGTCACAGCTAGATTAGCCATGCCTGGATGGTTTGGTTCTTCATTCCTTTGTTCAAGTGGGCCCAGGAAGATAAAGAAAACCAAATTTCTGTCAAAAAACTTTAATATGTACAACAAAACTAGATAAGTGACATCAAAACTGAAGGCCAGTCAGTAGCATGCATGCAGGCATGCACCCCTCAGCCTCACTAAAGGTCCTCTAGCAATCCTCAATAATGATCCTTGATCCTTGATGAGGCAGTAACGCCAACCATACTCTCATCTGGTAGGGTAACCGACGAGGCAGAAGCACTCCGCACCTGTGCCAGCCCCACAGCTCATGGGTCATGCATCAATCCATACAGTAGCAGCTTCGCAGCTTGAGCTGACCAGCTACCATTCCCCCCGATACAGGAACGAGACAGAATGAAGGAGACTTGTGTGGAATGATCAACCCTTGAGAGGGGTAGTCCCTTTTCTTGTCTCATTGGGCAGCAAAGCGTGAGGCTGTTTCAATCTGCTCCAGAATCCACTGAGGAACCTCTGCACCACTCAAGCTGCCACTGCTGCTCATGCTGCTCAGGCTGCTGCGCCGGCTTCCGTTGCTGCCCCACTCATCTTCGCTATCAGAATCGGACTCGCTAGCATATACGGCGCTCTCGGACAAGATCTCAACTGAAGCGCCTGCAGGAGCAGCAGTCAGATCCCGGAACCGCCACGCGGCGTTCTGCCATAGGCTCACGCCGTGAACGACGCTTCTAAGAAGCCGCACGAACGAGGAAACCGCGACTCGTTCCGACGCCAGCTGCAGCCGCTTTGCCTCCTTCTCGACCTTCGCCGCCATCTGAACGAAAGCCGCTTCGAGGGTGTCCAGAAGCAATGAACCGGTTTCAGCGTCGAATAGGAGCGATGCAGGTAGCGACGCGGATTCGTGCAGCCGGCGCCGCCGCTCCAGCAGCGAGTCGCCTTTTAGAGCGGAAAACGCGGAGCCGACGCAGAGGAGCGGGAGGAGGAGCGACTCGAGCGTGCTGTCAGACACGGGAGGGAGGTTGCGCGACGCGGCGGCGAGAAACGCGGCGGGAGTTGCGGGGGAGGTGGCTGCACGATACAAGAGATAGTCGTCTAGGGAGGGGCTGTCGCCGGCTGCTGCTTGCCGCTTAACCATCTGGTGAAGCGGCAACCCGACGAGCGCGTACTGCTGCAGACTGCTAAAATACCGCGCAAGCCAGAACTTGCCGGACCCCGCAGCTTCCTTCCGAAGTGCGGATAGAGAGTCCGCAAATACCTTCTTCTTCAGAGGAAACTTTGCGTCGAGTCTCTTCGGAAACGCCGAACAATTGTCACCAGCCGTCGCTTGCTGTTCGGCGCCAGCAGCCGGGGAGGTCGCGGAGATTTCCTTTTCCTGAACGCGAAACGCGGACGCCAAGGCGGTAAACTCGTCGGAAGTGCCGTGGCGCTTCATCCAGTCGTCCCAGAGCAGCAGCGGGTGCAGCTGTCGGGAGATTAAGTTGCACGCGGCGCCGGACGGCGGCTGCACGGCGAGCATGGCGAGGAGGGACGGAGCCCAACCTGCGTCCGCGCGTCGGAGGGTCTGCAGCTTTGCCACGTCAGCAGAACCAGCTGCGCCGTGAGACCAGAAGCTGTGGTAGGAAGGAACTGGCAGCTCCCAGGGTTGCCACGTGGCGATAGAATCAACCATTTGAGATTTCCAAGCGGCGGAAAGGATACGCGCAGACGGGACTCGGGAGATCCTGTCGGCGAGGTCGGGGTTAGAGAGGACTCGTGTGGGAGAAGGCGGCCTGGAGAAGAGAGCTTTTCGCGTCGCCAATAACACAGGCGCGTCAAACTCGGAATCGAGACGAGAAGTGGTGGCAACGTCGACCTGATGCGCGAGAGCGGCCATCCTTCAACAGAAAAATAAACGAGTCACGGTCTAAGACTTAGAGGCCGAAGAATCTGGCACACGAGGAGCCGTGCCGAGTCCTTGAAACCGCGAGTTAATCCTCCACTGGTAAGCTGGAAGCAAAAAATGGTCAGTTCTGGTGAAGCAGTCGCACAAATCTGCCGAGATGATATACGGAGGGAAAGACGCTCAGGGATGGAACTCGAGCAGCGTCAGAGGATGTGTGAATCTGTGGCTCAGTTCGAATCTGTCAACTCGGCCAGCGCAGCAAGGAGAACAACCGCAGCCTAGAGATAAGGATGAGCTGTTTGGCAGAAGCGGCAACTCCCAATAAGAATGGCTCTTGGCGCAACCTCAACTCAACCCGAGAACGGAAAATGAAAAATGAGCTCCCAAGGTCAGGGTTTTACGCGAGGGGAGTGACGGGCAGCCGTGCAGTGGAGTGCGGTGCAAAGGTTGTGGGTCAAGATGAGGAGCTATTGGGCAGCTGGGAGTGGTTTCGATTGGATGAATGTGGTATTCGCAGGTTGGCTCTTTATAGGGATTGGTCCGGCGTGGTAGGTTCAGGAGAGCTGGTCGCGGGAACGGATGCGATTCACCTGGCTGTGGTTTGCTGGAAACATACGGTTGTGAAAGTGCGCTGCTCGTAGGGTGAAGTGACGAAGTTCTTTTAACACAGTTGGTGCGCTCCGATTGGTGGGCTACCAAAAGCGCTGTCTGTGCGACGACGGCGAATTGGTTGGTTGGTGCCACCTTTGAAGTTTTGGCACTGTAACGAAACTGAAACCAAGAGATATTTTTGCGTGTCGCCAATCAGCACGAGCAAAGCTTCGTCTTGTCTCGCACGTCTCAAGATGGTCGAACAACCCGCTCAGTGCCTGGGCTGGGAGGTTCGATTCAGTGAATTGGGTACGAGGCTGAAGCACTGTGACTCCGTTCACTGCATCAAGAGAAGGACCGACATGCAGAGCACCTGGACACTAACAGTGAGTATTGAGCAGTGTACACCCAGTGAAATTTAAAAACAAAACAAAACGTAAAATCTCCAAAACGCCGTAGAGCAGCATATTTCTCCTTGTTGATACGCGGCGGTGAACCTTTTAAAACAGCATATTTCTCCTTATTTTACATCCATCATGCCGAACAAATATGCACAATGCAAGCAGACACGGGCGTGTTCGTACGGCCTCTTATCAGGCGAACCTCTTGTCAGATTTGCGTCCGACCGCACTAATCACATAATCACATTCGGTTGCACTAAAATGCATTGAACAACAGAGCCTTGACAAGGGGTGTCTGATAAGTGGCGTAGCAACACGCCGTTAGACGAACCAGGTTCTAGATTCTCCCTTGCGCATGGACGAACGTGCTGCTCCTGAACGACACTCCATTCAGCTCCTCCACCACTCCTTTCAGCTCCACCATGTCTGCTGCCTTAAACCTAGCACTAGCCTGCAACCAATCAGCAACCTGTGTCCGCTCCCCATCCACTCGCACATCACCATCTCGCATTCCATCCTTGTGCAATGTCCCCTCAGACAGCTGCTTCCACCATGCAGCCCATCCAGCGATGCCCTGAGCTGATACACTTGGGGACTCCATGGAATCATTGCCAGCGCTATTTCCAACCGCGGCGCTCTTAAGCTGCTTTTCAGCATCCCTGGCTTCAACACTGTCACCTTGTTTGGAAGATTTGAGGCTGGAATGGGACTGGAATGCAGGAGGAGGTCCAGCATCAGTAGCTAATGAGTTTGTGGTCATTTGACAGATGAAAAAAGAACTGTCTTGCAAAACTTGGGAGAGGAACGATGAGGTGGGTCCGGAGCCAAGCACCTGAAGGAAATCAAGGAGGCAAAACGCAAAATGCAAAAACAAGAACGAACAATAAACAAACAGCACGGCAAAGCCACTGTTGGGAAACTGAGGGTGGAAAGCCGTGGCTAGGTCAAGGAAGACAACTAGTGGAAGGAGCGGAGTCAACAAACTGTGAACACTCACCACAAGGACTTGCGATGGCTTCAAATTCCACTTCTTGCAGGTTTCAACAAACTCATCCACTCTGCACACAATAGGTTGCGAAAGAACCAGCAGAGGTGACTGAGACGTTTTGTTCTTCTTTTCTCCAATACGCACACTCGTGGGGATGAACTACACTCGCAATCTTAACTGGGAGTGTGAGACGTTGCCCACCTCAGCAACAATACCAAGGAAAAAATGTAAAAAGGGAGCCTAGATTTTCCAAGTTTTCCGAATCCCTTACCTCTTTCTGGCAGCCTCCAGTGAGTCAATGCCTGACACTGCTGCTGCCGGTGATAATTCCGGTTTGTCTCCTAACGTGCGTTCTGACTCTGCAGCAGCTGATTTAGATGCATCTGAGGGTGAACGAGACTCAGATGGAGGGGCTGAAGAAGTCGGAGTCGAGTGAGACGGGGCAGCGGAGGCAGAGGGAGCAGAGGGAGCAGCAACAGTGGCAGTGGCGGCTGCAGTGGAATCAATGTGAGAGTCAAAGGCGAAATTGCCAAGCTGGTCGTTGAGAAGGAGCACGTCCAGGCGCGGGTGGGTGGTTAACAGTGCTTGCTTCAGAGTGCGGGACTGCAGCCATGGGGGCACAATGGCAGGGAGGGAAGCAACACACACACGCATGGAGAACTTGCTGCTCTGAAAACGTCTCAGTGCAGCAGTTTTAGAGATACGGCAGCTGCCAACATCACCATAAACAGTTTCTTCCGATGTAATTTCTCAATGCCCCTCCTGCAGCAGCTACCTCACCAAACGCGCCACCGCTGTTCAACAAACAGCCAAAACCTCACCTGGAAATGCCGGAGCAGTCTTGCAGACCCAGGAGCCACCACCCATCCTCTACCCCCCTCAGCCACGCCAATTCCAGGCAACGCCCCTTCTCCCGTCCCCCACACAACCCCCCCATCTCCTCCTCCCTTCACCGCTCTCAATCTCGCCGCACGAGCAGCGGCAGCAGCAGTGCTGGCAGCAGCGGCAGCGGAGGCAACGGCAGCAGCCGCCCGGCCGAACCCGCCGCCCTGCTGCTCCCTGCGGGCCTCAGCCAGCATCTTCTTCTCCTGCAGCCGTGCAGCATACTTGGCACGCACGCCCCCGCCTGTTCCCCCAGCCAACAGCTCCTCCAGACGCTGATCTGAGCTGCTTCCCCTGCCACTCATTCTGGAGTTCGTGCCTCCTCTGAACTGCAGAGGAGCGCCGCCCAGAGGAGCGGGAGTTGCTGGCTGGGGGCTGCTTGAGCTGCTACTGCTGCTGCTGCTGCTGCTGCTGCTGCTGCTGCTGCTGCTGCTGCTGCTGCTGCTGCTGCTGCTGCTGCTAATGCTGTTGCTGATGCTGTTGATGCTGATGCTGGAGCTGGTGCTGCCACTGGTGCTGCCACTGGTGCTGCGCTTTAGGCTGGTTCGAGCTGAAGTGGGGAGCCCCATGCTCTCTGCCATCTCGTCCAATGAGATCCCCTGAGTGACAGCTGACGAGGATGGCATGCCTGCTGCTGTTGACCGACCACCTGCAGCACGTGTAGCTGAATGAGCACCATCACCGCTAGTGGCAGTCGCACTGCCGTCATTCACTCCAGGAATGTGCCGTCGTCTCCTGGGGCTGCTCAGTAGAAATTTCTCCCAATCGCGTGCTGCCAACTCAGCTCGTTCGAGCTTCTCTTGTTCAAAGTCAGACAACCCTTGCCTCGCACCTTCGCCTGATGCCGCATTTCCTCCGTTGGACGCGGCGTTTCCCACGCGCCTTTGCACACCTGCTGAAATGTCTCTCCTTTTTCCACTCCCAAGGTCTTGGTCGAACACCATCAAAGCGGACATGTCGTAGATAATCCCGCGAATCAAGAACCGGTTCATGCCCACACCCCTCCCGTCCCACCTGCCTTGAGAGTCAACAGACCCTCGACTGCCACCAACCGACGCAACACCCGATGGCCTCTGCCCGTACAGCTCGTCCACATGCCAGCTGGCGCGCCGCCATTGGTTCCTGATTTCCTCGAACAGACTGGGGACGTGGGTTCGGCGACGGGAACGCCGACGGGCATTGGAGCTGGAGCTGGATGAATGAGGGGGAGGTTCTGGCAGAATGAAATCCGCTAACAGATTGACGAAGGTGTGGTGAAGGCCTCTTAACGAAATTGCGCTCCAATCGACTTCAAACGAGGATGGATCGATGTGAGACGCAACCGACGATGATATCGATTTCTGGTCGCGTGGGCTTGACAACGGCCGTCTGTTTCGCAGACTACCATGTCCGTCAGTAGACTGACCCCCGAACCCCTCTGATTCTTGGTAGCTGTTTCGTGAAGCAACGTCAGCAGCGCTAATGGGAGCTGTGAGGAAATGGCGTTGCGAAGGCGTCAGTGCGATCAGAGCAGTTGACGCAGAGGGATCGACGCCTCTCGGCAAGCAGCAATCGGGGCGCAGAGCTCGCCTCGCGTGCCTGATAGAGGCGATTCGCGACAGACCTTGAATGGACATGAGCAAATGTTCCAACTACGCGCAGACAGAGGTATTGATAGCTGGAAGTCTAGTTGTGCTTCAAATCGGGGACGGAATTTGTGAAAAAACGACCACTCGTGAAGAGCACGATACTGGTAGAAACTTTGGGTTGTAAACTGTTCGTTGCGATGCAATGCGATAACTGCTCCAGAAGTCGCGGTTGAAGAGAAAGTATTATGGAGTGAAGTAATATTTCAGAAGCACAGATTTATATTTTTGTAATGATGAGTTCATACCTATCCTGATTTGAGCTATTATTTGAATGTTCAAGAGTCAGCTACATAGCTTCTCCAAAGCTGCATTCTCATCACCTCCGCACTTCTCCAAAGCCGACCTAGCAGACGCCTCTGTAAAGCCCATCTCCACCACCTTCTTCACCTGCAAGAACCATTGCAGAATAGGTTAAGCTCCCTTTAATTATTCAGATAACATGCAGCATGATGCAGAACAGGCCTCCCTGCCTCCGCCATAATGTGAGCCAGCTAAAAAAGCAACTGAGACAGACCTTGTCATCTAGAGCCAAGGATGGTCTCTTGGCAAACGCCTCTGTCCAGTACCGTGCAGTGTTGACAAACGTCTGATAGTCCTTCAAATACTGCAGAAGGAAAAAATAAAGTTTTCTGTCAGATACCATCCGATCCAAGCCGCACCTACCAGATGCTAGTAACACCATCCCCCCAGTTACCCGTCCCGTCCCACTGCCTCTTCCCCTTCCGAAAAATTAACACTACTACCTGTTGAGCGACGATTGCATCTTGAGGGTCATCAGGTTCAGGTGATGATAATAGCGCTTGGAGTGACAATAGAGCCGTTTTGAGCGTCAAGGCAGGAGTCCACTGGTCTTTCAGAATATCCAGACAGATCGCACCGTTTTGGCTACTGACATTAGGGTGCCTGCCAAGCGAAAGCTCTGTCATGCCTTCAGTTTCCACTACTGCTTGAAGAGATTATGACGAGAATCTTTGATTTTGGTACGCACCAGACCTTGGTAATGAAAGTCATCTTTGGAGGCTTGAACGGATACGAGTCTGAACAGAGCCAAGAGGTTAAGTCAAACTTCCGGGTATGTGAGTGCGACGAAATAGGTCTCGCGAATCGTTGTACGAGCGGAGTACACCGTACCTGTGAGTACTATATCCACCAGAAACGTTCCTCCTTCGTAAGGCGTTCCGACAGGCCCCATTATAGTCCCGCTCATTCGAGCGAGATCATCTCCTGGAACATCCACAGTCACTCCCGACTCAGGATCCCGTCGAATTTCGACGAGCTCTCGTTGCACCCTGGTTCGATCTAACATCTTGGCCTAAGCGAGTTCAAAGAGGTTATGAGACGAAAATACTATACCCCTCGTTGCTATTGAGGTACCTATGAGGAGGTAATGCGATGCGAGCTCTGCCCAATCCAAGAATGGTCGATGAGCGGAATTCCAGCTAGATGAGCAAACAAAAGTTCTGAAGCTTTTGACCGCGCCCGAACACACCAACTCTCTCGTCTGACAACCGCCACTGGAGTTTCACCAGAAGCACCTGCGTCATGTGCCAAGAGAACGAGTGGGCTGTTTGTGCTCGTTTCAAGTCCGGACCGAACCAGTATTACGCTATGACCAAGCTAAAACAAGGTGCCACTTTAAAGATATTCACGACAAAGAAAATGCTTTAGACCACGTCATTATTGCTCCTACCCCTTTTCATTTGTTTTGCAGTATAAAAGCCAGTACATGATGCTGTAGGCAAGGCAGGATATAAACCATGTTATTAATGAGAACCAAAAAGCGAAACCAGAACATACAACCTCGGCACTCATATTTTCAGTCCATGTTCTGGGCTCGGTTTTTGGCTGATATGATCCTCTAGCCAACTCCCCATGCTAAATCACTGTTGTTCAAACTACCATGGCAAGCCCCGAACCACACCAAAGGTTTTGCAAGGCTTGTGTTGGCACTTGGAACAACCTACACATAAAAAGAAAACAAGCAAGAAAAAAAATCTGTAGCACCAGCTACAGTGACCGGGGGAGGCAGAGAACGGGTCCAGGTGCAGAGTGGTTGTGCCAGCCCTCATATGTGGTTACCACCATGGATGGGTCCTGCTTGGAGCGCTCCACCTGCTTGCGCACCCTGCAGTCCCCACTCGTGCACCGATAGTAGCTCCTGCAATACAGGCACATGGCAGGAACAACCACGAGCACACCGCAATGAGTTGGACAAACTTAATTCAGCGACAATGCCAGGGCGGAAGGACAGAGAGACACGACGAGGGAAGGAGGAGGGCGGGCGAGAGGGCAAAGGTTGGTGGAAGATGTGGAAGGACAGGGGAGGGGAGGCTGTACCTGGGGAAGGTGTTACCGCCGACCAGCTTGTGTCCGTATTTGCGCCAGTGGTAACCATCATCCACCACGTCAGCGTCACTGCGCACCGCTACCACCACCCTCGGCTCCTCCACCACCTGCTGTGCACACACCATGCGCACACCTGACGGACTGCCTGGTGCAGCACCTGAAGAAACACCTGAAGAAACACCTGCTGCACTGCCTGAGTTGGTAGGTGTCCTTTGAGAAGGGCTAGTTGGCCCTGAAGTGGCGCGGCTGGTGGGAAGGAAAGGGAGGGGAAGGGAAGAGAAGCATTGAGAGGTCAACGAAAAGTGAAATATTTGAGAACGCAAACAAGTACGCCGCAGAATTGGTGGAAGCAAGCAACTATGAGCAGAGGATCACGTACTGCTGCTTGACTGAAGTTGGCGCCTCATGCTTGCAGCACTTGGATGCATGGAGAGTGGGACTTGGAGGCGTGCTGCAAGGCGTGGATGCATCCAAGGCCCACTCTCCTCCTCCTCCACACGGTGACCCCTTCCTCTTATGCTCTGCCTTGCCATGGATCAACCCGCTGCTGCCTTGTGGACTTGCTGGGTGGCAGACAGGTGATGAACAGTGAGCAGCTGAACAGTGCGTTGGGTGTGGGCGTGGTTGCGGTGTATATAAAAGCGCATCCATGCCCACAGCCAATGCCCCATTCGTTACTGTCACACTGCTTGCAGCAACTTCTTCAATGAAGTCACATTCGTGTTTGTCCTCAGTTATTACCACCTTCTCAGCACCCTGACTGAGTTCCTGACACTCCCCAATCCATCCATACTCGTTATAATTGGCCTCAATATCACTCATCAGCAGCGATTCGATCATAGCAAGCGAGTAGCCGGGGCTGCTCAACTGCCCTTCGTTACAGTCACCAGCAGATACCCATTCACTTGTTTCATCAGAAACCGTCAGAGAGAACCCTCCCTCAGATAGACTTCTCTCAGATACACCTCCCCAGATCTTGTCGCTGCTGCTGGTGTGGTTGCTGCAATCGCAGTCGGTGGGAGCATCACCAAGGAAGGCATCGGAGAGGGGGAGATCAAAGAGTCCTTCAATCTCGCTGCTCATTCCAAACATTCCCCACGCCTGCTGCTGCTGCTCCTGCTCCCGTCCCTGCTCCTGCTCCTGCTCCATCTGCTGCTGCTGCTGCTGCCAACTTTCCGGATCCCCCCGCTGCTGCTGCTTTTGCTTCTCTTCCACCAGCATGATCTCCTCCTGTGCAGCAGCAGCAGCAGCAGCAGCAGCAGCAGCAGCAGCAGCAGCAGCAGCAGCAGCAGCAGCAGCAGCAGCAGCAGCAGCAGCAGCAGCAGCAGCAGCAGGAGCTTCATGGTTGTGCAAACCAACATACTTCCTTCCCAAAACCTTCCCATCCGCTGCCCGGTCCTCGGTTTTCCGCGCTGCGCAATCCGGCTGCCCACAACGGAAGTACAGCCTGGGCCGTGCACAGGCTCGGATGAGCTTCTGCCCGTACTTGCGCCATGTGAAGCCATCGTCCTCAGGGACCATCAGCACTCGTGTGGCCTTCATCCCAGCTGAGAGCACTTCCGTAGCGCCACACAGAGTGGCAGAGGCAGAGGCAGAGGCAGTGGCCAAGAGGAGGTTACAGCCGGCAGCAGGAACGGGAGCAGCAGGAACGGGAGCAGCAGGAACGGGAGCAGCAGGAACGGGAGCAGCAGGAACGGGAGCAGCAGGAACGGGAGCAGCAGGAACGGGAGCAGCAGGAACGGGAGCAGCAGCAGAAGCAGCAGCTAAAGAAGATACAGCAGGAGTGGATTTGACAGCAGCAAGTGCGGTGAGAAGGCTGAGGGCGGGTATCCTTAGGAGTGATGCTCGGTGGAGAGAGGAATGGGAGGAGGGAGAGACAGGCGAAGGCAGAGACGAGAGAGCGACAGGAGTATGAGTAGGGGATGCAGGGGGAGGAGGAAGACTAGCACCGTTCTTGCTCCCAGCGCCCTCTGCTGCTCCGCAGGGAGTCAGGGCAGGCGTGGGGATGAATGCACCAATAGAGTCTGAGTCCGAGTTCCCTTGCAAGAAGGCACGAGTCGTTACATGTGCAGAGGGAGCAGCAAGTGAGGCCTGGAAGAGGGCAGTGGCTCCAGAGATAGTGGCACGCAGGGGCGAAGCATCAGGGGCAGCAGCAGGAGTGAAAGCGACTGTTGTGACGCTGGCAGGAGTGACAGTACAGGGGGTAGCAGAGGCAGGAGAGAGGGTGAACCTCAGCAAGGCCTTGTTGCTCAGGCTGAGACCAACCGAGCTCTGTCTTTCGATACAGTCACATTGCGTTCTGGTCTTACAATCACCTGCCGTTCCCACGGAAGGTGACTTGATTGCAAGAATATGGTGACTGCTGTAGTCATTCCCTGCATCCGTCTCACTGCCCTGCTCCTCCTGTGACGCCCCCTTCAGTATAATCACACCGCCTTTAGGAGAATGTTCCCCACCGCTGCAGCTTGAGCTATAGCGCCTGCTGATTGGTCCACCCACACAGCCCACCGTCACATCCACATCTTCTGCAAGTTTCTTTAGCCGCGCCTGAGAGTTGAACCCGCCCCTCCGGGGTGAAATGAGCTGGCGTTATTGAAAGCCGCTGCACCTGTTGTGGGCTGCTCTTCGCACGGGGTGAGACACCTGACGATTGAGGCAAATTCGGCAACGAATTCTCTGCCGCCATGTCAGCAATTGACACTCGGTTCTGGTTGAGACGTAATCCGACCTCCGAATGTTAACCAATCAGATTGGAGTAACTGTTTCCGTCTGAAAGGACAGACGGACCGAAATCTAAAGTCTCTGAATTGAAGCTGATAAGTTGGCGGCAGAAACGGCGGTGACACGTCCAGTCGCGGTCTTCGCGCAACGAGCCAGATTCTTAGTCAGGAGCCAATCGCCGACCAGCGATGGTGTGAAATGGTCAGCGGCGGGGAAATCCATTGTCCGGATTTAAGGCCGGAACGCCAACCGTAGCAGGCGCTCCTTTAGGAATGAAACGATTCCGAGAAAGGGTCGAACACGGAACGGCGACAAGAAGGACTAGCAGGAATGTGCGAAAGAATGGATACTCAAAACGCCCCGCGGGAAAAAAGAGAAGACAACGGTTGAGGGAATGTTGTCCTACGCAGCGGCTCGCGCGCAGTCAGCGCCTTGATTTCATCTTTAAGGAGCTTGCTGCCATGCGATCCGGCCGGGAGTCCCACATCGGGCTACGCGTAGAATGGTTCTTTGAGATACCATATAACACCTCAAACGGGACTAGGTGCATAAAACCGTTCAGAAATGAAAAGGGTGAAGAAATGGTCGCATCTTGAAAGAGAGCCCGTAGAGAGAGAGAGACGCCATTTCTAGTGGAGAAGGCGATTCAGGCGGAGGGAATGCGAATCCGCGCCTCGACGTGGATCACCAGGTATTTCGGCTGACTCGACTCGACCGGCCCGTCCTGTGTGGGTGGGGGCCACTCCGGCGCGTCGCCCGGGAGCAGTGGCTGGAAGAATAGACACAGGTACAGCACGGTACATCCTGGTTCACTTCGGTACAGCCGTTTACGGAAACACAGCAGTGCATACGCGAGTGAGCGTGACCCAACAGATGGGCCTTCCAGAACAAACCTTCCCAGCGTCGCCTGTCTGAGGAGGAATGACTGACGTCAGTTGCGGCGCTGCGGGAAGGGCATTCGAAGCGCTAACGCTAGCCGCATTTTTCTCCGCCCACTCAAAGCGGCGGAGAAAGGAGGAGGAGGAGGAGCGGAGAGGGTCCTCTTATCCTGACTGGAGAGGAGGGAGCGCAGACATGTTTCAAGCTTCCAGTGGAAGCAAGCGGCGGGGAAAGGTGGGAAGAGGGCGCAGGAAAGAAGCCGCAGGGCACGCAGTTGCGCGCTCTGTTTCGTCTTTGCATGTCGCGACGCGATACATGACTGGATCGAGGAGGTAGGCAAGGCAACGAGGTGGCTGTCTTGCGCCAGGAGGAGCATCAAGGTGAGGAGTGAGGCAGAGGCGGAGAGAGAGGAGTGAGCTTGTTTTAGAAGCCTGTTAGTGCATGCCTGTCACATTTCATTCACCATTCACGAGGCAAGCACAGCAGATTTCTCCATGGAACGCTGACGCTGTGCTGTGCAGCACTGCACAGCAGTGGTCGATAGAACCGCCGCCAACCAGCAGCGCAGGGCCCAAGCAATCAACAGTGTTGGTCGGTGCGATGCGATGACGCTGGGAGGGGGAGGGTGGTCGTCGTGCTCTGCTGCTGGTAGGGAATTTCGCGAGACACTTCTGCTTTCCCAGGGTTGACGGCGAAACGCGAACCTGAGCGAAAGTTACCATCTCAAAGTTCACTTTAGCCATCATATTCAATTGTTGCAGCCATCATTTGTTGTGCATTTCCTGCTTCAACTGGCAGTAATAACTCTGAAAAAGGGCATGCTGGTTGAGATGATTTCAGATAGAGAACTGGGTAACTTGGATGGTCTTGAAAAGAATATGTTGCATTATAAAAATAAATCCCATTTAAGCTCTAAGTGGTTTCATTACACAATCATAAATGATTCCTCCCCACTCCTGTTCAACAAAAATTTTCAATCCACGGTTCTTATGATTAACCTGGAATCTCATGTGAATACTTTCTGTGTAGAACCGTTCAATGAAGTTGTGGATTAGAGTGCAGATGGAGACAGTTCTTAGCGGAACGTCTGATGGGTTTGAGGAGCATAGAGCGATACTTCAACCTCGAAATCTTCGCACATCGTAAGATCCTCGACGCGCCTCGAAAGATCCTCGACGCGCCTAGAAAGATCCTCGACGCGCCTCGTCAGATGCATGAGCTTCATCTGCGGTATGAGACCGCTTATCTATGAAGAGAAGACCTCTCGCGTGAAGTGTGTTGTCGACCCAACCTTCTAATATTCATGTCGTGACCCTTCAGGGGCTATCCATGTAGCATGAATGACCAAAGTACCCCGTTATACTGCTCCTTATCCACTCGCATTAGCATTACGAGTGCGCCTTAATCCGCATGTTCTCCCCTCATTCCGATACGCGCATCGCGTCGTTGTCTTGAATAAAAAGCTTTCCTTTCGTCTGGTCGTGCCAAGAGGAGTTTCGCTATTCTTGCTGATTCCTCGCCAATATAAACGGCGTCTTTTCACTTTCAGAAACCAGGTGGACGGGCTAACGCCATGATTCTTCATAAGGCCGTACCTCGTGGCTTTTCAGTCGAATGCGTTGTAAATAGAGTATGGTTCGGCAGTCGAGCGGCGCGGAAAGAAGGATCTAGGAACCTTCTGTTGACAGCACCTGCAGCAGTGATGCCTGAGACCAGCATGACGCTGCAACGGCACGCCCTGACGTGTCAGCCTGATCCGCAGCGTTCCAGCCAAAGATACTTGAGGAATGCACGCTCACACGCAAACGCTGAGATGATGACACGTGGCACATCACCAACATTTCCAGTCCACCACATGTTCCCCACGTGTGACCTAGTATCGAAGTGTGCTTATGGGAGCGGAAGAGCGATGGGGCAGTCTGAGGAGCGGAAGAGCAGCAGGAGGGGCGAGCGTCTTCGAGCATTTCATCACATGATGCCAACTGATGACGTCACGAACTCGCTGTTCCACGTCAGCAGCAACAGCCCTGACGTGTGGTGGTCCCTCCCTGACGGCATCTCCGAGAAACTGCCCTTGCCACCCGGCCGCTGGCAAAGAATTGAGGTGCGCGGGGAGGGTTGGGAGAGGGCAGGTGTAGGTGGGGAAAGAGGTGGGGGGAGAAGCGAGAGAGAGTACGTAGTGGAGTAGGATCTTTGCAGCGTTACAAAAAGGTCGGTCGTGGGGGATGGTGCAGAGTACCCATTGCAGCAGTACGAATGGTGCTCTGGGTACACTGACCTGGACTTAGGAGCCTCCTCACGCCCACCTTCTGTCAGCCACAGTTCCCGCTCACCATCCTCACCCTATCCCAATTGTTCCGTCATTTCTGCTCTTTTCCTTTTGGTGATCTCGCTCTCCCTCTCGCTCTCCCTCCTGCTCTCTAACTCGCAGTTCCCCTCTCTCTCTAGGTCTCGCTTTCCCACTCGCTCTTTCACTCAAACGGTCCTTTGCACTTAATAGAGAAGTGTACAGACTCGCCAACTTTCCAACTCTCGTCCGACTTCTCCCTCTCCTTCTCGTTGCCCCTCCCTCCCTTGCTGTCGCCCTCGGTGTTGCTGTTCTCCGTCCTGCCAGGAGCTATCACGTCGGATTGGGGTCCAACTATCCCCTGACCTGTTGCTGCGATGCCTGGTCAGTGCTGCTGCCATGCCTGGTCAGTGCTGCTGCGATGCCTGGTCAGTGCTGCTGCCATGCCTGCTCAGGCCAGCCATACCACTGCACGATTATGCTTGGAGCATAGGAGCTTAACTCTCTTTGCCCCGTTTTCACCATCCTTTATTTTTTTAACCCCTCTCCATCCCACAAGACCCAGGACATGTACCATTACGTGCCACCAACTCTTCTCCGTTTCCTTAGGTTCAATCTTCTCTCCGTTTCCTTAGGTTCAATCTTTTCTCCGTTTCCTTAGGTTCAATCTTTTCTCCGTTTCCTTAGGTTCAATCTTTTCTCCGTTTCCTTAGGTTCAATCTTTTCTCCGTTTCCTTAGGTTCAATCTTTTCTCCGTTTCCTTAGGTTCAATCTTTTCTCCGTTTCCTTAGGTTCAATCTTTTCTCCGTTTCCTTTAAGTTCAACTATCTCTTCTCCGTTTCCTTTAGCTTATTTCTTTTCCCCGTTTCCGTTTTCATTTCCTCCAGACCAAAGAGCTTATAAACTAATCCCCCTCTTGCTTCATCCCACTCTTCCCGTCCCTCTCCCCATCCCGCTCGCCTCTCCCCATCCCGCTCGCCTCTCCCCATCCCGCTTTTCTCATCCCTCTCCCTATTCTGCTCTTCCCTTCCCTCTCCCCATCCCGCCCTTCGGATCCGTCTCCCCATCCCACTCTTCCCATCCCCCTCCCCATCCCTCTCGCCTTTCCCCATCCCGCCAGACGCAGGACATGTACTACTACCTGCTCATGCCTGGAAATAGGAGCTCAGAACTAAACCGCCACTTTCCCCATCCTGCTCTTCTCGTTCCTTCTCCCATCGCACTCTTCCCCTCCCTTTCCCCATCCCGCCAGACCCAGGACATGTACTACTACCTGCTCATGCCTGGAGCCCAATGTACTCTCAATCAGCTGCAGCAGGACGGCAGCAGGGAGGACGGCAGCAGGGAGGACGGCAGCAGGAAAGATGAAAGCAAGAGGAGCACTGCATCTGGTCCTCCTAGATCCGACGAGCCCATTACGTACTTCACAGCCCACAGCCGGGTGAGGGGGAGTCAGGGCGGGATGAGGGAAGGGCGAATGGGGGGTTGATGGGTGGGCAAAAAAGGGGGTGCGGGATGGGAAGGGGGTTTTGGGGGAGGGTAAGGTGGGTTTGATGGGAGGGCAATAATGGAAATGGGGAAGTAGGGAAAGGGGAGGTTGGGGAGGGAATTGCATGATGCACGTTCCTTACCTGCCTTCTCGTCGTCGCTCTCCCTTTACCTACCTACCTCCTACCCTCACTCCCCCTCGTTCCCCCTCCTTATCCTAAACTTCTTGTTCCTATTTGTTTTCGGTTCCACTGTCCGCCAGTGCTTCTCGCAGCCTTCACATTCTCTTTCCCTATCTGCCTTCTGTCCGCCTTCTATCCGCCTCCCTCTGTTGCTCTCATCTTCCACACGTTTCTGTGCCCCTCGTCTCTCTCTTCTCGCTCCATGGCTGACTTCGCCACCTGTAATCACACACCTGAAGGAGATCGAGCACACAGTCGTGGTGTGACCGCGGCACAGGCAAGAAGCAGTGCAAGAAGCAGAGAAGCAGTGCAAGAAGCAGTGCAAGAAGCAGAGAAGCAGTGCAAGAAGCAGAGAAGCAGTGCAAGAAGCAAAGAAGCATGCAGCGAAAGAAGCAGTGCTGGCTCTACCAGTCTCCAACTCCATTCGACACAACTCCTCTCGACTGCCCCCACACCCCCCCCCCCACACCCCCCGCTCCCTCAATCTCATCTGTGCCGGCCGGTGCGCTCACAGGATCTACCACCACTATTTTCACCCATTTGTATGCGGGAATCACTTTCGGGGATTCTCAAAAGTGGTTTCAAACATGGCCGGCGCTCTCAAATGCTCTAGCACCACTATTTGCATTGCATCTATTTGTATGCTGGCCTAGCCACGTGAGTCCTGCCCGCCCGCCGGCACCACTACTCGCATGCCAATCCTCTCGTCCATTCCCCCCCCGCCCCTCAATCCCTGCAGCTGCGGTCACATCTGGAGGCGGTGGGGGACTCGGTGCTAGCGCTCACGTGTGTGCTGCACCTGGTGCGCCAGCAGCCACCCCTGTCCATGGTGTGTGCGTGTCTGTGTGCTTGCTGCGCCCCATCCTGTTCTTGGTGCCGCCATGTAGAATCTTCCAACTCATTTCCTCGCCTACCCCCTTCCGTCTCGTCTCCTCTCGTCTCACTTCAGACTTCTCACCTCTTGCTGTTTGGGGCGTTTAGATATACTTTATCTGCTGCTGGGATCCACTGCCTCTCCTAACTCACTCCCTTGCTCCCATCCCACTCCCCCCTCCCCACGCTATACTTACCAGGGTGATCTCACATCACGCAAGGACAAGCTTGTAAGTCCCTCCATCCACGCGCCTTTTTCCATCCACGCGCCTTTTTCCATGCCCCTCTCCTCTCCTCGATACCGTCTCTTCATTCCCCTCTTTTCAATACCCTCCGTTCACGCACCTTTTTCCGTGCCCCCCCTTCTGTTCCCTCTCTTTGTTTCCCTCTCTCTATTACCGTCTCTTCTCGTCCCATCTCTACTTTCATATTTGCGTGCACATCATTCCCAACCCCCTTGCCTTTCCCTGCCTCCTGCTTGCCTCCCTCCCTCCCCTCCCCCGACCTCCACTCCTCGTTTATGTCAATAAAATCTCCCGCTGCTACACTAGGTTTGCTTCTCAGCATTCTTAAAACCCCTTTCTGCTCGCCTCTCTCCCTCCCTTCCTCCCTCCCTCCCTCCCTCCCTCCCTCCCTCCCTCCCTCCCTCCCTCCCTCCACCCCCCTCCACACCCCGTCCTTGTTATCCTCACCATACCTCCTCCCCGCATTCCTCCCCCAGCCTATTCCACCTCTGCATCTCCATCTCTCTCAAACTCTCCACCCCTCTGCGCACTCCCTTAACTCATTATGCACGTTCCCAGATTGCTTGTTTGTTGGTCATCTGCACCCCCCGTCCATTCCCCTTTCCCCATCTTGTCCCCCTTCCCTTTCCTGTCCCCCCCACCCCACCCCCCCAACCCCCCGCTCTACTTCCCTTTCCGACCCCCTCTCCCCTCCTGCCCCTCACCCCCACCAGTGTTAAGATATCTTTAATGTGACTCACATATTGTCCTGCTCCCCTCCCCCACCCTTTTCCCCTCCCCCACCCTGTTCCCCTCCCCCACCCTGTTCCCCTCCCCCATTCTGTTCCCCTCCCCACCCTGTTCCCCCTCCCCCACCCTGTTCCTCCTCCCGCACCCTGTTCCCCTCCCTCCTTTCCCTGCTCCCCCACCCTGCCCCCGCCAGGTGAGCAACAGGAGTCTGGCGGGCATAGGAGCGGAGGTGCTAGGTCTACGGGGAGCCATGCTGAGCTTCTCAGACGCGCTGCTCATGCAGGGCAAGCGTGCTGTGTCTGTGGGGGGGGGTCAAGTGGAGGTATGTTTGGTGTGGGTCTGGGGGGTGGGGGTGGGGATGGGGGTGGGAGTGGGGGTGGGGGTGGGCGTGGGGGTGTGGGTGGGGGTGTGGGTGGGGGTGTGGGTGGGGTTGTGGGTGGGGTTGTGGGTGGGTGGGGTTGTGGGTGGGGGTGTGGGTGGGGTTGTGGGGGTGGGTGGGGGAAGGGGCATGGGAGGGGGAAGTCGGGCCTGCCAGCAGCCATGCTGAGCTTCTCAGATGCGCTGCTCATGCAGGGCAAGCGTGCTGTGTCTGTGGGGGGGGGTCAAGTGGAGGTATGTTTGGTGTGGGTGGGGTTGTGGGTGGGGTTGTGGGTGGGGTTGTGGGTGGGGTTGTGGGGGTGGGTGGGGGAAGGGGCATGGGAGGGGGAAATTGGGGCCTGCCGGGAGCCATGCTGAGCTTCTCAGGCGCGCTGCTCATGCAGGGCAAGCGCGCCGTGTCTGTAGGGGGGGATACGGTGGAGGTACGGTGTATGTTATGGGGTGTGGTGTGGGTTTGGGTGTGGTTGGGATTGGTGGTGGGGGTGGGGATGGGGTTGTGAGTGTGGGTGTGGTGGGGTGGGGATGGGGATGTGGGTGGGGGTGGGGATGTGTGTGTGGTTATGGTGTGAGTGTGGGTATGTGATGTTTCCATCTGGTGTTGCCAGGTCATGTCATCATGCGATGTACTATGGTAATCTTACCATGTCATGTTACCATGTGGTGTTACCATGAGAGGGGACTGACTGACTGGTGCCGTATGGTATTAGTAATACCCTGTGATTGTGATAGCGTGCGATGAAGCAGAGGCGCCTTAGGGAAGAACATATGGTATTATCGTGGCATATGGTCACACTTTGGACAGTCATTCTGCTTTGTGTTTGTGCGTGATCCCATAATGTACCCTTTTTCTGCAGTCTTCGTTAGTTGCGTGTACAATGGAGGCACTTGTTGGTGCAGTGTACGCAGAAAAGGTTCGTGTACCCTCGCACTACCCTCGCGCTAGCTACTGTCGCATCACCCTAACACCACCCTAACACCACCCTAACACCACCCTCACACCACCCTCACACCACCCTCACACCACCCTCACACCACCCTCACACCACCCTCACACCACCCTCACACCCATCCGTTCACCTTGTTGCATACCTGTCCGTCACTCCCGCACCTATTCAGCCCACTCAACACGCATGCCCTCCCATCCCATCCCCATCCCTCACCAACCCCACTCCCTGTCTCTTCCCCCCCCCCCTTCTGCTTCCCACCGTCCCTTCCCCCCTCCTCGTCCCCTTCCCCTTGTCTGTCCTCTTCCCCCCGTCCCTCTGCCCCCCCTCTCCCGTTTCCCCTCCCCATCCCCTTCCCCATCAGGGCCTAGAAGCAGCGTCAGCCTTTGTGACCCGCCTGCTGCCCTCTCTAGTCGACTCCCGCACTGCTGCTCCACACTCACAGAAGCTGGAGTTTGGGCATGAGCATGAGCAAGAATCCGGGCACGAGCACGGGCATGAGTACCAGCAGCGGCTGCAGCAGCAGGACGGAGGGAGCGATGTGAGGGTGGGCGATGCTGCAGCAGTGGGGGGAATGGAGTTCCCAGAAGAGTGTGACCCTGTGGCTCGTCTGCAGGAGATGTCCGTGCAGCAACTGGGGCTCGTCCCACAGTACCGGTACGTGTGGGCAGTGTGAGGTTGGGAGGGACGGCGATGCAGCAGCAGCAGTGGGGAGAGTGGAGTCTCCATTAGAAGAGTGTGACCCTGTGGCTCGTCTGCACAACATGTCTGTGCAGCGCCTGGGGCTCGTCCCTCAATACCGGTACGTGTGAATGAACAAGTGTTTTGAGACGTCTCAGATCAGACCACACCACTGCGTGTGCGAGATCCATTCTTCTGTCGCCGCCACACCGCGGCACGTGAGTACGTTTGAGACGTCTGAAAGTGGTGCACGTGCAAGAGCCGTCGACCATCCCCTTGGCCCCCGTCTGCCGAACATGTCCCTTCGGCACTTGAGATGGACGGAAAACCCGCGCGTGCCCATGTGACAGAGCAAGTGCGCGTGTATGTGGCGGGGAGGAGGATGGGCATGGCCATATGATCCACCTAACCCCCCTTCAGCCCTTTTTCCCCTCCCTACCCCGCCCCCTCGTCCCCTCTCCCCCCGCCCCCCTACGTCGCCACCCCATTCCCTCCCCCTCCCCCCCCCTACCCCGCCCCCTCACACTCTTTTCCCCTTCTACCCCTCACCATGCGAGCACAGGCACACAGGGACAGACAACCCACACACGCCCCACGTGACAGAGAGAGTGCGAGTGTATGCAGCAGGGAGGAGGATGGGCACGGGAATGGGGCCAACACTGGAGGAGGCGAAGAGAGACGGGGCAACCAAGGCACTGTTAGCATGGGGTAAGGTGTTTTCTGGGGAGGGGGGAAGTGAGGAAGCAGGACGCGAGGCGAGTGAGTGTGCGGAGGAAAGGACTGGTGATTGAGGAAGGTAATTGATATCATACTGTGGTTGTTCGGGATCGTTCTTGGGCCTGCCCAGGTCTGGGGTTGCCCAATCCATGGGCATTCGGCTCTGTAACTGAGTTTATTGGGTGAATCGGGTATTCGAGCCTGAGATGATCACAAGTTGAGGTGAGGGAGAAACAGGGTAAAGGGAAACTGGAGGATGCAAGATGTGTAGGATGGAAGGCTTTAGTGTTTTGTAAGATGGAAGGTATTAGCACAATTTCAAAGGCATAAGGATGGAAGGCACTAGCATGGAGGCATTGGCATGCAAAAGCATCAGCAGAATATTCTGCATAGAACAATGGGACTTGGCACAACAGGCTGCTACACAACAGACTGACAGAAGCACATATAGCTGATAAAGCAAAGCTGCTTGCACACAACATAACGTATAGCATACTACGAGTCGCACTATAACAAATAACATGGCTAAGGTTCAAAGCATCAAGAAATTTTGAGGCTATACATGGTCATGCTTCTGTCAGGGCTTACGCTGCAGCCTAAGCCCTTTGACTGTCAATCCAGCAATGCTTGTGCATGGATCCTGCTATCGGCCACCCTGGCAAGAACCAATACAAGGCAAAGTGATTCATCATGGTACATCTACCGGTACTTCAGTGCGTTCAGGCCATAGTTGACCCCACATGGCCAAACACCATATCCTCTACAGTGACCACCGCCCTTCCTCTCACGCGGAATGGTACGTGTTTCTGCTCGCGCCTCTTCTCCTGTACCTCGTCCACTGGATTGGACCCACCAAACTGGTGCCCCAACTGCTGCTTGCTGCTGCTAGTGCTTCCGCTGATGCTGCAGATGTTGCTGTTACTGCTGCTGATGCTGCCGCTGCTGTTACCACTGCCGTTACTGCTGCCGAATCTCCTGGCCGGGGTGCTGCAGGCTGATTCCAGAGCTTCAAGAACGGCCTGGTAATTCTCCATAGCACCCGCAGCAGCACCTGCGCTGCTGTTGCAGTTGAACCAGCCCTTGCCAGTCATGCCAGGATTGCCAGCCTTGCCGGGATTGCCAGTCCTGGACTCCAGGTTTGCACTGTGACTCGCCGTGCACCAGCCACGGTGCATCAGGTGAGACGAGCAGCTGTCCTGGGCCGCAGCAGACGTAAATGTGTGTGTGGCGGCGGCGGCGGAGGCGGCGGCGGCGTCGATTTGACTTGGATTTTCTGGGACGGTGTTGGTGTTCCTTTGTCCTGGGCGGCTGTGGCCTCTGGTCGCGCGGGAAGAGCAGCGTGGTGAGTCAGCAGATGGGGACGGTGGGAGGAGTGGAGATGGGGATGGGGTATGCGTAGCAGCAGATACGAAGGGTGGGAGGGAGTGAGCGTGGTTTAGCGAGTGAGGGGAGTATGTAGCAGTAGAGGCGGTGGTAGGGTGATCGCCGTTCGCACAGCAGGCACAGGGAGTGTGGTAAAGGGAGGATGAGGGGAACGGGGACAGGAAGAGCGGGTCTTGCACGCTTGCTGTGCCCTCTGAGAGCACTGAGAGTGCACCAGAGAATTCTGAGAGCGCTGACACTGCACCGGAAGATGCTGAAGACGTTGAACCAGAGAATTCTGAGAGCGGTGAGAGGGCACCGGAGGATGCTGAGAGCAGTGAGAGGGCACCGGAGGATGCTGAGAGCGGTGAGAGGGCACCGGGGGATGCTGAGAGCGGTGAGAGGGCACCGGAGGATGCTGAGAGCGAGAGTGAATCAGCAGAGTTCCCATTGTCTCCACGACCAGAAAAAGGGGTTCCATGGTCATGCGGAGCCGGGAGCGCCAGGGGCGGCTGGAGGAAGTACACGTGGCCGGGCTTTAACACGTGCTGCGGGCGCAGGAAGCCGCCCTGCGATGACGTCAGCGAGCCCACCTGGCAGCCCGGGTGTTCCTGAAGCACGTCGCTCACGCGAGTGGCCCTCCGAGCATCATGATTAGTACAGTGGGAAATTGAATCGCCAGACATTGAATTACCCGCAATTGAATCGTTGGGAATTGAATGGATGTTCGCCAAAGTCGCAACGCGAGATGATGATGGGTCTCGGGCGCCATTGCTGTTCTTCCGAGCCACCGCAGTGAGGGTGCGGCGAGTCTGACTCCCAGTCTGGCTGTGCCGCGCGAAAGACGTCTTGGCTGGTAGCGCCGAGTCAGATTCGTCGGACGAGCCGCACACTGGCACGATTTGTACGGAACCGTCCGGAATCAGCAGAAGCGCCGGCTCGAAGCACGGGCCGCGCTTCGACGCGGGCTCCCGCCGCCACGTCGTGCTTCGCGGCGCGCTGCTGCTCGGCGGCGCCGCGCGACTGGCGCTCAGCACGTCACGTGTCAGCCTTGTCCATCTGGTGGAGAATTTCGGCGCGAAAGGCCGCGGCGACTCCGCGCTCGCGCCCGCGGACGAGACCAAGGTCCGCCGCTCCCCGTTGGAAGCTGTCGCGGAGGTGGAATTGGCGAAAGTTGGCGAAGAAGAAGCCATTCTGGTGTCGTCGCGTCCGCACATTGCGGCCACTTCGGAGCAACAGGCCTGTTTGGAAACTCCTCAATTTTCCGAATCGAGATCGGAGGATAGCAAGGGTTTGCTGCGGGAGGAAGCGGGCTGACAACGCAGAGCTTGACTCTCAAGGTTCCTCGAAGGGGAAGCACAGCCTGAGGTTGACTCAAGGTTCCTCGGAGGAGGTAACACGCTTGAGCTTGACTCTCAAGATTTTTCGGGGAAGCACGACCTGAAATTGACTCAAGGTTCCTCCTATGGCGGGTGGGATAAATAGGAGACATTTGCGGCCGCATAAGCCGGCTCTCCTTCCTCCGAGGTGCGTCCATTCCTACTGACAGCCGGCTGTCAGAATGCTACTACTACATCCAGTATCAACAACTCGGTTTGGACTCCGAGGTATGGTGATGGTGGTTTGGAGTCGCGGTTTTTGGGACAGAAGGTTGGGCTCCGTGCTGTAAGCTGGTTTGGGCGTGCCGATTCGTGCGCGAGCTGGTTCTTATCAGCCGGCAGGCAGCATATGCAAGCGCTTTAGTAGAAAGATTACACTACGTGACGAATAGTGGGTGTGTTTTGTTGTTGCGGGTTCACGCAGAATGGTAGTCGGACTGGTGAGGCAAGGGTGGAAGAAAAATAAGTCAGGGGAAACTGCCACTCTACTCTACACCACACACCCCAATCATCTCTGTTTGTCTGTTTGTCCATTTGCGCTGGAAAGCACACTACTGTAGTGTAGAACTGAAGCTGCCTTGTTGGAAATTCCACGTTTTTTTTTTGGCCAGTTAGAGTCCAATGGGGGCTCATCAGTATTAAATACTCGTTGAACTGTGTGTTGTGGAAAGTGGTTTTGGACACGTGCGCTCCAACCAGTTTCCGCACCATGCTGCCATGAAGTCAACGTGGCGGGGCACAGTATTGTCTCGGATATAGAGTCCCCGGGGGCGGTGTATCGAATAAAGACATTGTCCTTTGCATCTACACCGGAGTCTTGTTCAACCCTCCCCATCCAACGTGATGTCTACCCTATGGTAAATCAGCCTTTTTTCTGATTATTGGGTAAGCCCTTCGCATCCTACCCTATATCCAGGAAAATACGGTAGTAGTACGTATGATATCTGCATAAATTTTTTAAACTTGCCTTTGTCGTCATCCAAGACTGACAGAAGCCCATACAACTGACGGAGCAAAACTGCTTCCACAAAAATAGGCTAACTATGACTGCAATTCAAACTAGAGCAGAACATGACTATGGTTCAAAGCATCAAACCATCACATCATGAAGCGGTTCCTAGACGTGCTTCCATTGCAGCTCGGCTGGAACCAATACCTCTCGCATCAACCCAGGGCAGGTTGACTATGAACTACTCAACTCGCACCCTGGTGGAAATCAATGCAAGGCGAAGTGATAATATGTGTGCGTTCAGGCCACAGTGGGCCCAACACGGCCGAACACCATGTCCTCTGCAGTGACCACCGCCCTCCCTCGCACGCGGAATGGTACTTGTCTCATCTGCTGGCTGCTGGTGGTGGTGCTGCTGCTGCTGCTGCTACTGCTGCTGATGCTGGTGCTGCTGTTACCGCTGCCGTTGCTGCTGCCGAACCTCCTGGCCGGAGTGCTGCGGGCTGATTCCAGAGCTTCAAAAATGGCCTGGTGATTCTCCTTAGCACGCGCAGCACCTGCGCTGCTGTTGCAGTTGAACCAGCTCTTGCCAGTACTGCCTGGCATGCCAGTCCACGACTCCAGGTTTGCACCGCGACTCGCTGCACACCAGCCTCGGTGCATCAGGTGAGAAGAGCAGCTGTCCTGAGCGGCAGAAGCGGTGAATGCGTGGGCGGCGGGGGCGAGATGACTGGGGTTTTCTGGGGCAGTGGAGGTTTTCTTTTCTCCTGGGCGGCTGTGGCCTCTGGTTGAGCGGGAAGGGCGATGAGGTGAGTCAGCAAATGGCGACGGTGGGGTGATGGGGGGCAGTGGGGATGCGGATGGGGATGGGGCACGCATGGTAGCAGAAGCGGAGGGTGGGAGTGAATGTGCGTGGTTTAGGGAGTGAGAGGCGCGTGAAGTGGAGGCAGCAGGGAGGCCGTCGTTGCAGCAGGCACATGGCGTGCGGTAGAGGGATGAAGAAGGGAAGGAAGGCAGGAATAGTGGGTCCTGCACGCCTGCTGTGCCCTCTGAGAGCGCTGAGAGCGTCGAGAGAGAATCAGTCGAGCGTGCAGACTCTGAAAATATCTCAATTTCGGCAAAATTCCCACTGCTCCTCCTCGCCGCATCAAATTCAGACATCCTGCCGGAGCTCCCAGAAAAGCTTGCAACCACGTCCTCCAGGCAACGACGTCCGTGCTTATCCTCGTTACAAGCATCCACGTCCTGGATACGCTGCGCTGAAGAGCCACCATCGTTAAATTCATCGTCACCATTAGTAGAAAAAGGAGTTCCATGGTCATGCGGAGCCGGGAGCGCCAGGGGCGGCTGGAGGAAGTACACGTGGCCGGGCTTTAACACGTTC